AACTGCTGGGACACAAAGGGAAGAACGAACGGGGTTTCTAGCGCTGCAAGTCGAAATATTTGACCATAACAGAGAAGGGTCCTCCCTGAGAACTGTGTATCCAAAGAAATCCTCAAGATCTCTGATGCATTTGTGGGAGATTCTCCCCTGGGGTCGACATATCGGCTGGCTTGCTGCGTCTGGGGGTTCTTCTCCCTCGACCGATGAAACTGTGCAGTCTCCGATTCCACAAAGGCAGACATGCACAGAAAGGGTATCACTTTTTCCTCCCGAGAGCTGTCTCAGACACCTCAAAATAAAACTCCAGGCCATGACCTCCCATTGCGTGAAAACCATCAGCCCCCCCAAAGAAACATAGTTTCCCCATTAAAGGATGCACTTTTACCACATTTCCACACTACATATTTGCCCAAGTTCCACCACGTCTACCCGAGGTTGAGGTGAACAAACCTAAGCAAGCCTAGGCAGGACACTCAATTCAGGGCCCACTCGAGACACGATGAAATTTGATGGACAGGTCATCTTCCCATGCACAATGCAGATGGCGGCACAATGGATGTATCCCTCGCGGAGGGCACACAACGGTTATCTCAGTCGAGGTGTGCGATCATTTCCTCCTTGGCGAGGGGTTTGAAAGTGTCGAGACCGAGGCCGCGAGCCTCGAGTGCTGGGCGAGCGTGAGGGGGAATCAGCTGGTTGTTGAGTTCAGGGGCAATGGAGAGTTCTATCGCATCATTAGTATATTAATTTTGCTGTACTTTGTTGTCAACTTGACTGTCATACCATGTCGTGAGAAGTCGAACAGTGCGGGCAGGTCCTTGGAGGGGTTGTTGTGGTGGCGGGAATCCGGTAGCCGGGTGTTCGGGTCGCGGAGCTCATCGAAGAAGGGGTGGCACATAGCCTCAACCGCCGACAACCGTTGCGTCGGAGTGTATTCCAGAAGGGCAGAGATGAGGTCGATAGCCTCCGGGGGTGCCTTTCGGAAAACCTTAAATGGCGTCAGTACCATCGCACAGACCAAGCACGGGCGGAAAATACCTTGTTGAAGGGATGAGGTTTGATCTGAGGGAACTTGTGCTCCATATAATTGGGGTTCATGGTGCGAATCTGTTCCCGGGTGGGTGTGCCCAAGACCTTGATAATTTCCACGAGCTGGTCAATGCCTGATTCACCAGGGAAGAGGGGTTGCCCCAGCATCAACTCTGCCATCACACAACCAGTCGACCAGACATCTAATAAAGAAAGAAAAACGCACGTTAGATGATAATAAACAAAAATTTGGGGGATGAAAAAGGAATATGTACCGATCTTTGTTGTGTAGTTGGTTGCACCAAAGATCAACTCAGGCGCCCGGTAGTAACGAGAGCAAATGTAAGAAACGTTGGGCTCATTCTCGATCAGAATCTTGGCGGAACCGAAATCGCAAAGCTTCAGGATACCAGTGTTGGGATCCAGAAGTAAGTTTTGGGGCTTTATGTCACGATGGCAGATACCCTGGGAGTGGATGTATGCCAGCGACCGGAACAGTTGGTAGATGTACAGCTTCACCTCCAGCATGGGCATCGTAGATTTGAGCTTGTTGAAGTAACGCGATGCGCGGTAGACGGTCTCTGGGACATACTCGAGGACAAGGTTGAGGTAGACTTCATCTTTCTGTTGAGGGGGAAAATCGGTCAGCCCACGGAACGGGGGTTACTATGGGGGTCCACAACATACCCTGTCGCCGTTGGAGTAGTAGAAGGCCTTGAGTTCGACGATGTTGGGGTGGCGCACAATCCGCATAATCTGCAGCTCACGGTTCTAAGAATGAAATGGTTAGTCACAGTGAAACGGAAGCTGTTCCACGATGCCGTACCTTGAAGCGCTTATCCTGGAGGACTCTCTTGATGGCAGCATCTTCGCCGCTGGGAGCCATCTTGGTCTGGAACACGACACCGAAGGAGCCATTGCCGACAATCTTACACTGTGTGTAGGAGATCTCTTTGGCTTCACCGGTCAGTCCATCCTGGACCTTCTCCTTGATGACCTCTGCGAGGACGGTTAGCTATGGCCATTGAGCAGCGACGAGGAGACCTTACCACCCATGCGCAAGCTCGGGAACAGCCCGGGCCGACTTTGTGACATCACGAGAAGATGGGAGGGGAGGGTGTTTGAAGGTTGTAAAGGTCAAGAAGGGCCGTTTTGGGGAGGGGAGAGGGGGAGTGGAGTCGAGAGGGGCGGGCAAGAGGGAAAAAGGCCAAGAATGTTGTAGAGGAAGAAGAAGAATGAGGGAAAGAGGTGGGCAACTGGTAGGAGAATGATTAACCAATAAGAGGGAACTGACGGAAGGAGTAAAATTGCGGGTTGAACGTTTCCCCTGGGGTATTAACCAGATGCCCACCAACTGAACCACCAAAAATAGGCAAAGAAAAGATGATGTCGGGTGACCAACTGTGATTTTCTCTGGAACTCTCCTGATTGGTCAAATCGACTTATTCGTCTCGTGACGTGGTGACGCTTGGACCAACCATACCATACCATACGGTTACCGTATGGTAAGTATCTCACCTACATATTTACTTCCCATCTACAGCTAGACTCAACATACTTCAGATAAGTTAACTTCAGACACGTAGGAGCTGACTCTCGGCCCGATGAACCTTCGGATTCCCGGCTTCTTCGGGGGTCCCTTGGTATGTCCCTCTAACCCAATGTCAGGGGAATACATAGTTAAGGGGAACCTAGCTATGTATATCCCAAGAATGTCAGTCTCACAAGCAAGTACCCGACTCGTCAGGTACCAGATCCTGGCCTAAGGCTGCGGTCCAGCCGTTTCCTAAACTTGGCCCTTGCGCAGTAGATGCACCTGGCTCAAAAGGTTAACGTTGAGGGTTGAGAGCCAAGCTTGGTATGGTATTGTTTCGATGACAATACAGTATCCTAGATATGTAAGATGGCGATCAACATGTCGACGTTGACTCCATTAACTTAACTTCTACTTAAACTTATACCAATACCTTATATATATTCATTCTAGCTACCTTGTAGACATATCAATTGACACTACATCCCATGCTTGCAGTAAGCTATGACATCACCAGATTTTACTCCCACCTGACCCGATGAGGGGCTGTGGCATCGGAATCGCCACAGCTCTAGCTGTCATGCGACTTAGACCTTGCCTCTAACCCTCACGGGACAAATGACGCCTCAAAGGTTCTGGCGAATTGAATTGGCCAAGGATTCGAAATCCATGCTGTCATATCCAGGACCATGCACCAGTACCACCATGACTACATTAATCGGGATTCCGAAGGGCTGATCGGGTCTCGGCAATGCAGAAGCTACAATATGCTCAGTCGATTGCCGAGTTCTATCCTATTTCACTATTTCACTAGTGAAGACATGAACACATTCAACATATACATCCAATCCGCTGTATACTGTATGCAGCAAAGTGATAGCTCAGTCTTACATAGCCGTAGTACCGACGTGGTACGAGGCCCAGGATGCGGTGCCGAAAATGGTTCCTGGCCCAAAAGCCCATCCCGTTGGCATTGGCATGATGTTTAAAATATGCATATGCAGAAGGAATGTCTCTAATCCGGCATGGATGGAAGCAAGGAACGACATTTCTCTGTCAGACACGTGGGCTATTAAGCTCCCAAACAACTATGCTACACTGTACCTGTACGGCCTTCCCGAGGAATTCGGGAATGCAGTAGATATGCGAATCACGTCGAGTCTATTGGCTATACTGGATTGAAATCGAGATTCCCATGCCATTTCCACGCTAGATCTGCCATAACCAAATCTAAAACATAATAGGTATATGGAAATACAATACTACGCAAATACCGGAAGCGAAAATGAGCCGTTTGACCCCACACACTCTCGGGCCCCTTAGGGAAATGAACTCGGGAATAGTTGAACACTACTCTTCCAGGTAACTCCATAAGCGAACAGGGAACATGATGTCACAGTGGAAACTGATAGACCATACATGTCTCAAGTACGAACCCAAAGCGCGGGACTCCCAATGCCCAGCCCAGACCCAGCCACACCAGAAGCAGCGACTTCTGCAACTAATGCAAGGCCAAGGTTGAGGTTGAGGGGCCATGGATGGAGTTAGTGGCTGACCCCAACATCGCTCTGGACCTTTGTCTCGCTTTGTTTTGCCATACCGTGTACAGTGGACATGTACCGGAACATGTACGGACTGTATGCTGTGGGACTATAAAACCCATTTTACCGAGAAACTTCAATAGTGGGGAAAGAGATGGGTTAGAAGAAGATGCATAAGACTGGAGTCTTTCGTTGGGTACGTTTCTCCAGTGTCCACCAGGGTGGAACTCGCTTTGAGGCATATCTTGCCCGGTCACCGCTTTGGGTTATGCAGGCAATTTCTTTGTCCGCCTTAGGATGTATCAGATGTGCGTCGACCAGTAGACCAGTAGACATGGTCTGGCTTTGTATTGACTGTGAAGGATTTGGCTTTGATGCAGGTTGCATCTATTCTTGGAACTATATGATAATCACGGAATTGAAAGGAGTGAAGATTTAATTCCTGACTAATATTCTAATTCTGTTGGCAATATAAACGCATCCTTGTATAACGATTCATGATAACGTAGATTACAATAGATTCAGGTTTCAAAACTTGTTTTACATTGGCCCGTCTATGATGCGAAAACATACCAGAGCTCTCCGCAGGCGCGGCCATGCCTCACTATCCCAAGACCCAAAACACGGCCATTGCACGAAATGAACTGGGGAAGACAGACCACTCCAAGCAGTCAGAGATGCAGCACCGGGTGAAATCAAAGAAACGCAGTGTGAATCTATACAAAAAATATTTGAATCTCCATGGCGCCAAACAACCGCCTGCACCAGTAACCCAGATTCAAAGGATATACCGAAGAGACATCATATGTCGTTCCAGACGATGGAGAGGAAGAACTACTAAAACAGGGGGGCGAAAGAGTTATTATCTCGAGGGGTTAGAAAGAGGAGATGGCTCCTTAGAAAGGAGGAGGGATCATGGCGGCGGGGTCAGCCTTCTCCTGCTGCTCCATCAGGTCCTCGCCAGCAAGCTCCAGGGAAACAGCGAGACCGAGCTTGGCGGTTTGCTAGAACAACAAGTTAGCATGAGGTTGCTGAACAGGGATACAAATTTCATGCTTACCTTAGGGTGATCAATCTCGCCAGCGAAGGAGAGAGAGAGAGGCATGGCGATGCGCTTCTCGAGGAGACAGCTGACCTTGCCGGCGCTATCGACCTGGGCACGGAAAGAGGAAGCGCGGAAGTCGTACTTGGCACCAATGGCAGTGGTACCGTCACGGGCAGGGCCGCCCATCATGAGAGCAGCAGGAGTAGGGGCAAGTTGGAGGTTCATGTCAATACCGGCTTCAACGCGCTCGGACAGCTTGCGCCAGTAAGTGGCATTGAAAGTGCCCTGAGCCTGGAGCTGAGCGGTACCGATCCAGTCCTCACCCTTGTACTTGGCGGAGTAGGAAAGAGCAGTCTCAGGGCGAGCGGTGATACCCTGTCGTTGCCAGATAGCCTCGAATCCGAGGGCAAGGCCGGGGGTGATGGACTGCAGGTAGCTGCCGACGAAGATACCGGTCAGACCGCCCTCGAGGCAAGACGGATTGAAAGCCTTGAGGGAAGCAGAGAAGTCGCGGCCAGTGTAGTCGTTGTCGATCTGAATCAAACCTTGGGCACCACCGTTCATGACCTGAGCGTTGGTCTTGGTGACAAGAGCCTGGTTCCAGCGGTAGTTGGCGACGGCGGCGAGGGAACCGTCACTGCCGAAGTTGCCCTGCATGAAAACCTATTGGGAAATTTATACGTTAGGTACTGAGACTACGGTTTCTCCGGAGCAGAGATATCATCAAATTCTTACCCTGGGGTTTCCGAACATGGCAGAGAAAGCGTAGGGAGGCAGGTTGCCGGAGCCGCCCATGGAGAACGCGTGTGAAATTCGGAACAGAGGGGACATGCCGAAGACCTTGGTCAAGTCTGCGCGGAGACCGGAGAACATGAAGTTGGTCAACAAAACATCCTTCTGCACCTCACGAGCGAGGTTATCGACCGTGCCGGGGTTGGGCAGGTTGAGCATTGCTCTGCGATCGGAGAAGGAGTTGTAGGCATCGCTGAGGGCTGCAGCGGCAGGGTTGTCTGTGACAAAGGCTAGGGATGATGTGAAGTCGGCCATTTTGGAGAAATGTGATAATCGTTGACAAGGATATTAGGTGTCGTCACGCGAGGTCTGTCAAGACTCGAGGGAGGGAATTGGGAGGAAAAAAAGAATTGAGACCAGCCCGAGGATCTGGGACGAACAAACGTCTCAGATGACCTTGATAAAATAGCTGTAAAGGGCTGTGTCTGATGCGCTCAGGAGATAGTAAGGGAAGCAATTCAAGACATTTCGGAGCTGTGAAAAATGCATGTCACCTGTTGCGTCTTTGGTCTCTGCCGTCCACCGTCAACTCGGGCCTTCCCGGTTCATTCCAGAGTAAAGAGAATAACTTACATGTACAGGGGTATGAGATCGAGTTCTGTATGATTGATCTTGTTTCTTCTGAAGAAAGTGATTTGAGTCGGATTTGTTGGGTTGGCTGTTTGCATATAGCAACCTGAAAGACAAAGCCAACAAGCATATCGTCCCAGTTCACCGGGCTCCACCTCATACTCGATCGATTGCCTATACCGCCTCTTGTCGTCTCTTGATCCTTGCTTTCTCTTTCTTCTTGAGACTCGATCTCTGATATCTCTGAGTCACTTACCGTCCTAGGACATTGAATAGTTAACTTTGTGATCTTCCTTCACCTCATCCCACCATGGACACGTTACTGTAAGTTTGCCCCCCCCACCATGTCTTCATGGAACTTGTTTGATGCATATGCTCTTGCCTACCCTCGAGGCTAGAGACATGAACGTTGCACTCACCATTTGCCGTTGTTGGAGAAGTTGAACCTTGAGCGAAGCTTCCCAGCTTGTTTGTTGGACCGGGACTGACATCGTACAGCACCGCTGAGATCGTGGCCAACTCCCCACAGTTTCGACGCAAGTCCTCCATTTTTGTCGATGCTATCCATGACCTGCCAGAAAAGGCAGATCTTGCGCCGGCCCAGCTGTACAGCACGGAATCCGGTCGACTTTTCCATTCGGGTCGCATTGTGATCATTACTGTCGGCTTACCCGCAAGAGGTAAAACGTATGACGATGGCCCCAATTGCGATTGGCCTTGTTCAAGGAACTAATACCTGGTAGACATATCTCCGTAGCTTTGGCTCGGTATCTGCGATGGTACGTTTTAATCCTGCCCATTTGGATATTACCAAAACATACTGATGTAATGATAGGCTTGGTGTCAAGACCCGAATCTTCCATTTGGGTGACTACCGTCGTGCCACGATTCCATTTGGCGAAGATATGCCAGATGATTATTTCTATGTCAATGGTGTGTATGGTATTTTTGCTTGCAGTGACGGTACTGACATCTTCTGAAGCAACGGCCAAGTCGGTTCTTCTGCGCCAAAAGATCGTGAGGAAATGTCGAGAAGACATCTACCACTTTTTGAACCATGAAAATGGACAAATTGCTATCTATGATGCCGTCAACCCACTTGCTTCCGGACGGCGCTCGTTAGCCAAGGAGTTCGCAAAGCATGATATTGAGGTAAATCTGACAGGCCGTATTCCCGTGACAGTGGCTGATTCGTACTAGACCCTGTTCATTGAGTCCTGGTGTGACGATGAGCGCATCATTGAAGAGAATGTTCGCAGGGTCAAGATTTCCTCCCCTGATGTGAGTGTCTTACTATTGATGCTGTCTTTCCAAAGCAAGTCCTAACCTTCTCGGCCAGTACGTCTCATGGAGCTCAGAAGATGCCGTGAAGCACTATTTGAACCGCATCTCTTCTCGCATTCCCCAATTCCAGACAATGGAGGAAAAGGACTTGAATTACATCAAGGTATGTCCGATTTGCTTTCTCATAGTGCCCGTACTAACCATGAACAGATGATTAATGCTGGCGAGAGACTTATTGTCAACAACCGAAGCTTTGGCTACCTCTCTAACCGTATAGTCTTTTATCTTCTGAATCTTCACATCAAATCGCGACGGACTTACTTTGCTCGAGTAGGTCATACCCTGCCGATGCGCCTTTCACACAAAATGCTCACATACTATCTAGGCTGGTGTTTCGCTAGAAGCAGACTCCTACAAAGCTGATGCTTCGCTGTCAGAGCAAGGTGAAGACTACGCTAAGAAAATGACGGCACGTCTGCTGGCTCACCGAGAAGAAGAGAAGCGAACAATGATTGAGCGAGGAGAGACCGGCTATGAGTCACGACCTTTGAAGGTCTGGACCTCTACACGACGCAGGACAGTGGAAACCGCAAAATACCTCTACGATAACGGCTACAAGGTTCGACAAAGGTCCCAATTGAGCCAGTTGCATCCTGGTGTCTGCGAGCAGATGTCCGAGAGGCGCATTCGAGCTGAGTTTGGAGATGAGGTAGCCAAACATGAGCTTGATCCTTACCACCACAGATACCCCCGTGCGGAGGTAAGCATTACCCTAGACTTGGAAGGGAATAGGTGCATTGCTGACGATTCTCACTAGTCGTACCATGACCTAGCTGTCCGCCTTGAGCCAATTATTCTTGAACTGGAGAGAGAACAAACTGATCTGCTCATCATCGCACACGAAAGCGTTCTGAGGGTTTTGTATGGTTATCTCATGGCCTGCAATGCTGCGGACATTCCATTCCTCGAATTTCCTCGCGATGAGATCATTGAGGTAAATTGACATTCGAACCTGTCATATTCTCCGAGCTCACCACAACTATTTAGATCATCCCTGAAAGCTATCAGAATGAGGCCCAGCGGATCCATATCCCTGACCTCCCTGAAGAGATCATTCCAGCGTCTCCCGAGGACCTGAAGATTCCCGTACCCCCGAGCGGTGTTGTTTCGCCAATGCAGGGATTGGGTAGCCCAGAAGGCCAGGGGACCCCACAGAGCGGTTTCCGAACGCCGAGTGGCATCCGAACGCCCCGTGAACCCGAAAGGATCTCACAACAGCACGTCGAAGACGTGGTCTAGGTGATGTCCCATAGTCCCGCGTGGTAATAGAGCACCCGTATTTTTAGAGTTCTAGCCTGCTCTTTCTAACAACATTATTGCGAAACAATCCCATCTTTAACCACCATGTAAAGTCGAGACAAAGACAATGTTGTCTCCCTGTTGCAGTTCATATGTTTCCTCGCCTTCGAGTTCCCAGTCGGCATCGTTGATGAGGACGAGAATGCCAGGTCGTCTGTGAAGGGCGTTAGCTATGTTAAATAAGGTATCCTAGCACATACACATTGTCCTCCATGATAAACATGTCTTTCCTCTGATCCTTCATGAGGTTGTCGACCAAGTATTTAAGCAAGTATGAGATGTTTGGCCGACTGCCATCCTCTAATTGAGGAGGCAGAACGACCTTATGCTTGCGCTCATTCCCAAAGAGCAGTTCTAAGCCGCCACTGTATAACCGGTCAGCAAAGTCAATGTATTCATTCAATGGAGGAGTGCTTGACGCACGTAAACTCGACGGTGATGGGAATTGGGATGGCACCCTGTATCGTAGCTGAAGAATCGGCCATGGCAACAGTAAAGGAGAGAAAGAGAAGTTATAGCAACAAATATGGGAAGAGAGAGAAGGTGATGGAGGGGCTAGGTGGAGACAGAAATCCTTATCGATAAGCCCCAGCGCAAAGAACTTGCGGATTGTCTTCAACTTCTTCTACAGACGACCATAAAGGATCTTAGGTCCTCTAATTCGCCATGGTCGTTGTCACCACCGATTATATTAGCGTTGGAGGAAATAGGCACCCTGGTGCTGCGCAGTGGGATGTGCAGACAGGCGTGTTGGCCTTTGGTGCGGACAACAATGTCGCTCTGTGGGATCCTCTAGTAGGTCCATTGAGAATCGTCGAGCGTCGAGAGACAAGAAGGAGCTGACATTTATCAAAGGACAAGCATGACCGTGGTGTGTATGCTCTACTGGTCGGACACACCGACAAAGTTAGCGTCGTTCGATTTTACACATGCCCCTCCTCTGGAACGAGATTTCTCATAACCGGCTCCGTCGACCGCACGATACGGGTATGGCGAATGGAGTATGCCGAGACGCGCAATTATATCCTCGCAGCTACCCTCGAGGGCCATACGGGCTCGGTGAATGCGATTGCCGTTACGGAGGGAACGGACCTTATTGCATCTGGTGCGGCCGATGGAACGGTTCGCATCTGGAGAATCAACGCGCAGGATGAACTGAAGTGTGACCTGATCGAAACAATTACTATGACACCACGGTACTTTCCGCTTGCTCTGTCGTTGCAGGGACTCGAAGGCCACTCGGACTCACCTTTGGTATTGGCTATTGCTGGTACGACGACCAAGGTGCAAATTTATGTTTCGGAAACCTCCGTTGGCAAGCCTGAGTTTAAGCGCCGTGCTACTCTTGCGGGACATGAAGCCTGGGTCCGGGCTCTTTCGTTCACCCAGGACAAGCAGAGCAAGGAGGGCGATATCCTGTTGGCATCTGCTAGCCAGGACAGATATATCCGTCTTTGGCGGCTGCACCGGGGTGAGGCGAATGATCCTGCTCCAATTGATGAAGCCGATCCTCTGCTAGGAGGCATGGAGCCCACGCTATCGAACAAGGCCCATGAATTCGAAGCGCAGGGCTCGAAGTACTCCATAACCTTCGAAGCTCTTCTCTTCGGAAACGAAGATTGGATTTACACTACTTCATGGAACCCTGATCCTGCACGGCAACAACTTCTCTCCACGTCCGCTGATAACACCGTCACGATCTGGGAACAAGATCAAGCATCGGGTGTCTGGATGTCCGCAGAGAGAATGGGAGAGATCAGTGTTCAAAAGGGATCCACTACCGCAACTGGTAGTGCTGGTGGTTTCTGGATTGGTCTTTGGTCACCAGATGGAAAGCAGGTAGTGAGTCTCAGTCGCACAGGCAGCTGGAGAGTCTGGCGACAGGAGTCAGACTCGGACCTCTGGGCGCAGAAGTTCGGCATTTCAGGCCATGTGCGCTCAGCCAACGGCGTTCAATGGGATCCCACTGGTGGATATCTACTCTCTACCAGTGCTGACCAGACCACACGCCTGCACGCTAAATGGCTGCGGGAAAACATCGGTTCATGGCATGAGTTCTCTCGTCCCCAGATTCACGGTTATGACCTGAACTGTATCGACACACTGGGCCCTTCGCAGTTTGTTACGGGCGCGGAAGAAAAGCTTCTGCGCGTGTTTAATGAACCTAAGCCGATTGCTGACCTATTGGAGAGACTCACTGGATTCAAGCAGTCGAATGGCGAGAGTCTACCAGACACAGCTGAAATTCCAGTATTGGGTCTTTCAAATAAGGCACTCGGCGATGAGGCCCCAGTGGAAGAGGAAGATGAACAGGAAGCGAAACCAGAAGTGCCGTCCGCTTCTGCCTCCTTGGCTGTCAACCACCCGCCTTTGGAAGACCAGTTGTCTCGTTATACACTGTGGCCAGAACACGAGAAGCTCTATGGTCACGGCTATGAGATTTCGGCAGTGGCTGTCAGCCACGACCGTAAGCTCATTGCCACTGCTTGCAAGGCCAGTTCTATAGACCACGCAGTCATTCGTCTGTACGATACATCAGACTGGCATGAAATCAAGCCTTCTCTCACCGCACACTCCTTAACCATCACGGACCTCTCATTCTCCGACGATGATCGCTACCTTCTCAGTGTTGGCCGAGACCGACAATGGGCTATTTTCCAGCGGAGTGATGCAGAGCCAACCACATATACCAAACTGACCGCAAACCCCAAGGGTCACTCTCGTATGATCCTGGGTGCAGCCTGGGGCCCGGTCACCAAAGACCATGTTTTCGCTACATCCGGTCGTGACAAATCCGTGAGAATCTGGCAAAAGTCTGAAGAGACCTTTGTTTGCAAGACGACCGTGGCCTTGACTTCAGCAGTCTCAGCTATTGCTTTCTTGCCCGTCACATACAAAGGATCGTTCATTCTTGCTGTGGGCGAAGATACCGGCGTCATCTCCATCCACCGAATCGTCGCAGACACCCTTGAAGCACAGCAAATTGTAACAATCGAGAAAGAAGTCTCTCCCTCACGGGCGATTACTCAACTATCGTGGCGGCCAGTGCCGACCGCCGATGTGGACAGCAGGGATCGATTCGAACTGGCAGTCGCAAGTGAAGACACGTCCACGCGCATATATGCTATCTCGAACATGCTCTCATGATTTGTAAATACAAAAACAAAATCTTCTTAGCTCCCCCCCCCCTACCCCCCTTTATGAGTCATGATGGTTGAAAACTCCCAAGTGTTGAATAGATCCGCCTGTATATCCAGATGCCAAAACATAAACCCCGACCATGACTTGTGGTTGAACCCTATAAATGTTGAACGGCTTATAGTCCAAGGACTCCCTGCATAGTTGAACCGATAAAAACATCAAAAAAGCAAATAAGTAAATATCCGACTATATCGGAGCCGCTTTCTCCAAGCCATAACCTCCAATCCCCTCAAGAGACTGGTAGGTCTTGGCCTGATTACCGCGCCCATTGCGAGGCCCTCTAGCCTGCATATCTTCCTTGAGCCATTTAAGAACCAACTCTCCAAGCCGGCTATTCTCCGAGGTCCACTCAGGTACCTGTTCATGGAATGACTCAACAGTACCAAATGCCTTAACCTTACCCAAATGCATATGCGCCAGATGAGTAGGCCACTGCGCAAGGTTATCCAAAATATGCGTAGCATAAACAATAGTGCAAGGACGAGTCTCCGTCTCACGCTTGAGGAAAGCGAGGAAGTTACTCCGAGACAAAAGATCCAAGTCGACAGTAATCTCATCAAGAAGCAGAACCTGCCAGGGCCGCAACAAGCCCATGGCAAGCTGAACGCGGCGGCGTTCACCATCTGAGACGGCATGCATGCGCCAACGCAGATCAATGTCGAGGATATCGATTAGCTCGTCCCGTCGCTCTGGGAAGGCGTTGCCGCCTACAGAGGCTAGGAGTGTTGGCACGTCGATATCAGTGCGGACAATGCTGTTCAGTACCCACTCGACGCCGAGGTAGGTGACGCCTTCCAAGGTGTCCTTGAAGGGGTCCTTGCCACCTACGGCGATGGTGTCATTGGGAGCAAGGCGCTTCCCTGACAACAGGCGGAGGAGTGTGGTTTTCCCCGCTCCGTTTGCTGTGTGCTTGGTTAGTCTTTGCTGTTTGAGAGTGCATGGGATTCATTTACCGCCAATAAGTAAGGTGCGGCTTCCAGGGGGAAGACTCATTTGTACATTTTCCAGGCCATCGGAGCCATCTTGGAATTTGTATGAGAGGTTTTGGACCTCAATGCCCGGAAGTGGGGTGGAATTGATGTCCGCCATGTTGATAGGAAGAACAGGTGAGTCACACAGCGAACAGTAAATGGGAAGAGGAGAAGTAGAGAAAGGAGTCCGAGTCAGAGGGAAGAGTATCTAGACTACATTCATACTAGTAGAGCCTTGTGGTGTGAGACACGGATGAGGTAAGGTAACCCGCCCGATAACGATAACGTCTTTTTTCTCCCAACTTCCTCATGTTCGCGCATCGGTATGCTCTCTGCCCTTCGGTCTATTGCGCATCGTCGAGCAATGGATCCTCTCATAGCTGTTGTCGGTGCTACAGGGACAGGCAAGTCCAAGGTAGGAGACAGAACACCGCCCCCCCGCCAACCTCTTCCACGCGCTGTGACTAATAAGTATAGATAGCTTGCGGTGGACTTGGCCTCCCGATTCAATGGCGAAATCATCAATGGCGATGCGATGCAGATGTATCGCGGTCTACCAATTATAACGAACCAGATCCCGGTCGATGAACGAAACGGCATCCCCCACCACCTACTCAGCTGCATTGATCTCGACGCCGAGGCATGGCGCATAGGAAACTTCAAGCGAGAAGCACTACGACTTATCGAAGATATCCGGTCGCGTGGCAAACTACCAATTCTTGTTGGCGGCACACATTATTACACCCAAGCGGTCCTGTTTAAAGACCAGCTCGTAGGCGAGGGAGCGGACGAAGAAGGCGAACCGGAACCAGGAAAAGAGCTCGAGTCGACCTCGCAGAAATGGCCGATTCTGGACGCGGAGCCTGAAATCATGCTGGAAAAGTTGCGCGAGGTAGACCCCGTCATGGCTGCCCGATGGCACCCTAGAGATGGGCGGAAAATCCGGCGGTCATTAGAGATCTACCTAAAGACAGGGCGGCCAGCCTCAGAAATCTATAAAAAGCAGATGTCGCAGAAGGAAGAAGCCGTGCAGAAGGAGGAGGGTCTACTTCGATTTAATACGTTGGTCTTTTGGGTCCACGCCGAAAAAAAGATCCTTAATGCGCGCCTGGATGCGCGCGTCGATGATATGGTCGAGCAGGGCCTGATGTGCGAGGCGCAGAAAATGTCGGACTATATACATGAGAAACAATCCCAGGGTGTCGAAGTCGACCAAACGCGGGGAGTTTGGGTTTCTATTGGATTCAAAGAACTGGCGCCCTACTTTGAGGCTGTTCGGAACGGAGATCTTAGCGAGAAAGAGCTTGAAAATCTCAGGCGGACATCTCTCGAATCGATTCGGACGGCCACCCGACAATACGGAACTTCTCAAGTCAAATGGATTCGCAATAAACTGTGGCGCGCACTTTCAGAATCTGGAAAAACACGTTGTTTGTATCTTTTGGACAGCTCCAATGTGAGCGAGTGGAAGAACTGCATCACCGAACCATCGGAGCAGCTTGTCCAAAAGCTGCTCCAAAACGAGCCCACACCAGATCCCAAATCTCTTTCTGAGCTGGCGACGGCTGAGTTCAGTGCAAAGGAAGCACAGGGCAGAGTAAAGGCCCAGACAGAGATTCTGAAGTGCTACACCTGCGACCACTGCAAAAAGACAATGTCTGGCGAGGACCAGTGGAACATCCATATCAATGGACATCCCCACAGAAGGGTGCTCAGGGCTGCAAAGAAGAAAGCACAGCGCGATGCCTATTTCCGACAAAAAGAAATGGAAGAGAAGCAGAGTCATATTTTCAAACCTGACTCATGATTATTGCATTGCATGGGCGGACCGTGGATAGATTAGCGACTGTTGATAGAAATACCCAATTCAAGGAAATAACCGATTCTCCTGCAGGTGAAATTGGCGAAACATTTATAATACAGCTTTCAAAGCAGATTAGACAGATGAAAAGCCTCACTGTCTTTGTCTAATTCAAGTTGAAAATTAGTTCCCGCGAGTAAAAGCACTAATAATACATGAAAGCCGAATTATGACTCCATAGACCCTGTGGCGGTTCGCCAGGCTTTGAACGCAGGCGAGAGGATATCACCATGTCCCTGCTCCTCAACCTGGAAAACCTCAATGACCGAGGATTTCTCCTGTTTTCGAATCCTCCACGTCCCCTCACGGTTGATGGTCTGTTTGAGCCCTGAGAAACATGTCAGTAATGCTATGATTCCCACCGAAGAGGAAATACCCACAGTCCAAGAATGCACCAGCGAAGTTGATACAGATGTTCCCATCCCAGGAGCGCTTGCCGACACTCAGCACTTTTCCTGGAATGCTGGCCGTATCCAGTTCTTCAAGGCTATGGCAGATACCATTTTGATCACGGAATCCCACGATGATTTTGGGCACACCTAGCAAGAAGGATTGAGCCCAGAACTTGAGCAGTTTGCGCTCATACTTGAGCATGTCGCGCTCATTGCGGATTTGAGCCGATGTCTTTAGTTCGACCCAGTTTATGGGTGCTCCTTCTTGTGATGGTTTGCAATCCCAGACTTAACGATGTCAGTACTAACGATGCTCTGTGTCATAGGGGATAGAATAGACATACTGGCATCTACCTCTCCGCCGAGAACCATGCGCGTATTCCCAATTCCGGTGCGGACGACGGAACAATACTGGGCGGCGTTGTTGACGATAACATTCTGGCGATTCTCAATTTCTTCACGGGTTGATTCATCCCATGGCTTGCGGAGTACTGCCAAGTACTCGAATTTGTAGCCTGATATTGTTAGTTTAGCAAAGCAAAGCTTAAGGAAAGCATTTCTAACATACCCCAGTACATCATGAGCTCTTGTGGTGCCATTCCGGGCGGTGATCCTCGCTTATGCTGGAGCTCTTTTTGTAGGTTTTTGTACTCGTTGTTCTCTTCGATGAAACTATCATGAGGTCAGTATTCATACTGTGGTTTTGGTTGATTGAATACGCACATGGTACCCTGCATCCCATGTTAGATCATTGATACTAGTCATTTCGAGATTGATTGCTTACCTGGAAACAAGTTGCGTTCATCTCGAAGCTACAGAAAGCATCGTTGTCAGAATGAAAGCACTGGTGTCAGAAGCCAAAAAGGTATACATACCCATCATTGTTATTAAATGGGGCCGTCAGAATCTGTACATATTGATGAGCATCTGGTCAATCCGCGCGTCGATTCAACACACCTTGGTCATCATCCCTCGCCAAGTGACGATATCAACATCACACTTCTTCTCTGTGGCTTTCTCATGAGCAGCAATGGTATCAAGCAAAGCATCTAGATGCTCATCCGGAGCATCATTGAGCTTTTGGAACGTGTCATAGCCCTGATTCAAGTCTGCCGGCAGAGTAGGCGTGTAGTAATAGGCCATGGATGAATCACCCAGTGAGAAACGGCGCTCGTCATCATATGAGAAGCAGGCGATTTCCTAGGAAGATGTAAGCCATTTGCCTCAGTATTTTAACATTGCGCTTGACTCACCTTTGGCCGCCGGATGGAGGTATTGGCACCGCCGAAGCGGTGCAGGGGTTGGATGTCAAAGCTAGACCTGTTCATGATTATTTTACACACTATTGTGTCAAAGGCATGGTCAAGGAGAAAGAGAGATGGGCTCCTCTATAAAACACGGCCAAGCTAGGCGTATAGTCGTGCGGGATGCGCGTACCCGCGGTGGTATCCCTGGCCGGAAACGGTGCAGTATAACAAATAGAGCCTGGCCCAACTAGAGACAATAGCATCAATAGGAAATACAAGAAGCGCAGTACATGCAAGATATCATAGATGAGGAGATGACGGAGGAGATGTTCTCTGGGCCGCGTCCCCACCAAATCTCAGCCAACTCCCCGCGAACGTTCTTGCACTGCGCCATCTGCTTCATAGCGTCGTCCAATACGTCTTGATTTCTTTCGATTCTCAGCGACTGTACTTCTGACCTGATAATGTCATCCCGCATCGATAAGACGATCGCTCGACAGCGAGAAAAGTGAGAATCCCAGGTCATTCGCCTCAAGAGTGTCTCTGACAGCATTCCTTAGGATCGCCTCCGGTGCCTACTACGAAGCTCACCAGCAACTACGTGTTATTGCCGTCCGGTACATCAAGCAGTCCAACTACGATGCCGCTGCAGAAATCTTGGCCGGCGGTGCGAAGGAGCTATTGAAGGCCGGTGCCCAACAGGGTGCTTCGGCAAGTGGCGGTGACTTGGCGATTATGTTGGTGCTGGAGGTTTACAACAAGGCAGAGTGGGAGATCGCAGGTGGTAGTAACGATACGGAAGGTCGTTCCCGCAAGAGTGAGTCGATCAAGAGTGTCCGTTGGCCAATTTGACCAGCTCAGGTGTTGCATACAGAGGCAACATTGCTAACTTGTAACTTGCAACTCTACAGAGCGTCTGATTGAGTTGCTGCGCGAATTCCCTTCAGAGGAGCCTACACGAAAGAGGTTTATTCAGGAAATGATTGGATGGAGTGGAAAGTTTGGACCATTGGAACGGGGAGACCCAGAGCTGCACCACGCTGTTGGTTCAGTATACGCTGAAGGTTGGTGATTATGCAAAAGGAAGCATTGATTGGATTCTAATCTAGCCTCAGACAATGAGCCCTACGATGCCGAGAAACATCTCGTTCTGGGAACCTCCGAATCCGCAGAGACCCTCGCAAAGCTCGAGTACGAGTGGTACACCAACGATGAACCACACACCGCCGCCATCTATGCATCGCGCGCAGTCTTCCCATATCTCCTCACCGGCAACATCCGCAGCGCCAACAAAGCCCTGCTCATCTTCACCTCGCGACTTTCCACAGCCAACCCTTCCCTCGGTGTGCAGGAAATCAGCAGCGCCAGTTCCGATGCCCGGGTCTACCCTGCCCTCCCGTTGCTGAACTTCATCAGCTTGCTGTTGTTGACCATCCAACGCGGAAGTGCTGATCTGTTCAAGCAGCTCACTGCCCACTATGCGGCACAGATTAAAGACATTGGCATCTGGGATGATGCTCTGACTCAGATTGGCGAGCAGTATTTCGCCATTAAGATTCCCCGGCAAGGAAACCCCTTGATGGATATGATGGGCAGTATGTTGTTTGGAGGAGGCCAGGGTAATGCCGGTGGGAGACCACAAGCCCGAGCTGCGAAGAAGGTCGAGTCACCGCCTTCAAGCATGGAGCTTGATTAAGGCACCCAAAGTGCTCTTGCGACAGACATTTGCAGTGATCATACCCAAACTGATAGTGTAATGAAACCAAGATACATGCCATATGCTGGTCCGATCTAGTTCAAAAACGAGTCCTTCTCAGGCTCAAACATCCAATTATCGTCATCCAATGAGGCTGCCTTTTTGCGTAGGCTCTCGTTCATTATGTTCAAAATCTCTGCTTCGAATTAGCACATACTTGGGGATCAAGGCCTAGAACACTCACCGTCAGGCTCATCACTCGGCACTCCATCGCGATGCCGAATCATCATTTCCACCAGATCAGCCTCGTACTCTGTACCAAGTGTCAGTAGACTCAACATAAACAGACCAGTCCATTGTCACATACTCTCTTTCTCCCGTCCACTAAGCTCCGAGGAATCAAAGGCCTCAGCCTCAAGTTCGCCCAATTCTTCCCCATCCTCCCCAATCAGAGGCGGCGGCAACGTCGGAACCTCGAGCTTGTAGCTCCCATTCTTATCCCTAACCACAATCTCCTTATTCTCCACAGACTTCAAAGGCCGCACAGAGGGGCCCGAATCCGAGGATGTAGGCTTTAGCCGGTGCGAGGGCCGGTTCGCAAGGTTGCTTGGGTTTGGAGGGACCGCGCCATTGGGAGGTCCTGCGGAGGCAGGTCGGCGGCTGAGGTTTCCATGGAAGAGGTTGCGCCGGACAGAGTTCGGCCCCATCATGTTGCTGGCTTGTTTGCCCTGGGGTCGCAAGGGGTCTGTCTGTGTTTGTGTTCCGGTGGAGATTGTAGGTGCGGGGTGGCGGCGAGTGATACAAAGAATAGGATAGTTGGAGGTGTCGATAAGGATAGGTTTAGGTTGCGCGAGTCAAGGCTTGTATGATGGAGTGTACTGAGTCATTTCATAGACTCTGTAGGTGAGAATAAATGTTGTTAGGGGGATGACAGGAAGAATGGTGCGGAATGGAGTAGAGAATAGTATAACGTCGAAGTACCAGACACATAGGGATTGACGTCTGATTAATTAGCAGTATCTGACAACTTTATCCTATAGACTACTATTAAGTGGATAACTACAAATAACTAAAGCTAAATACAACCAAATCGAATATAAATCACATCTTCGTGTTTCTAAGTGTTGAGCACAGACCATCTGATAAGCCGTTTATCGCGAACCTCTTCACGCGTTGGATCTCGCGTCTCTCTTGGACTTCATCATTCACCATGGCCGAATCCTCCTCCGCCGCTTCGCGCAATGCTGCAAAGGCAAACACTGCCGGCGCCCCTGCAGACTACGAACTCCCTTGGTGAGTATTATTCCTAGAGGTCACAGATCATACCTAACCTTTGTCTTCAGGGTTGAGAAGTACCGCCCTATTTTCCTCGATGACATTGTCGGTAACACCGAGACCATTGAACGGTTAAAGATTATTGCCAAAGATGGAAATATGCCACACGTTATTATCTCCGGTATGCCGGGTATTGGAAAGACGACTTCCGTGCTATGTCTGGCACGGCAAATGTTGGGAGATGCATACAAGGAGGCAGTTCTCGAGCTGAATGCAAGTGACGAAAGAGGTTGGTTATCACTCAATGGCTTCGATTGACTGGGATGTGATGCTGATCTAGCGATTAGGTATCGACGTGGTGCGGAACCGGATCAAGGGTTTTGCTCAGAAGAAGGTTACCCTACCCCAAGGTCGCCATAAGCTGGTCATTCTCGATGAGGCCGATAGGTACGTATTCCTGGCAAGGCATGTCTGTTTTGCTGTCGCTGACATCTCACAGTATGACGGCGGGTGCCCAACAAGCCCTGCGACGTACCATGGAAATCTACTCGTCCACTACTCGATTCGCTTTCGCTTGTAACCAGTCGAACAAAATCATTGAACCTATTCAGTCCCGTTGCGCCATCCTCCGTTATGCCCGCTTAACAGATGCTCAGGTCGTAAAGCGGTTGATGCAGATCTGTGAGGCGGAGAAGGTCCAGCACTCCGAAGATGGAATTGCTGCTCTTGTTTTCAGTGCCGAGGGTGATATGCGTCAGGCTATCAACAACTTGCAGAGTACCTCGTCCGGTTTCGGTTTTGTCAGTGGAGACAATGTGTTCCGTGTAGTCGACAGCCCGCACCCGGTCAAGGTCCAGGCTATGATCAAGGCTTGCTGGGAGGGTAAGGTGGATGTTGCGCTAGAGGGGTTGAACGAGCTATGGTATGTTGGAACTCACATGATTCGAGACGAGTCGAGCTCTTCTAACAAGGTATATCAACAGGACCCTCGGTTACTCCTCTCACGATATCATCAGCACCATGTTCCGAGTCACCAAGACCATCCCCACACTGTCCGAACACTCCAAGTTGGAGTTCATCCGCGAAATAGGATTTACACATATGCGCATTTTGGACGGTGTGCAGTCACTGCTCCAACTTAGCGGTTGCGTGGCGAAGCTTTGCAGAATTAACATGAAGCCCGAGCTTTTCGAGCCTCCCAAGGCCTAAGACGGCAGTGTCTTGCATATTCCCACGGCGTTTGTTGGCTTCCTTAAGTGACTCTGGTGGCAAAGGTCCTACCAACTGCATAATGAGTTATGTCTTGTCATATGTATCAAAAATCAGTTGCTATCAAAAGGCGCTTTCTTCTTCCAGTATGCGACTTGCACGCAATACATCTATCTCACTTGCCCTCGACATGGCTCTTCCAGAGCTTCTCAACAACCGTAGCAACCCCCAGCACCTTCTCCTCATGAAGTTTCTTCCCGATAATCTGCAGATTGACCGGATACCCGTCCACCTGCTTCGCATCATATAGATTCCAATTCCACTCATCGAGCTGGTTCCTCGGCTCATACCGCTCCGAGGGCATCGCATCCTGATCAGCCCTGACCTTATCCACAGGGAACGTCAATGCAGGATAATCAAGCAGATTCCAAATCTTAGTATATCCCACCCAACGGAACTTCCGATGTGGCACAGCCGTATGTGGCAAAGTAGGACTCAGCAAAACATCAACAGGCTTCCCAGATGGGGACCGCACGGCGTTCCATTTATCCAGATATCCCTTCTGTGCCGCAGCTTTCCGTTTATTCAACTGCCAATATTCATACACCGAGATGGCCTCGCCACGATTGATCAAAGCTTCAACATGTGGAATAAACGGTTCACCTGCCGCAGCTACATCTCGACGGATATCCTCACAGCCATCGGCTGTATAGTACTGATCCATCAGTGCAATACAAGCGGCATGGTCGGATGTATCCCAGGCGATAACCTCATGCCCATTTGCTTTGAGGACTGTCGATAGTTCCTGCAAGGCGCGTGCAATGGGCGGGTGGACTTTAACAACGCCGTCATCAATAATCAAACCGATAACCAGAGGGAGGCTTTGAATTTCCTGGAATGCACCCTCGTTCCAGGGGAGAGGAGCACATCGCGGGTCCAGATCCCAAGGCTGGCTGTTCGCTAACAAACGACTCATATAGCAGATGGACGAGAGGTCTCTAGCCATTGGACCAATTGAAGATGGGACATGTTCCTGGCCTTCCGTTGAGACAGGGACGCCCTGGTATGGGAGTCGCGCACTCTGCATACATGTGAGCGATTACAACTTATAAGGTGGGTTTATCTGCCATATTGGTACTCACGCTAGGTTTGAATCCATACAGGCCTACTGTACTCTGTGGGATCCTCACACTCCCGCCGATATCAGTTCCATAGCCGATTATGGAGCCGTGCATTGCGAGCAGGGCACCTTCACCTCCGGTCGAGCCACCAGGTGAGAAATCTGGATTACGAGGATTGGTCGTGAGTCCCCAGAGAGGGTTCTCGGTTTCGGCCCACTTGCATCAATGTCAGTTTCATTAATTCGGTGGAAGATACAGAGGCACGTTACAGACCATGATACTCTGCGGGAGATTTGTCTTGGCGATGATAATGGCACCCATCTTCTTGAGCATTTGAACAAGCACGGCATCGTCTTCGGCAGGAGCAAAGGATCTGCCCACGTATCCCAAAGTCGTGTCGACGCCTTTAACGTTGAATTGGTCTTTCAGCGTGATAGGGATTCCATGCAGTGGTCCTCTGAGCTTTCCGGTATCTTTAAACTCGGCATCTAGGGCTCTTGCTTGCTCTATAGCGTCTTCGAAGAGGATCTCAGTGAGACTATTTGTCTATTCACCTATCAATGACTGATATATATCGGAATGGGTATGTGAGAGAGACATACCAATTGATGCGCCACCACTGCTCTGATGTTAAACGGTCAGCCTGTGCTCTGCTTGGACAGTTGGAGGACGTACCGTTTGATATAGGATTTGACAACCTGTTCTGCTCGAAACTCTCCTTTCTCGAGGTGTTCGAGCAGCACAACGACATTGTCAATATCTGTGATGGCCTGAACCAACGGGTCTTTCGCCAATTGACTACGCTCTGCGACATTCTGTACTTGCGGTACACGCTGATCTACATCATCCACTAGATATGGAGTCAGGAGTTGATCCCTGATAGTCCGTTTCTGAGAGACGATCTGCTGCCAAGCCTGTGTGCTGCCCATGTTGCTGTTGGTGCATCTTCAGCAGCGGGCGGGCTATCTCTCTATCTATATATATACAGAACATTTTCCTCGGAAAGTAGTCCGAAGTATCTTATCGAACAAGTTGGAGTAACTGGGTATCTCGGAATGTATTCCCCAACAATTTGGGGTCATCGACCCGTGAAGATATACATTGTTAGACCGTTGACCCTTTTGGGAGCGGGGACAAGTGGGTCAAACCTTCCAACCTCTGATGAACTCCAAAGGCTTTTTGGCTTTCTCCGAGATCTTCCCACTCCTCGATGGAGACATCTTAATGGAATCAAGCTCAAGTACCGCAAGTACCTCCGGGCCCGCCGGTGCCATCCGAAAGAACAAGGCCATTGCAAAGCGGGCCTGCGACCAATGCAAGTTCCGCAAGATCAAGGTAAGCAAGACCCCAGCCCCCCACCTCCTTTCTGTAATCTTTATGGATCGGATCGGGATTGACTTGCCTCCAGTGTAGCCTGTCGCAGCCCTGCAAGGCCTGCCAGTCCATGGGCTTTGAATGTACATTTTTTCAACCTCAGAAGAAGCGCGGACCGACGGGGCAGTAAGTGCAGATATCGCCACCCGCCTCTAACACGACTAACCCGCGTCAAGTCGCGTATCGCAAATCCGCCAGCAGCAAACTCATCTGGGAGAAGAAGCTCTCCCAAAGCAAAATGCTTTCCAGTATCAGAGTCCAACGCCTTCCGTGGAGCCCGGGCAGCCGGGTCCGTTGCCCGGAGCACCGTGGCCGTCGGCGCATGGTCCAGTCACGATGCCAGTAGAGGGCGCTGCTGGCCTGGCACCATCAGCACCCCCGACTTCAATGGGGACAGCTTGGGGCGCGGAAACTCCGTCCTTGGATTCTCACAGTAACAGCGCAATGAGCTGGAATGAACGAAATGACGTCGAGTATTGGCTTCCAGATAATCTGGATTCCCAAGTTCCAGTGTTCGAATTCCCAGGAAGCAATGTCTATCTCAAGCCATCTCTCCCATCTATCATCCAGCCTGTCCCGGATGCTCAGGCTATGGGCCTGCCTCCACAGGAGGCTCAAAATATGCCCTTTTCACCGACCGTCGGGTCTATGCACTCAGATAACCAGGAAGGCGATGCTTCCTGGCCATCGACGATCAATGAAGCCAATATGATCCCTTGGATCGACGTCTACTTTGATCGGTTACACCCGACCTTACCCGTTCTCAACAGATCCAGCTTGTACACCGCAATGCTTACTCAGGAGCATCGCAAGAATCCCCAGTTCGGGGCGATGCTCTTGTCATTATGTGCATTCTCACTCACGCAGCCAATTGAGATCAATGAGCGGCCGACAACTTCATCCCGGGCCCTTCAGGCTCGGGCTATGATGCACGAAGCGACCAAAATGCGGAGCTGTTCTGATTTTGGCGAAAACCCAACTATCGAGGCTGTATTAACGAGCTTCTTCCTTTTTGGGTGTTTGTTTGGGAGTAATCAGCATAATGCGGCTTGGTTGCGGATACGCGAAGCCCTCGATCTTGCGGCTTCGCTGGGGTTGAATGATCCTGATTCATATCATGAATTGTCTGGCGAAGAGAAGGGGCAGAGACTACGAACCTATCTCGTTTTATCGATCACAGAAAGGTAATTGACAGGTCGTTACATTTCCATTATCTCGCTAACATCAATCCAGAGCCTATGCTTTGCAACGGCGGCATCCAATAACATTCTGGGGCAAACCCGGGTTTACCATGCGTTCAGTCCACGACTTCATTCACTGTGCCACGCATAGCGTTGTCTCCGGAATCATTGTTCACAATGAGAAAGATGCCGAGGGAATGATGGGTCTCGCACGAATGATGGAACTCTTCGACGCAATAGACGAAGACGTAATCGATTGCTGGAACCGACGATGCGACATCACCAACGGGTACTGTCAGAGACTTACAGAGGCCAAAGCTCTATCGATTCACCAAAATCTCAGTCGAATCAATCAAGCCGAACGATATAGAGGCTATGACTGGTTTGAACGAGCCAAGGGTGGCCGCGGCGAAACCAACAATGTTCTCCTCGCTATGGGACTGCGTGAGACTCAAGCCGCCGACGTCTTCATTACCCAGAAATGGCTCCAGAACCGTGTTTGGCTACTCTCTTCAACACACGGTCTTTTGAGTGTTCACTCGGACCGGCCCGAAATGACCTTTGGGTATGCCGTAACTGTTGCCGAATCAACTCTCCAGCTGTGTCAGTCATTACGGCTTAGTTCCATGGAGGCTCATGGTATAGGTCTGGTATGTCTTTGATACCTCTCTACTACTCAGGTGGCTTTCAACGTGTACTAACAGCTTCAATAGACCGAAAAACTGTACGATATCGCCATCTGCGCAACAAATATTCTGTGCAATACCAGCCCGCCTTGCACCCTCAACATGCCAGTCAACTTCACCGAAAACATCGCCCCTGCTACATCCTCGACGCCACAGTCTCTAGCTGAGGACTTCCTGCTACTCATGACCAGCTTCCGTGGGGGAAATCATCCTTATTTGGAGAAATATAGAGCACATCTGCGTTCGCTGCAAATTATGGAAGCTAAACCTCAGGAGTGGCCTCAGCGGTGATACTGGGTTGTATTTGACGGTGTTTGGTTCAGAATCCTTGTATATACGGAGTTAACACAGACGCCGATGTCTGGAGAAGATGTGACGGAGTATTGGGCGGTCTTGTATCTTGTATTATGTACTATCTTGTTCGCGTTAAATAGAATTTGTGCTTTCTTGTGGTCAAGCTGTGAGGATTTAAAGTCCAAATAATCACATGGTGTTACACACAATCTCCCAAAGCCCGAGATTTCAAAGATTCTTTAATGTTCGAGGCCTCACTTCAAATGACGATTTATACGACCTCCACTTCCGCATAGGAATCTTGGCCGCATACATCTCATCAATCTCAGCAAAAGTCCGACCCCGAGTCTCCGGCATCACGAAATAGAAGAAGACAATGATACCAGCCATGCAACCCGCAAAGACCAGATAAGTCTTCGCGCCAAGATTGGCCGCATCAACAGAAGTCAACTGCGGGACAACAAGCGTTGTAACGACAGCTGTTGTCTGTGCACAGGCAATTGTATAGGACATGGTATGGTGGCGGAGTTTAGGGGTTGCCATTTCCGACGGCATGAGGTTCGACAAGGAGAAGAACGAACAAGCCCAGAAGAAATTGAATATGAAGGCCAGTGCGGCAATCGCCTTAATGGCCTGTTTGTTGCCTCTGTCGAAGGCTAGACCACCAGCCACTACGTCGATCACGAACAGGATGCTCATTCCGACAAATGCTGTTGGACGCCTACCAGCTCGGTCTATGACGAAGGGTGCGGCGATGGTTCCGGCTAATGTACAGCAGGATGCGATAATCGTTAGGGTGAAGGCATTTCCAATTCCTAGTTCTGTGAGGAACAACGTCGTGTACGTTGTTGAGAGGATAATGCCCGAGATTTGATTGAGGGAGAAGAAGGACCCCGCGGTTAGGGTTCGTTTGAGATGTTGTCGGTGGAAGATGTGCCAGAACTTGGCGTGAGATTGTAAGTCCCGTTCATTCATTTCACTCAGCTCCATCAGACGAAGCTCGTCGTCTACTTCTTCATCGCTGAAGCCGCGCAATTTCCGCAGATTGCCTCGTGCTTGTTCCGTTTCCCCCTTCCCGACAAGCCATTGTGGGCTTTCTGGAAGGGGTATTGTCAAAACGAACAGGATAACTGGCAAGACACACTGCACAGCCAGTGGGATTTGGTAGGCTAAGAGTCCACCGATCTTATCAGATCCGAAGACCACCACAGTGCCTACCACGCCGGCTGTCAAGTTCAAGATGTTGGTTGAACTAACACATCTTCCTCGTATTGAGGCGGGAACCACCTGTTTGGACAATTAGTATCATTCAACTCCACAAGCTGGAAGGGCATGCTACCTCGGATATATACAGAGGAGCAGTCGCATTGACAATTCCCAATGCAACTGCATTGATTGAACGGCCTCCCACAAAGGCCCCCAGATTCGGTGCAAAGACTTGAAGCAGTCCACCACCCACGGATATAATATATGCAGCTATCAAGGGCCACTTGCGACCAAAGTGGAAGTTCAACGGCGAGGCAAGCAGTCCTCCGATCACGGAGCCCACCAACGGAAGGGAGAAGACGAGGTTTTGATTGCGCGCCGTGAGGACGTACTTCCCGGAGACCGGGTTGGGTCCTTGGAATTTCTCGACCTGATCGCTGTTAGGCTCTTATCCATTGTCACAATATGGAGGGACACTCACAAAAGGAACCAATGCGGCAACCGGAGAAATGATTTTGTCGTCGAACCCGAACAAAAACGAGGCGGCACCAAAAACTGTACAGGCGAAGATCAACTGGGCATTGATCGCTTTCCCAGATCTTCCCTCATGCAACAAGTCGACATGCTGGACGTCTGCGCCAGAGCCATCATCTTCCTTTCGGCAAGACATGGCGACGCGGATCGAGCAAAACCAATGCCAAAAGAGCGTGGTCAACCCAAAGTTCCTGGAGCAAAAACCAGGCACTAGGGCCATGGGGGATGCAATATATATACAATGTCAGTCCATGTCCAGGGCCCGAACGTATGCAAGAAGCAAGGGAGTGGAAGGGATCCCCAGATTCCCCAAGATTTGCGCCCCGGATTTAATTGTCGCATGGAGTTTCTCCGAGATTTCCCATTTCATCAGCGACCCTGCTCTCCACGCCAATGACAGGCCAAAAATCCGGGGTTCACTGGCTGCTGTCAGGCTTCTGCTATTCCTGTATACTCCACTTCCCCAGTGATCGTCTTGGTTGTGTGATGCTGACCAGTTTCGCCGACAATCATCCGTCGACATATGCCGAACTCATCTCCGACTAACTGCCGGGGCAAATCGTTCTTCAGATATCCACTGAGCTGGTTTGATGCCCGTTATATTCATTCCGAGTGGATGCCTCTATATTCTGACCTTGGTGGTGAAGCGAAATGAGAGACCCGCCAGCCAAGACGATGATCTAATGCAGTGGATTCTTTCTCCCTCGAAGCTATTTCGTCCTAGCGTTCGCCATTTTTAAATTCGATATCCTACATGTCTGGCACGGAAACTCCAGATATGGATGCGCCTATCCAGAAATCCCGACAAAAGCCTACAAGATCTGAAAGCCATGACGTGATTGGCATTTCATATCACAAGAACGCACCTCGAATCCCTACACAATGGCGACCATCATTTCATTTCCTCGCCCCGGCCGGATGGATGAACGATCCATGTGGCCTTGGCTATGATCCAGCAACAGACCTATACCATCTATCATTCCAATGGAACCCACACGGCAATGACTGGGGCAATATGTCCTGGGGCCACGCCACATCTCCAGACCTGGTATCATGGACGACATACAAAGACCCAATTCTAACACCGACGGCTGATTATGATTGTCGTGGCGTCTTCACGGGATGTCTGCGATCAACCGACATTTCCGGCAATGCAGGGTCTCTCACTGCCATATACACCTCTGTGAGCAATCTCCCGCTCCATTACACGCTACCATATGTCACTGGGAGCGAGTCGCTCAGTATAGCTATCTCTGAAGATGGCGGTATGACCTGGGAACGCCAGGATTGTAACCCAATTCTCACTGGTCCCCCTGGGCAATTCAACGTGACGGGCTGGAGAGATCCCTGTATTACGACTTGGGCTGAGGGGCCTCTTTCCAAGGGTTCACCATTAACTCTGTACGGATTCATATCCGGAGGTGTTGTCGGCCAGACACCAACTGCTTTTGTGTATACTGTGGACCCCAATGACCTGCGCAAATGGGAGTTCCTTGGTCCATTAGTCGACGTCGGTCTCAACCTGCGACCTTCCCGCTGGTCCGGCGATTTTGGAGCAAATTGGGAAGTTGCCAATATGATGACTCTATCCGATGGCAATGTTTATCGGGATTTCATCATTCTGGGAGCAGAGGGATGTCTGCCTTCAGAGGACGCAATCAAAAACGGTGTACGGGAAGCTGGTAGCAAACGAGAACCCCGAGGCCAGCTTTGGATGTCCGTCAAAGCATCTGAAAAACAAAACTCCAATTCTACAGATGAAGCCCTGGCTTCATATGCATTCTCTGGGTTCTTCGATCACGGCTGTTACTACGCAGCGAACTCATTTTGGGATGTCCAAGCTTCTCAGCAAATCGTGTTTGGATGGATTACGGAAGAGGATCTTTCTGATTCTCTGCGCCATCGGCAAGGATTCAGTGGCTTGACTTCTCTACCTCGTGTCGTGGAATTGATGACATTGAACAATGTGAAAAAGGCTCGCAACTCGTCATTGAGTTCAATTACCTCAATTGAAGTTATCCCTGATGCACATGGCACAGGCAATTTCACTGTTCATACAATGAAAATCAGCCCCGATAGCCGGCTTTCACGTCTTCGAGAAGGTGCTCAGAAGAGTCAACTTGTCGACATACCTTTATCTACCACAGCAAAGGTCATGACGGCGTTACAATCAACTAAATGGGAGATTAAGGCCGAATTCTCTGTCGGTCAATCTTGTACACGTGTGGGCATCAAAATCCCACATACTTCCGGTAAGACCCATTCTAACAAGCCAATCTGTCCCATAAAATCCACCCACTAATACACTATTAGACTCACAAGACCAAAAGTGCACAACGCTCTCCTGGACCCCAGACAGTGAAACATTCACCATCGACCGACCGCACCTTGACAACACAGAAGTAAACCAAGGCTTCGAAACCGCGCCGCATACACTATTCACTTTCTTGGACGAGCAGGGTCAAGAAATCGAGGAGACTCTCCGAGTACGCGCTTTCTTTGATGCTAGTGTATTGGAGGTGTTCGTTAATGACAGGACGGTCATTTCCACACGCATCTATTACCCCGAAGACCATTGTTTTGGACCTATATTCTTTGCGGAAGCTGATACCGCCGAGAAGGGTGCGCAGCCAGCGGCTGTTCTCATGAAGGCTGATGTTTGGGATGGGATTGGAGTGTGAAAGTGTTGGGTTGTGTTGGTGAATACAGTCATAGGCCTTAAGTCCTTTCACACCCCGGCCTTTGTATGATCTACGTGATCAATTCAACATTATAAACAACTGCAACCATAAGCACTTGAAAATGGGCAAAGAGAGGTAAAAAAAAAGGCCGAAGTAGGGCGAAAAAGAATGTATAAAACGGTATTCTCGTTTCGCGGCATTCGTGTGGAAACTGTCCAATACTCCAATGGCACTGTATACATATTTATGACCCCTGTTGTATTGAGATGCAACTTTATGATTATTATGTATAATGCAGCCATAAGATTTCAGTAGTAACACAAGGTAGAATCAGACCGAGCGTGGCAAATAGACGAGCAAGTAAGAAAAAAAAATCAATCAAAATGCACGCACCTAGCCATGGTCATGAAATCGTACGCCAAACCGGCATCCATTGAGCAAGCGCGCGAATACAGACAAACACAGATACAGATACGGACACTGATGGCTTTTACTCCAGTATCCGTACACCCGAGATATATACATGGGTATCAAAATCATAACAGCGAAGGAGCAGACTTGTCTTATCGGGAACCACGCTTCCAGAATTTCCAGCTGGGGAAGTCGATGCGGCCATCTCGTTTGTGGATACGCCAGTAGTAGACTGGTACACCGGTGATGATGAACGCGACCACGATGAGGGTCTGCAGGGGTTCGGCGATGACTGCTCGGCTAAGGAGGAATAGACTGACGCAGCAGAAGATGATTGGGGTAGTGATCCAGGTGCGGTAGGGTCGTTCCAGGTGTGGTTCGCGGATGCGGAGGACGATGAGACCGAGTACCGTGAGGAAGTAGAAGGTGTATCCTGCTACACCGTAGAAAGTAACCAGGGTGCCGAACTCGCCGACGACGATGTATATGGTAGTGAGAGCGCCGTTGAAGGCCATGGCATAGATGGGTGTGAGGCCGAGGGTGGCTTGATCACCGAAGACTCGGGAGAGAGATTTGCGAGCCCAAGAGCGGCGGCGTAGTCGGCTGCCTGCTGGGGGACCTGTTGATGGAGTGGCGGAGAGGCCAATGCGGCCAAATAATGAAGGGAGGTAGCCTTCTTTTCCGGCTGCGTAGACTAAACGACCGCTTGTGAAGGTTGTTGCGTTAAGGGCTCCGAAACAGCTGGCTGAGACGACTAGAGCGAGGATTAAAGCTCCTGCAGCGCCGAAGACTTTTGCGCCGAATTGCACAGCGATGGTGTTGCTTGCCTCGATAGTAGAGTGAGGCAGAACGAGGAAGTATGAGACGTTTGCGAGTAGATATGACAGGATGACCAATGGCATCGCTGTGTGGATGACCCGAGGCAGGTCGCGGTTGGGATTCTTGAACTCGCCAGTCACGTAGTTGGTCTAGTGATGCGTAAATAGAGGGCTTTCAAAAGGAGTAGATGGCACTTACATTGTCCCAGCCGTCAAATGCCCATAATCCTGCATACAAGGCAACTGCAAAGTCTGAGATCTCTGTGTTGGTGCCCTCAAACCATCCTGTTGTCTTCCATTCCTCGTTCGCATCTCCTCCGGACGAAAGGCCAGTCACGGCGACTATAACACCAATGACGGTGACTCCCAACAGAGCCACAAATTTGAAGAACATGAACACATCTCCGATACGGGTTGCGAACTTGGTAGATATACAGTTGAACAGAGTGACCGTCAAAAGGCCACCAAATGCAACACCCTTATTGATCCATGGACTGACATCTCCCACATCGGCACCCACAAAGGCACGAACGACATATTCACCGAAGATGATCGATATGATCGCCGCAGACCCAGGCTTCAACACCAACACGGCACACCATGTAAAGAGGAAACCCGGGAGCTCTCCAAAGATCTTGGACAGATAAATCTGCGAGCCACCATTGAGCGGAATAGCTCCTCCCAGCTCCGCATAGCTCGCAGCACCCGTCCAGGCCAATAGACCAGCCACAGCCCAAACAATGAGCGAGGCGCCTGGCGACCCGGCGTTGGCATTGACCTGACTCGGCGAAGAGAAGATACCAGAACCAATAATGAGCCCAACAATAAGCGACAGACCATTCAAATATGTCAACGTCTTATTCCGCTCCAGCGATCCATCCACCTGTCGGTCCGCTGACGGAGTCCCAACCGGCGCATATCCGCCCTGTGTTTGTGACAGCGGGAAAAGCGTACGTCCAAAATCAAATGCCGAGGAAATGGAATATGACCGGAGACCCCTCTGGTGACCCGATTCGAGTTCGATATCCCGATGCGACTCCCCTAGGGGATCTTCGTCCTCGAGGGAGAGCTTGCGGGATGAGGAGATGCCATCTGGGGAGGAGGAGCGCGAGGAGCCCACAGAGACGGGGGACGAGGATGCGAGGGAGGCGAGTTCTAGCGAGTCTCGAGGAGCGAGGTTGCCATTGCTGTTGCCTTGTGTGTAGGCGTTCGACATTCTCTTTGTTCAAGCGAGGAGAGATGGCGATGCGATGGCGATGGCGATGGCGAAAGATAGTATATCGTCAGAGGCGAAGGGGTTTCCCCATTGCCCGAACGAGAACCGCGAGTAGTGAGTGTGAGTGCGTGAAAGAGAGAGAGTGTGTGAGAAAGCAGTCGTTGAGAGAAGAAGGGTGCCAAGGGGTGCAATTTATTGAGTGTCGATCACCCAATCGGCGCTTGTTCTTCCCATTCCCCGCGATTTCTCTCTTTTTCTCCCTCATTGCGCTTCCATGAAACCTCACACGCCTTCTCTGTGCTGTAGAGGCAGCTTGAGAGCCGTTGCCCGGCCTCGCTATGCTTCAATCGCAGCCTCACCCTCACCACCACCCTCGGCCTCGAACCCAAGTCCGATCCCGACTCCGTCACCCAAGTCTTCCCCCGGCTCCAACCCACGTCGCTGGCTGGGCATTATATTCGTGGGAGTATCAGCCGCAGCCGCAGGTGCATATATCCGGTCCCAGAGCTCAGACTCGGCGACCCTAAACCCAGACACGTTCACGAAGTACAGCCTCGTATCGCGCGAGCCCGTGTCGGCCACGAGCAGCCTCTTCACCCTGCGACCGCGCAAACCCAGCGGAGACAACTACGACGTCTACGAGGAGGCATGGCGGGTCGGAGTATGGAGTGTGATGTTCAAGCAACCCCAGCTTCAGATTGGAAGGGATTATACACCGCTACCTACGACCGCTGCGACATCGTTAAGTGTGGACGATGAGAATGAGGGTTGCTTGCGCTTTTTCATTCGTAAGGATCCTTTCGGGGAGGTGTCGCGGTACCTGCATAGCATTGATGTAGGTGCTGATGTGGAACTGCGTGGTCCTAAGATTGAATGCGCTATACCGAGTGAGACCGATGATATTCTTTTTATTGCTGGTGGGACTGGGATTGCGCCGGCTCTACAGGCTGGATATTCTCTATTGTCTCGCACGAACAGTGAGCGTCGGCCGAGGATTCACATTCTGTGGGCGAATCGGCTGAAGGATGATTGTGCTGGTGGTCAAAGTGATTCCGCGAAGCCGCAGCCCCGAGGCTGGTTCTCTGGGTGGTTTGGCTCGTCCAAGACTCTCGAGAGCAAGAAACAGGATGCAGTGGCTGTCATGGAAGACAAGCACACTTCTTTGATTGTACGAGAGCTCGAGGCCCTCAAGTCGCAATACCCCGGGCAGGTTACCGTGGACTACTATTTGGACGAGGAAAACACGTTCATTGGAAAGAAGGATATCATGAACTCGATTCAATCCACACCAACAGACAGCTCTCGCAAGAGCAAGCTGATTTTGGTTTCCGGGCCCGAGGGCTTCATCAGCTATATGGCTGGGCCGAAGCTCTGGGCACAGGGACAGGAGCTCCAAGGACCCTTGAAAGGAGTCATTCGGGAACTCGACCTCAAAGAATGGGGCGTGTGGAAGCTCTGAGCTCTGAACCTGTACCAACATCGGAAAACTTTTGTCATTAAAGCATATTATATAGCATGGATATACTGGGGAGTTATGTTGAATAAACAGTCGCAACTGTCTTGGACTTTCGTCCTATTTCGTTACCCATCACACGTTCCTGGCTAGAAGCTCCAGGTTGAATTCGCTCAAACACAATAATGCCCTCGAATCTATTGTCCGGTGGCAAAGTCTTCGAGGTACTTCACCAATTTCTGCACATTTTCCAACGGAACCGCGTTGTAGTTGCTGGCACGCATGCCACCTACACTGCGGTGGCCCTTGAGGCCTTGGAGAAGACGCTTCTCAGCACCTGCAATGAACTCCTTCTCCTTGACCTCATCGCCGCCATTGACGCGGAAGCAGATGTTCATGCGGCTGCGGACGCTGGCGTCCGGAACAACCTGGTACACTTGAGGGTACTTGTCCAAGACACCGTAGATAAGCTGGGCCTTTTTGTTGGCGACGGCCTCTTGGCCGCTGACCTTCTGGGTGCTGAACTCGGCCACAAGGTCAGCCATGACCTGGCCAGCAATCCAGAGATTAAAGATAGGGAGGGTGTTGTAGAGGGAGTTGTTCTTCGCGATAGTGGCGTAGTCGAACACGACCGGACCGGGGAGACCACCAATGTTCAAGCGGTGAAGGAGAGCAGGGGGAGGAGTCGCGGTCTGGGGAGGGAGGAGATCCTTGCGAACAATGGAAATGGTGATGCCAGTGACACCAATGTTCTTTTGCGCGCCGCCCTGTGTATACAATTAGCTTGGTACTGCCATGTTGAGTAGGTTATTACTTACGAAGATGACAGCATATTTGCTAACATCAACCTTGCGGCTGATGAAGTTGGAGCTCATATCAGCCACAACAAGGCGCTCGTCCTCGGCATCCTGACCCTGAGCCTCCAATGACTTGGGGAATTGCTGGAACTCCACACCATCAACGGTCTCGTTGTCACAGAAGTAGACAAACGCGGAACCCTTGCCGCCCTCCTTCTTGGTGGGGGTCAAAGACCAGGACTCCTCAGCGGGAATAGTTCCAAACTTTCCACCGTTGGCCTTGCGAGCATCAAGAGCAATGTTCACGTACTTGGTACCGACAAGCTTGCTCGCTTCCTGGGAAGCCTTGAGCGACCAAGATCCAGTTACAAGGTAATCCAACTTCAACTCCTCCTCAACTTCCTTCTGGAGTCTCTGGAAGACCAATTCGTCGATCTGCGACTTTTCCGCACCGGGGTTAGCCGCCTGCGCATCGGTCTCAGCCCTGCGGCGGCGGCGCTCAATCCAGACGGAAACAAGGTTCTGCACCACAGCGCTGAAACCACCGCTACCACCGGCCTGCATGAACAGGATCTCATAGTTGTCGGGAATATCGAGCAGAGCGGTCAAGTTGGCTTTGGCATCGTCGAGGATCTTGTTGGCCGTGGGCGAGCGGTGCGAGATCTCGCCGAGACCTAGACCGCAATCGTTGAAGTTGACGAAGGCCTTGGCGCCGGCCTCGACGACGGAGGTAGGGAGGGGAGCTGGGCCGGCTCCAAAGTAGGAGATTTCTTGTCTGGAGGGCATGATTGAGGTGAGGATATGTGCAGAAAAGAGAAGAGCGGGAGGGAAAAGATCAAAGTGTGGACCGTCGGTGGATCACCCGGGAGTACAGAGTATTTATACGAAGGTTATGCTCTTCCCAGGTTATATGTTGATGGGATTTTTTTTGAAGAAATAGCGCCCAATATATTCACCGGACGTACGTTTGTTGGCATCCAATTACCAGTTTCATAGGAAGTCCCGGCAATGGCGGGGTATGAGTCAATTGTGAGAACCCTGGAGGTTGAGTCAGGGAATATATTGATATTTTTACTGCTTACTATGTACCTAATGCTCTGAAGAACTTGATGCTTGAACTACCATGTTGCTTTATTCAACTTCATTTGATGATCGCCGTCTAACGTTATACAATACTCTATTCAATGGCGGGGTCAAGGCATATACTTCCTGCCCAAGGCATTTTTGTCGATAGTACAGAGTACATGTATAAGCAATTAGTCTGAGGTGACTATGTCCAGCTGAATACTGTAAATGTAATTGCCCTCTGCTCTGTGTCTATAACTTTGTGTATACTGTTATACTGTTACTGAGTAGTAGATTACTGAGTAGTACATAGATGGATCCGGTATCGGCTGAACGCCGAGTCACGTGCAGTATGATGTGATCGTTTTGCACTGTTTGTCTCATATCGAAGTATCCCGTCCATACACGACTATGTATCAATTTATTCTGGCCTGGCACAGACGACCATCAGCCTGAACTTCCCGTCATCACTGCCCACTGATGTCGGAGCATTAAAAGTCCGGAATGGATTATATTTCGGTTTGATCGCGTGCAGCGAATTGTAGTTGGAACCAAAAAAGGCCTGCTTCCAGTCTGGCTGTTGGAGATCCGCCTGTCTGTATGGTTAGCTGGTGAAAGTCATGAATGTGCCTCGCCTTGCGTCACTCATGTAACACCCCGAGTCTGGAGTCAAGTCTGTCAAGATCGGCACCCACTCGGTCATCATTCGGCCTGCTAGGATTTTCATCTCGGTGAGGTTGGCACCGACGGGCCAGTTCCTAGAGTTCGTATGTCAAGGAGCCCTTCGAAGCAGCTGCACATCATGCTGGAGAAGAGCGTATGTAGACAAGATAACACTCAATGCCGCTGTACGCCACGCAGGGGGAACTGAATTCCAGATATTGCCTGTCACAGATGACGAGACATTCAGACCAATGCCCACGAATGTGACCGCATCAGCGGTGAGTCTCTGGACGGCATCCGTGAGCTGTGAGTTGTTCTGCTGGATGACATCGAGCGGGATAAGACAACCGCCATATTGCGCGTTTTGCACCAGCTGCGTTGGGTTGGGCTCGATCAGTTGCATATAGTGCTGAAAATAGGAGGGCGACTGGGTGATGTTCAGGGTGTAGGAGATGTTCAGTTCATGCAGGTTTGCAGAAAAGGCGCCAGCAACGTCTTGGCCTCCGCTGCTGCATGCATGGGCAGTGTCAGTGGGGTGAGCAGGAACGACGAGCGTGTGGTCTCTCCAATCTTCTACTTAGGTGACGGGGTCGCCGTGGATGTATTGCATGATTTGCCAATCCGGTGCGAGGAGTCGGAGATCTTAACCTTCTACACGGTAAATGGCACGAGCTGTGGCCAGTATGCCCAAGACGTCCTGAAAAGCGCCACGGATATCTGCTCAATCCCACCAGCATGACGGAGTGCCATTATTGTCGTTACAGTGGCGGACGATCATAGGTATATATATATTGTAGTTTCTGATCAGGGGAAGGTAACGGATCTAGTTCAGGAACTAATCATTCAGTAGTACCGGCAATATGGCTATGAGTTTGCTAATCGGCATCGCAATGTCGGCATTTCATCGGGTTTATCGCATTCAATTTTCACCATGGTTCTAGTGATAATCTATCTCACTAAAACGCGCCGTCAATGATGAAAGGTACATTCCTGGTTGTTATGGCTCCAGACTACAAGAGGGAACTAAATGTTGGGAGTGACTTTGATTTAGAGTAGAAAAGCCAAGATAGATAGGAAAATTTAATTGAGTGATCTGGTTCTCTCTCTCCGAGTTCCCTGCGTATGATTCTACTCGCAGTATCCTAGCTCTAGGCCTCAACAGAAGTGACATGACATCCACTACAGCTCCGGCTTTTGAGCAATGATCTTTCCCAAGAAAGCTCTCCTCCGCAACCGAACTAAATGGAACATGGAACTATACCGACATTGGGAGGTAAGACATCACTAGCGTGGCGGGTTTCTCTTGGCCAATCTGCTTTGGGAAGCTCAACTCCAACTCCATGGTGTAAGTGCCAACATCCATCTCATACCAAGGTGTCTTGGCTACCAAGACTTAATTTATCCTAGATTAGCAGATGGGAGACCCGTGCATATTAAGACCTGCAACTTTTCTTCGAACAAGTCGAAGTGCCGAACAATTGGTATTCCGAGCTGAATCACTCTTTTCCCTCAGTCTGTTGTTATATTTGCGTCCTGCACACTATGAGCAAGATGAAGCTTTCCAGTGACAAATGATCATGGCTTCCTCAGATGAGGGTGCTCAGCTAAGCTATAACACGTCGCCCTCACATCATAGGAACAGACAGGAGGAAGCTTTCCAGCCATTCCCATAGATTGGCAGTCCAGTAAAGTCCCTTATCCACACATATTCCATTAAAAATATCAAAGCTTCATCTAACAATCCATAACCTACTACCAGACAGCTCTAGACATGGGCGCATTCGCAATTGCCTTTACAACTCTATCGATGAGTCTCATGGAGTGGCGAAGCGCAGTCATTACAAATGCATATATCGGAATTGCTTCTTCACGGCGGGGATGGGCCTAGTGTTGATCGCCCAGTGGGAGCTAGTGCGCGGGAATTCCTTGGTCATACAGTCTTTGGGGGGTTTTGTCAGTATCCAGTGTCCTCTATCCCGACGTTTGTGCTCTGTTCTGGATCTGATTATTTGCTTTTATCCAGGTTTGTTTAACCTGGCTTTTGGGGCGATCAATGCACGGCCTTTGGGGTCGCGGATGTCTTTAAAGATGATCCTGCCGCATTGAATGATGCGATTAGATACTTCCTACTCGGTGAGTTCTTTTATTCTTCTAGTTGGGGTTATGCTAATATGACGACAGTATGGGGATATTGGTTCTCTTTTTCACCGTTGCTGCACTGCCAATGTCAGTAACCACATATCTATTTCAAAAGTAAAAACTTGGTCACAGCTGACTAGGAAACAGGAACCTGGTGTATACGGCTATGCTTGAAACCACCCAAATCACATACTGTGTTGGCTGCCTCGTACTTCTCGATGGCAGACGATCGTGTATTAACTGTAGTCGCTCTGAAGAAGGCCGCAGGGGCGTTCGGCCTTGTCTCCGGGTTGTTGGCCTGGTATAAGTTACGGTCGACCACCTGATGTGTCAGGATGCACTCCTGTTCTCACTTTTCGCTGGGAGATACCAGTTCTTTGTATGCGCGATTGCGGCGGAAGAGATGATGCATCATAGGTAGGATAGCAGGGCCTTTAGGGTCAGCGGCGCGGCTGTTGCCATTCATCTGCTTTTACGTGGCGACGATCCTGTTCTGTGGGTGGCTCATGCCCAAGACCGGCTACTTTATCCTCCGGTACCTCGCAAGCGGCATCCTTATGCTCATTGGGTCCGTCTTGATGTACACTGTGCGCTTCGATACCCGCGCCGCCAACGTCTACGGGTACTCCATCCTGATGGGTCTAAGCATGACCACCACGCAGGCTGCCTATGCAGTGGGACCAGCCCTGGTGACTCCAGACCGGGTGGCCGAGTGCATTCAGTTCATGAACATCGGCCAAGGCCAGAGTCAACCGCTGGGATTGGCCATCGCAAGTGCCATTTTCCAAAGCAAGACACTTAGCGGGCTCAACGACCTGTTAGGGAGCAAGGGTTATTCGCAAACAGAAATTGAAGGTGCCGTCGCCGGCGCCCAGAGTACCCTATTGGAGAAGCTGCCCCCGGCTTTGAAGGTACAAGCCCTGTTAGTGATTGTGGATGCGATCGATGCTGTCTACGTGATGGCGGTTGCGGCGGGGCCTTGTACGTCGCTGCATCCTGCATGCTGCCTCCTCGTCGGTTCTAGATCATTTTGGGAGGGAGCAGCTATGTAGAGCCATACCTCGAGACGAGATATTGGATTCTCGTCCGCGAGTTGGGGTGATTTGGTAATGGGGGTTTTTCTGTTCTTTGAGCGCGAGGTTGACTTCTAGATGCCCTTCACACTTTTTATCTATCATAATGTACTTAGCCGGTGGAACCAAAATACACAATCCCCTTCTTGCTATTTGGACTTTCCACCTGTTTACCTTAATTGGCAAGGCGCAGTGATTGGATTCATCAAGTATTCTTTGCTGAGGCAGACTGAGGCAAAGAGAGGAGGAGATGGCTGGAATGAAGAGTCGCAATTGATAGACCCTTTATAAATTACTTTGGCCCATATCTTCATATCAATACTATACTATATACTATGATGTCACCGCCCCATGTCTTGGATGAAGGATCCTGGGACTGCAAAGACAGGAGTTGAAGGTGCGCGATTTTGCTTAAATATGAAGCTGCGACCTGATTCCTGAAGATGTGGCAGTGAAATTGACCGCTCCTGTGTTGACTTGCCTCTCCTTTCCTTTCTCTTTCTCTTTCTCCCACATCTCCCTACTATTGACAATGTCAAACACCGATCTTCCTAATCCCGAGCGCCGCCGCAAACCAGCCAACATATACTACTCACTCCCATACTTCGAATCAGTCATGTACTCCTACGTCTTCGTCGGCTCGTTCACCTTGACCTGGGTAGCCGACTACCTCACCATAGTTGGAAAAACATGTATGTGGACCGGGTTCGCCGTAACGTGCGCACTAGTGATCGCCCTCCACCCAATGATCACCACCGATCGGATAAGACCCGATGAGAATGGGAATCCCATTACAGTACGCCGTCCGCTGGTCGGGTTTAAAAGATGGGAGTTTGCTTTGGATATCGAGAGTATTGAGAATGGGCTTTATGATGATCCGGATGGGAATCAGGATGAGAGACTTCATGATGGGTGTCGGTATACATATGCTTGGATTCGGATATAGATAGTCCTTCTGATTTGATGGGTGTTGTGGTATCCTCATGAAGCTCTTTGTATTTTTCGGTTGAATGGAGTTCCTGGCATGTTAGGTTGTCTACTAGCAGGTCAAGTAGACGGTGGAATTGAACTTGAGATATGCTTGAAAATGTACTTATCCCGCCGATCAAACTTGCCAGGATTATCCTGTACTATATAATTCTTGCGGACTGAAGCAGTGGCTCCTCGTTACTTTCGATACTATCATGACTGCATCGCATCATTCATCGACCGGGATAAACCTCAACATCAACTTCCGCCCGCGCGGCAGCGAAATAAACGCGTAGTCCTGCTCGATACCTTCGTCGTCTACAATAGATGTCGTGTAATTTGAATACACAGCCGCCATGACCAATTTAATTTCTGCATCATTAGTCTCTTCTCCAATTCCCCTAACTGGGAGACATACCTTGCAATGCGAAATTACTCCCAAGACACATGCGTCCACCGCTCCCGAACGGCCAGAAGAGCCGCCTCATGTCGTGGATCTTTTCGCCTGGCTCGAGCCATCGTCGTGGCAGCCATTCCAGCGGGCGCGGGTAGACCTCACTGATGCGGTGGAGGGAGTAGGCGGTTGAACTGATCTTCACGCCGCCCGGGATGTTGTCATACCCGTGCAAGGAAGTTCCTTTTTCTGTGGTGGGGGTGATGCGGGGGAGTTGGGCTGGGGCTGGGGAGTGAAGACGGAGTGTCTCGCGGATTATAGCGTCTAGCAGGGGCAGGGCGTCGACCGCGGAGGCAGGGGGAAGGGGCTTCTCTCCGTCTGCATCTGGGTATCTGAGGGACGGAGATAAAGTGCGTAGTTCCTTTCGCAGCTCGGCCTGAAGCTCCAGTCGCTGTGACAGCTCCCACATCATGTACGTGAAGGTGATGCCTGACGTTTCGTGCCCTGCAACCAGGTGGTCCAGCAGTTCGGACGCAATTGCTAGGTTCAGCGGGCGCGGATCGTATTCTTTCTGGGGGAGGAGGCTCTGGTGCAGTTGGTCGTAGACGACTGGGTTCGTGGCTGGCAGCTTCTCCTCATCTCTGAAGACGTCCTGTTCCTTAGACGCCTCTATCCGCTCGCATAGCTCCAAGCACCACCTCTCAATAAACCCCATATACCGGTCGTCCCGACTCAAATACTTGAACCGCTCATACTCCTCTAACCATACCTTCCACTCGGGAATATTAAACAAATACCTCGTTCCTTGTCTCAATCCAAACAGGAAAGAGGAGGTAAAGTCCATCCCAACCGCCTGGAATAGTGGCAGCACATTCAACACCTCTCCACCCTCCCCCGCCTTCTTGAGAATAGGCATCAACCGCTCCCACAGCACAACCTTCGAGATCGTGCGCAGATCACTGGATTCCTGGAGAAACGACTTGGAGTAGATCTTACTCAACATGCGCTTCTGGTGCGCGTGCGGCGCATTGTGTACCATGCCGACCAAATTTTCGGTGTTGAAATTGACGAAGACATCGTTGTAGAAGGCATGTTTCTCGAATGCGCCCGTATATACTATTCTCAGACCATGGAGGGAATTGACGCTCAGCTCCTTGGGGCCGAGACGAACGATGGGGCCATGCTTTTGATGCAGGGCGTAGATGGTGAGGACTTCCGTGGCTGTGCTGCGCTTGCGGTCGATCCAGTAGCTAGAAAGGGGGGATGTGAAGTGGGCATTGGGGATGAAAGATAGCGGAGAGAGGAAGTAGGGGCTTATTACATGGTGGTATATGAGGTAGGAGGTGAGGATGAGGAGTGCGAGGGCAATGAGGGGGGTCATGGTGATGGCTGAGGGAGGGTAAAGAGGAAGAAGATGAAATGCCAATCAGATGGCGGTTATTTCAATTGATAGTCAGTCCCACGCATGCTCTGTTCTCATGCAAGGAATCTTGTCCCCGCCAAAGCAATGGGGTTGGATAGCAGGATGTCCGTACGGACTAGTATCGAGGGCGCCAATCATTGACTTCTGGGTTAATTGATTGATCCGAAGAGAAGATATCTACGGAGGAATATGTTGAAAGAGAGACTCGAGTCTTGAGTGTTGATTAAGCTAGTATTCCGAGTACATTGGCGCCGATTTACCAGGCGGAACGGGTGTCTGTACGGCCAGAGGGACCCGGGGGGAGTCAAACCCCTTAATATTAGAAACCAATTAGTTTGGAGGATTTTGTTGGCCAGAATTAATTATCTTATATAATATATAAGTAAGGGCTTGGCGCCCTTACAGGTCGAAACAAAGCTCAAACCCCCCACTCCTGGCGTGGCAATAACAACCACAGTGGAGCCACAATCAACACGGAGCCCTAGTTCACACTAACTTGCACGATGCTGCAACCATGCTCTGCCGTCCTGCTACAGAGTTTCACTATCTCAGCTGCCAAGAACGAAGATTCTGTTGGAGGCGAGCTGCTCCACTGTCGGCCAGAAGCGCCGGGTGAATTCCACGAGGCGGAGAATATTCCAACGCTGGATACTCTGCTTTTATACTGATGTGACCTACCGTTACCCCTGTCTTTTCATACTTAGCCTTCGTTGCCTTTGTTGTCTTCGTTGTCTACATGTCAATATGCTCTGGAACAAAGACCCTTCAACAGTTACCATGACTCAAGCCGACGAAGCCCAGTCCAGAGGCCAGGTCGCCCCCAAATGGCGCGGCACCCAGGCCGACCAGGCCGATATGAGCGCTCTGGGGAGAGACCAGGTCTTGCGGGTATGTCCCTTAGTACTATGGTGGCTTATGCATCTGAGCTGACCTTGCAGCGTAACTTCCGATATATCTCCATCGTAGGATTTGGCTGCACGCTGATCGCCACGTGGGAAGTTATTTTGACGTATGCCATCTATACTTACTCATTGGTTCGATGACTGACTGTCCAGTCTGCTGGCGCAAGGCCTGACCGATGGAGGAACTGCCGGTTTGATCTGGGGGTTCCTCATCGTCGCTGCTGGGTTCCTTCTGGTGTTCCTGAGTCTGGCCGAGATGGCATCCATGTGAGTCTACCCATTGAGACTTTCCATCCATTCTGACTTCCCAGGGCTCCCACCTCCGGTGGACAGTACCATTGGGTATCGGAGTTTGCCCCTCCTAGCTGCCAGAAATTCCTCAGCTACATCACCGGCAAGTTCTCCCCCGCCCCACCAGCTCAACCAAACTAATTATGTAGGCTGGCTGTGCGCTATGGGCTGGCAATGCGCCATTGTGTCGATCGCCTATTTGGCTGGAACTATCATCCAAGGCCTGGTCGTGCTGAACAACCCGAACTATGACTTCCAGCGGTGGCACGGCACCCTGCTGGTGATCGCCATCACCATGTTTTCGATCATATTCAACACCTTTTTGGCCAAGCGGCTGCCCTTCGTAGAGGTGTTGATTCTGATCCTGCATGTGTGTGGCCTGTTCGCTATCATAATTCCGCTGTGGGTGCTGGGCCCTCGCCGCAGCGCGAAGCAGGTGTTTACCGAATTCAACAACGGCGGAGCCTGGGACAGCGCCGGGACTGCCACGCTCGTTGGATTCTCGACCACCATCACGGCGCTGATTGGATATGATTGCGCGGTGCATATGTGTACGTACCTCTCTAAAGTTTATGAACTTTGCTAATAGTGAGCAGCGGAGGAGATCAAAGATGCGTCTGATACCCTGCCAAAGGCGATGATCACCTCTGTCTGCGTCAACGCCGCCTCCGGTTTCCTGATGCTGGTGACCGTCTGCTTCACGCTAGGCGACATTGATGACATCCTTTCCACACCAACAGGGTACCCGTTCATGCAGGTGTTCTACAACGCGACGGAGAGTCTGCCGGGAACGAACACCATGACCGCCATTCTGGTGCTGACCCTGACGGCGAGCACGATCACAGAAGTAGCAACGGCATCACGCCAGTTATGGTCTTTCGCGCGTGATCGCGGGCTTCCTTTCTCCGACTTCTTCGGATATGTACGTCCTCCCCTTTTTCTCCAGGTTTGGCAACACTAACAGCACCAGGTAAACCCTAGCTGGAACATTCCCTTGAACGCTGTGATGGTCTCGCTGGCAGTGACAGTCCTCTTGTCGCTCATCAACATCGGCTCCACAACGGCGCTTCTCGCCATCGTGACCTTGACTATCGGCGCAATGATGTCCTCGTACATCATCACGATTGCCTGCTTGCTCCTCAAGCGTATCAGAAGGGAGCCACTCCCACCGCACCGATGGACGCTCGGCCGGTTCGGTATGGCAATCAACATCGGGGCGCTGTGCTTCCTGTGCCCGGTGTTCGTATTTGCCTTCTTCCCGCTCACCTCGACGGTGGAACCAGACACCATGAACTGGTGCGCAGTGATGTACGGAGGGATTCTGATCATCGCGGTGGTGTACTATGTGTTGCGGGGACGGCACCATTACATCCCGCCCGTAGCGCTAGTAAAGCGAGAGATGTAATCTCTACCCACTTGTATAATTATTACGTTAGATGGAATTCTGATAGTTAGAAAATTAATCAAAGGGTTAATAAAGACCGGATATTAACAAGCGAAGCTAAAGAGAAGGAAGGGCTTGGCAGAGTTAGACCTCGCCAAGGCCCATCCACGGGCTCTGGCCTAAGAACTTCATCCTTATGAAATTTTCATAATTTCACAATGTTTTAGGTACGTGAATGTCCTGTAATACTAGTATTTGTATTATTTGAGTAGAAAAACATACGATGAATGGGTTCAGTTCAAATAAAACTTAACAAAAATTGTAATCTAAATACATAGAAGTAGTGATCCGACCATACCGAGTGTAAATATAAATGACTACAAAACATCCTGAACCTACATATCCACCCACAATATACTGTTTACAGGTCGTATTAATATACTTACTATGAATACTACATATTAATGCATTATATAGTAGGACACACCTTTATTCTGATCAATTACCTACATTATTAGTAGTTATTGGAGGAGATTTCCAAAGGTTGAACCTCCTATTTAAGAACTTTACATAACTTGATGGGCCCATTGGTGCCGCCCATGGGCGGGCCGTGGCCTCATAGATCTGAAACAAGGTAGTATGCATTACCTATGGCCTCGTGCACCGGGTCTTTCCGACTTGGCATCTCTGAGTTAGGAATACTCTGGATATATTAATAATAAGAACAGGGATCATAACCTAGAAAGGTCGTGGGCATAATATAATTTACTAGAGATTAAGGTGGGGCAGCTCGATGGACAGACTTTAAGCGTGAAGGGTTCGGCCCCCATGCGGCCCCACATCGCGAACTCTATTCCGCCGAGTAAACAGGTACAGTAGGTAGTTCGTCCGCTTGGCCTGACCATGTCCCTGATTCAAGTTTGGATATTAGGTAGCGATCCGGTCGAGGCCGTATTACTTTCTATTGATGGATTATGTAATTTATTATTTATTATGGAGGCGGAGGGGCAGCTCGGTGGAGATACTTTAAGCGGAAGGGTTTCGGCCCCCATACGGCCCCATATGCCCACGCACATCCCGAGGTCGGCACCATGGCTGGCTACCAAGAGGATCGTTAAAACTTAATCTATCACGTTACGTTGGATGCCATCCTTGCCAGGTCCCTCCGCTTGAGCTGCCCGAACTGACCATCCGTGAAATCGCCATCATCATGATCGCCGGTTATCGTCCTTTTCCATTTCCTTTTAGATCAATTCCTCCCTGACACTTCTAACCAACAGAGCACGATTTGGTCTCCATGCCGCAATGGCCATCAAAGTGCCCCCCGGCCAGTCGCCGCCTTTCGAGACGATAGACGACAAGCACCATGCCGGTATTATCATCATCACCGGCGCCATCTGTCTGATGATCTCGCTGGTCTGTCTGCTGATCCGGGTGTACGTGCGGGTATTCCTCAATCCACCATGGGGATCAGACGATATCATCCTGCTGGGAGCGACGGTATGCAATTGAGAAAAATTGACCTGTTCTGTACTTGAGGCTAACGGGATAGATCTTCGCCATCGCCGAGTCGATCATCATCTTTCACGCCGCGAGCATCGGCTTTGGGACGGACATATCGCTACTCACCGAGAAGGCCGTTGATCGCATACAGAATGTACTCATTACCCAACACCGCAGCCAACTGGATATAAGAAAATAACTGAAAACATAGTCCTTATTCGCGGCCGACATCCTCTACCTCTTAACCCTGTACCTCTCTAAATGCTGCATCATCGCCATCTACTTGCGCTTGACGCCCCGCGAGCACCACAAGAGCATCCTCTGGGCGACGTTCGGGCTCAGCACAGTGGGTGTTATCGTGTCGGTGCTGGGAATCGCAGTGAACTGCGAAGGGAACAAACCGTGGGCTGTACCTGGCGAGCAGTGTCATAACCTTGTATGTCTACAAATGCAGAAGGGCCGACCGCCCTCTAAAACCGCGCACCAAGTATACAGACATGGAGTGGGATATACTAACGCTGACAAGTTCCCCCGCTGGCAAGCAATCGCCGCGCTCGACATCTCGACCGAAATCTTGCTTTTCACCTTCTCCATCGCACTGGTCTGGGGCCTGCAGATGCGCATCTCACATAAAATCGTGATCATGGTATCCTTCGCGGCGAGACTACCGTACGTCCCACTTCCACTTGCCAAATGTAAACCCCATTGATGAAACTAACACACATCTAACGGATAGGTTAATTATATTCTCCGCCCTCCACCTCTCCACCCTTAAAGAATACACAACTACCAAGAACCCCACCCTCACCGCAATCAGCCACACGGTCTTCACCCAGCTTCACCTCAACTACGCCATTATAACATGCACGGTATTCTGCCTGCGCCCCTTTATGAACGCCCTCACAACATACTACGGCACAGCCGGCGACTCTAACCTCGGCAGCAGCAGCGGTGGCTACGGGTACGGGTATGGATCCGGGAGACGGGGGAATACAGACCCCTACGCGTCGGGGCGGTCGCGGGATTACGAGATGGGGAGTGTGAAGGGACGGCCCGGGCGACGGGCGAGTGGCTTGTTCAGGGTGAGGCCGGATGTGGGCGATGGGACGGAGAATGGGACGGTTGTATGTGAGGCTGTGGGGCCGGCGCATTCCGGGGAGGGGAGGTCAGAAGGTGACGGGGGTAGTATACGCAGTGGGAGTGATAGAAGTACGAGAATGATTATTCGGAAGGAGGTGGAGTATTCTGTTTCTGTGGGGCATTCATAGATCTTTTCTTTTGTTTGGATGAAATATACCGTCTTTCTACCCCACGGTCCGCGTTATAGTACTAAGCACTACAATTAATGTCCGAGCTTCAGTACGGGTGAGAAAAGTGAAGGCCGAGAGGACACAGATGAGTGCTGTTTGCTGAACGGTACGTAAAGTGTCGTAGATAGGTCTTGTCTCGGACTGGATTGTGCCAGACTATTATCTTCAACATGGCCGTCTGGTCATTTAAACGGACTGAATCTGAGTCGAATAGAATAAAAAAGCAGATAGTGTACACAAAGTAATCACTTGAAATTCTCAGCAATATTAAGCATAGAAATCAGTCCGTAGTTCAGGGCTGCTGGTTAAAATCGTATGCATTACCAAAACCGCGGTTCAAATAACGTGAAATGGCCTCCGGCTTGGTCACCCAGTCCACTGGAACTTCCACATCAGTCTGACTTTCAATGACAGGCCTCAAGTCATCAGCCAACTCGAGTTTCATGGGGTTCCGGTACCAAGATGCAAAATGAACTGTCAATATTAGGTTTGGCTGTTCAAAAGAAATCAACAGAAACGACTTACTCATTGCCAGCATCACGCGCGGGATTTCAGTCTGGTTACCAACTCCAGCATGCCAAAGCCGCAGGTCCCTGATAACAAGAGAGCCTTTTGGCACAACAGGCTGGCAGGGAGGTCTGTCCACACGACGTTTTTCAAGCTCGTCTAGCTTGACGCGACCACTTGCGCGCTCACCGTGTAGCCCCTCTTGAACGTGTAGTCCAGTGTCTGTGTGCGTTCCCAGCCACACTTCAGTGGAGCCGTTTTCAGGGGTCATTGTGATAAGAGGCACGTTGATCACATATGCAAATGGATGGGACGGATGCGCAAAGTCTGCGTCTGAATGGACAGGCTGGGACATAGGAGGGTGCTCTGCTGTGGGTGGCATAGCGGTATTTCCGGAACAGAATGTCCATTTCGGACGGGGTCCCAATGCCGACGAGGTAATCTGGGTTGCAAATGGGTCTTTGTGGAAGTTAGAGACGCTGTATATAGGACAGAGTCTTTGTCTTCCTATTAGACTTACTTAAGAAAATGCTGGCATCAAAGTGTTCTCTCACTGGCGGAGAATCTTGCTGGATATTTCCTGGGTTGTAGTTGAATGGACTATCCCCCTTCCTGGACTGAAGAGTGTATGCATCCTCGATCATCTTTTTGTTGAGCCGATCTAGGCTATCATGAGGTATCACATTCTCAACAACGACGAGGCCATCCTGATGGAGGCTGCGCATCGCAATCTCTAAATTTTGGGGAGAAAGTCGCGCATGTTCAATCTCAGTGTTTGATGGGCAGATTGAGGTCGGATGGCTCGTGAGTTTGCCTATCTGGGTTGACAATGATCGTATTTGACAGTGACGGCTTAAAGCTGCCGGGGCTTTGGAAAGGATTTGACTCATGATAATCCTCATAAAATCAAACGCTTTGCACAGTTGAAAAGAGGACCGGTTGGTGGGTGTAATTAGCTCAAGGTCGTCCTTCGCTCCGGGGTAGAAACCGAGATGAAGTATGCGGTGTTTTATATTCTAACGAGGAGAATCCTTTTATCTTTTTCGCTGGCTCCAGTGACAAAAGACATATTGAAATGACTTGCATTCGCTTCTCGCATTGTTCTCGACTTTCATGCACTTACATAGATACAATAGATTTCATTGGCTGATACTTCAGTTAAAGTGGGGATTTGCGGTGGGGCCTTTTTCTCTCTTCATCTCGCGATTCGCAAACCCCATCTGTTTCTCGCCTTTCGCTTTTCGCTTTTCGCCTTTCAAATTCCCACTAGTTGTGCGCCACCAGCAAAGATCCCCAATTGCATAGATCATTAGGATCCTCCGGGGATCATTTGTTCCTTAGTGTTCGCGCTATCGGTAGCCTGGTGAAAGGCGGTAGAGTCACGTCATAGCGACGGCTGACCCTAGCACACTAACAGGAGGTAGCAACAGTTTAGCGAAGGCAAAGGCGAATACCAAAGGAGAGGCTCGCGAATCCTCGCCTTTGCGGAACCTGACTGGACATTGCCATTCCCTCGCATCTTCATCGAGTAAGGGCTTGTAAGGCGTTGCAGCCGCAAAAGACGCAAATGCCGCGACCACTTCAACGAAATCGTAAGTCTTCTGCGGGTATCTCTACCGGACCATAGAGTTTTGATAGTAATGTGTCACTAGGCTGGTAAATGGCCCCGCGCTACGCAGAATATGTGTCTCCTCGCTTGTCTATGCCTGGCGGTCGATACTTGATTTCAAGTCTGAAACCACTGCTAACTAAGAGTCGTGCAGCCAAATATGCAGATCACGGAGAATTAAATGTCAGTATTGCATGTTTTATTAAACAATATCATTAATTGCAGTCCGCTGACGGAACTGAAAGGCGACGGGAAAAGACCCAAATGTTCCCCCTGCGAACGAAGTTCCCGCAACTGTCGCTGGATCCATGAAATCCGCACAGCTGCTTCACCAAGTCCTGTGCATCAAGTGGGTCCTTTGAGCTTAACTGTCCATGATTTCGAATATCCCTCGACCCAAGACCCTGAACATGCCCTGCAAGATCTACAGGTTGCGAGGTTGTTCCGCCACTATATAGAAGAACTAGCTGCGTGGTACGATCTGAACGACAGCAAGCGCCATTTCAAGGATGTCGTTCCGATACGAGCGCGATATAATCCGCTATTACTCAGTGCTATCCTCGCTTTTGCTGCTGCTAATCAACACCGCACTCTCGGAGACCACGTCTATCTGGACATCGCAGAGTTTTATCACTATGATAGTGTTAGAAGACTGATATCACTGACTGACAACCTGGATCGGCTTCCCATTGGAGAGACCCTGGCGGCTATTTGTCTACTCCGTTCTTATGAAATTATAACGCGTTAGTACATTTATTATGGATCTTTCATCATCTGAAGCTGAAGCTAACCGGGGATGCTATGATATATCATTAGAAAATGTCAGCTCCCAAAGTCATCTGCAAGGATGTTATTCTCTTTTGGCTAGCCGGGAAATTTATCTCACAGCAGACCTACTCAGTGCTGGCTACTGGAACTATCTGCGCGAAGACATCACCGTAGCCCTCATCGAGCAGCGCAGTCTCATGATCACTCTTTCGGGTCAAAACGCTCCTTCAGAATCAACCGACGACCTAGACTTTGCTAACTCTATCACCTTTCTTCTGGGAAAAATCATCAACCGGTGTTTATCTATTGATTCTCCGGCCCTGGAACCCCTGGAGTGGGAAGCCATGAAGGCCGATCTCGACAACTGGAAATCCTCTCTCCCTCCGTCGTTCGACGTGATTGAAACCCCAGGGCTAAGAAAGCAGAGCAACTTCCCGTCTATATGGGCACTACGAAGCTGGCACGGTAATAAACCTTCATATGAACCGTTCGCCTTTCCCTTCTAACGTAACATGACAAGTATCTACCCTCCATTACTACCACACGGCCATGGGCATCCTTTGGCTAGCCCAGCCGGCAGCTCAACCCTTGAAAGCATTACAACGCATAGACGATGTCGAAAGCTTACGTCGAAAATTGGAATATCATGCGACTGAAATCTGTGCTTTGGCCTTTTCAAGCGAGTCTGCTCCTGTGTGGGTCAATGCTTTCGGTCCGATAGCATTTTGTGAGTATTATTGGATGTTCGTTTGATATCAGGTCTGATATGTTGTTTTTGCAGGTGGTCCCTGGCTTCGAGATACCCAAAAACAAATCGAAATAGCAGATGAGTTAAAAAAATGGGGGAAAGTTACAGGGTGGCCGGTTGCGCTCATTGCAGCCGAGCTGTCTCCGCCTTCAGCCACTGGCCGATAGTCGCGCATGGCCCTGTCAAGAGATGGTGGATTTCATGAGCGAACAGGGGGACGCCATGCAGACATGGCGTGAGCAGCCAAGGCAATCCATACATCTCGATAGAGCTCACCCCGTTTAGTGTGGTGCGGTCTACCGGTCACTGCTGGGCATTATTAGCAGACGACTTCAAACGATACATACAGAAAGCGCCGCTGCGACGCTGAAGATCATAAAAATTCTTGAAGTCCTTACAAGAGACAGATTCCAGATGGCGTTTGTTGCACATCACTTGGATTTTATGACCGTTTTGGACGATATCGTCTCTCACACCTAGCACTAACCGCTCGGTCCCGATGTGACAATGCATCTGGAGTTTCTATATTGCCTGCCTGGCAGAGGCGCGGGTTGATCGGAATATAAAGAAGGAAAAGAAATGGAAGTGACGGTTAGCACGGAGGTGCTGTCGAAGAATATTCATTGCAGATAGATCGCATTGCTGTTCTGCCCATTCCTGTTTAGTTTCCTCAGATAAGTCCAGGTTCTTCTTGCCAATAATAGCCAGACTAGCCACCGTAAGTGCTCATCATTCATTATAGATCTATAGATCTATACGTCGCCTAGAGGAATCCAGAATAACCTCGGTATACAAATCACCTTTATACGTAAGCTAGCGCTAAAATAGCAAATACCTGCTAGCACAGCATGCTGACGCTAGAGGCTAAGCCAAATTCATCTCATCTAGGTAGAGAGGCTATGCCAGTACATAATCGCAGAGAGCCTCCAAAATCAGTGGAGATACTGTGTGGTATGCCTACGGGAACAGGAGGAGCCAGGTATCACCGAAGTACTGTCGATCGTTGCGAAGGGGTGGCGGATTGGACGCGTTTATATCCAGCCGTGTTAGTGGTGGGAGATATGGTCAGTGACCTATTCAATATTGTATCGTAAATGGATAGTTAGGTAGCACGAGATAGATTAGGGTCGTTTTGCGTTCGCGATGTTGGTCTAGTGGTGTGGTGGTGTTGCAACACCTATGGCCTGACAGAGGATGAGGATAGCATGTGAAAAGAGGCGGGTTTGCAAGAAGCATAATTTGAGGGCCTCGTCCGTATTCTTCTTCTCAAATAAGTTACCACGGGTGGGACTGAATATCATTAGATCAAGTATTATGCTAAAGAAGCCGGAGCGAGACACTTACCTTGCCATTCCAGCACCAGAATGTGCCACTGTCATTCTCGTTTTTCTCCCCAATGACTTTGAGCATGTCCCTCACACTTTCATCTGCCTGGATCATCCCTTCTACCTCCCAATCAAGTTCGACATTAGCCATATCACTGTATCTTTATCAGCACCACTCATATATGTAGGAATCGCGACCTACGTCTGGACTTCACCAGGATGCATAGCAAGAATGCATATCTTGTTCCGCTTTCCCTCGCATCGCGCCAGCTCGGCTGCCATATGTCTGATAATCTGATTGAGGGCCGCTTTGCTCGCCGCGTATGCTGCAAAGCCATCTTCATAGGCTCGGAAGACCGTAGCAGACCCAGAATCGGACGAAATGAACACAACCTTGGTAGGTGGACTTTCGAGGTCTAGATCAATCAATTTCCGAGCACAAATCACGGGCCCGATTGTGTTGGTGTGCAAGTGAAGAGCAAAATCTGCATACGATCTGCGTTATAGACTTTAGTGTTAATTCTTGTGAAGGGTGATACGAAGATAACAAATACATTTCCGTTGCTCGGTTCGGATACTTGAGCACACCAGCATTGAGAATAATGTTTTTCGGACTCATCCCATTTTTGCTGGCTGCTTGAACCTTGCTGGCAAAGTGCTACACCAGACGTTAGATAATTATTGTCTAGACATAGGTGCTATGACATAACTTGCGTTAATGCTTTCTTCGCTTGTGACATCGCACTGCTCAACCACACAGCGATCTGGACTCGACCGACACAGCTCCAAAAGTTCTCGTGCTGCCGGCGGATTCCGTACTCCTGCTATAACTTTCTGTCCGCCTTCCAGAAGCTGCTTCGTGAATTCTAAGCCGATGCCTCTGGAGGCGCCTACTACCACCCATGTCTCTGAATGCATCGCCATAATCGAGGAGACGAAGAGGAACCCTTGAGAAGCTGGAACTGAGAGACAAGTGAGGGGAATGACTGATGAGGTCGGAGTGGGGGTTGTGGGGGTCGACAATTCCCCGTTTTACCGAGGATGGGTTTGGCCACTCAAAAAGCGTACTGTAGGCATGGTTCACGTGACGTGAAATTTTGACGCTTGCGCTGGCAATCAAAAAGGACGTAACTCACGGCAAAGGTAGCATGTTCACACTCAACAAGGCCAAAGCCTGATGCATCACGGAAAGGGACTAGCCAACATGAGCAGCACCGTGACGCGCATCATCGAGGCGTTCAACGCTCCAGAACCCACGACCAAAACGGCCTAGGAGGTCATAGAAGCCGAAATGGAAATCGCCCTTCCGAACGACGACAAAGAATTGATCGACCGGATGGGCGGTGGCTACATCGAAAAATATATGTACATTCTTGAGCCGAACTGCCGTAATGAGCACTACGACCTGCTGGACTTGACCGACGAACGGACTGAAGCTAACGCAACGATATGGGAGGTCGAGGCGAAGCCTCCGGAGCTGCAGATCGAAGGGAGCTTTGTCATCCCCTGGGCGACGACGGATAACGGCGAGTATCTGTTCTGGCGGTGCCTCCCAGGGCAGCATCCCGACGAGTGGACAGTCATTCTGAACCAGGGTCGGGACTGGACTTGGGAGCACCATGAAATGAACTGCACCGATTTCCTCTACGCAGCCCTTACAAAGGAGATTCAATCAGAGATTCTTAGCGATGACTTCCCTCTCTCCCGTCACGTCTTCGCAAGTTTCAACCCGGCGCCAAGCCATTCTATCAGACATACGGGGATTAGGAGGCCGAAAAGAAGATTGAAAAAAAGATTCGTCTTATCTTCTTAATAGACTGTGCGTTACTACGTAGCTGTCAAGCACCCTTTATATAACAGATTCTAGGAAAGCAGTAATTTATTGTTTACATTTGCTTCGCGACCGCCGCATGGATTAAATGACTTAGTGTGATTGTCAAACTAGATTCTATTCCTAAGTGCGATCTCGTCTCGGGCAGCGTCAATTTTGTATAGCTCTACAATAAGATCACGGATGTGATATTCCACGGCGATCCGCTCCTAGTTCTCGAGGCCTTGCTCACTACTAATTAGGCCGAGACCGAATCGCCTAGCATCCTCCTTAAGCGTAACTAAGGGAGTAAACAACCGTACTCGAGCTTTCTCGGATAGCTAGAGGTAGTTGCACACAGAGCTATATATTTCCTACTGTCGAGCTAAACAATCGATCCATAGTGCTAGTCGTGTGGGATAGTATTTTCCGGTGGAAGGAGGTATACTTCCTATGGTCGAGCGAGACGGGTGTTTCGACTCTCAATAGTCAGGAAAGTAAGCTATAGTAGAAGCGCAGGAGTTCTACAAATGTCGTTTGTCTATTACGCTCCATTTGCTGCTTCTCTCGCTCTTCGGCTTGCTTTCGTCTCTCTATTTCACTACTTCTCTCGCTCTTCGGCATATTTGAGTGATCGTCTGCCTCCACAGAGCATTGTTGGTCTTTAAGTTGCGATAATTCTGATTCAATTGAATCACCTCAATTGAATAAATTATAGCTTAGTTATGGTTTACTGTGATTGAATGTGCAGCAGTAAAGCTTTTTTTTTTTTTTTTTGGTAGTGAGGCAATTCGTGCTAAGTACCTATCAAAAGCAGCATTAGAAATATTGGGGGCAAACAAGTTAGGCAAGCGTTGTACAGAGATAGGTACAGTTGTACTATTATTTTCATAAGAGCCTCATTCTATCATACGAGAGGCAGAAACGAGCGGACTCCTGATTCGTGGGGATCTCGTATTCACACGTTGATCGCAATCTTTGATCGTCCGCGCTACCCATCTGTAAGGACTTCCTTCAAGGCTCAATGCAGAGGCTCCATGGGTTTATTCCTCAATCGGAAGAAGCTGTTCATCAATCCTCATATTCCGAAAAGTAGAGGTGTCCGAACATTCCTACTTCATACTTGAAATACACCAAAGTCTCTGCCAAGTGGAGAGGAGTCTTCATTCTGAATAACGGTCACAATCGACAGCCATAGGGTCCCTGTGTCTCCTCGGCCCAACTCGCACCTTCGTGACCTCCAATCATGAAGCCCGCGATCACGCGTTACCTGAATGGGGAGCTGCACGCCTACCAGGTACCCAGCACCGTGGACGAGCCACTAGGACCGGTAGCGACCTACCGGATCGAGCCCGAGGACGAAGACGTCCAGAGCCATGCGGCCGCCCCAGACCTCAACCGGGCAGTCTTCACGACCTGCAACAAGGCGATATGCATTGGCCAGGATGGTGGCATGCTATGGCGCTACGAGTTCGAGCCTCATACTACCCAGGACTTCCCTAGGACTGCGTGTATATTCTCCCTCGACGGGACCTGGGTGTGGTTATATCGGCCCGACGCGATGACGAGTCGTGGCCCCGACCTGTTGGTCGTTTTGCGTGCCGACACGGGCGAGGTGGTCGCCCGGGCGGAGCTAGACAGCGTCGGGCAGGGAGCCGAGCTCGTGCAACATCCCGACGGGCGTCATGTCATGCTAGATGTGGGCGAGGGCCAGGACGGGGTGAAACTCTTCCTCGCGGCGCTCACCGATGGCGGCATAGACCTACGCTCCTACGGGTGGGACGACCAGGTCCTGGTTGACATCGCGCCCGGCGGGTGGTTTTTTATGACCATCGACGACTGCCGGTCCGACGTCGCCTTTCGCGCCTTTCCTAGTGGAGAGGTGGTCCTACACTTGCCCATCACAGCTTTCGGTTATGAAGATGATGATTCACTTATGGACTGGAACGGCGGCTTTCTCAGCCCATATATTGCAGTTGTCACGATTACGGGTGAGCTGGACAACAAATCGTGGCATCACCATTATAAGGTCAACCTCCGCACTGGTAAACCGCTCGACCGCTTCGAGGCGCACTCCCGCGACAGCTACGACCTCAAAACCCTCGGTGATGGTACTTGGATCGTCTCCGATCTAGACGGTAACCCAATACGTCACCGGTAGCCTGGTCATGAACATCTTCGTTGTGAGATAGCTGAGAGTGTCAATGTAATATTGCGGTTTTTTTTGAATGCATTTGTTTGGGTCAAGCGACTAGATTGCTGTCGTGAGATTGTCTGAGGTAGAAACATGGTCCTATTGCCGCAGACAACGCTCATCTACCTATGCTAGCGAAACATTTCAAATCAAAGGGCAAGACTGCGAGCGTCACCGCGGTTCTTCAATTCGCGAACCGCGCATTAAGCAAGGGGTCGCCCCCTGTTGGTACCGGGTCTCCCACAGAAGCATGGAAATGGAACTCAGGCGACTACAAAACGAAAGAGTGGGTCCCACAAGGAATCACTAGCTCTGCCGATGCGCTCGAGAAAGGAACCTGGAACGAGCACGAGGCGTGGATTGTGAGTTGGTATCGCGATGGCGAAAGCGTGCGAGGTTAGCTTTGTCGATCGCAAGACGCATAAGTATCGCCATGTCATGCTTGTGTACCCCACTGCCGATGATGACTCCAAGTCCATTACTATTCATGCTGGTGGCATCATGTGGTATGGCAATGTACTATATGTTGTCGACACCTAGAACGGTATCCGTGCCTTTGATCTCGATAACATTTGGGAGGTTGAGATTGCAGACGGGTTTGGAAAGACAAAGGATGGGAAGGGATACTCTGCAGATGGGTACCGATATGTGCTTCCTCAAATCCGGTGAGTGTCTTTGCCATCATCCCTTTGCTAATGGTCGAAAGACTAACATCTAGTCAATAGCTGGTACAAATGGACCCCTGGGGATTCATCCCCCTTCCGCTTCTCCTGGATTTCTCTTGACCGCAGTGACTCCCCCGACACCCTTATGGTAGGCGAGTTTGTTCGCGAAGGAGAAAATTTCAAGGACGATAAAACCCCGGTACCCATTCGCTACGTGAAATTTGAACTTGACGCTACAACCCGCCAGCTGCGTACCAACGACAAGGGGATTTCTACCGCAACCTGGGCGCATTGTGTCGATATAGCCGGTGTCCAAGGTGGTGTCTCACACGACAGTGAGTTCTATATCTCGAGCAGCAACGGCAGAGCTCCTAAGGCAGTCGATCTTTTCACTTGGGAACAAGGCGAGACGGCAAAAGAGCACAAGTGGTGGTTTATGGCAGGTAATGAAGACTTGAGCTTCAATTCTGTTCGAAAGGAATATTATACTGTTACGGAGTATGATGAATGGAGATATATCCTGGCCTACAAGGTTTAGTTCACTCACATTGCCGTGGCCACTTGGAAAGCACCCATGTAAGTGTTGGTGAAGCCGATTTTTCTGATGACTGTATGATCAAAGGATCATTAATACTATCACCGGAATTTAGGACATAGTAGGATTCAGGAAAATCAGCTACACTATGCGTCCCGAACTTCCATCAGCTGGCTAGAAGAGCGATGTCTCTTCTGTGTCCTAGGGCCTGCATATTTCACATCCTCGCGGGGGCCGCGTATGTGGCTGCGAAGTATGGAAATGCGGCCTTCTTGGGGGGTTCCCTAGAAACCCGATCATCCGGACTGGAGCTTTCAGGTCTTGCTGCGAGGGCGCTTGCTTGGTATCGCCATCTCCTTGCATGGATAGTTCGGTACAAAGTCACCAAAAGAAAGCGGACAAGAGAAAGTGTTTGAGAGATGCCTAAATGATGAAATTTCAAAGCCTACGCGAAAAGTGGTCGAAAGCTGCGTGGAGCATTCCGGTACTGTAAGAGAAGAAGAATACTGCAGTAGGAAACTAGTTAATTCACTACTGCGCATTGAGACATACAACGAAAAGCGAGGAATGATGCTGTCTACCTGAAGTCTTAGTAGATATTACAAACTGGCGAATGTACGGAAAAGAGAATCGAAGTGATGCATGGATGTATCCGTGGAAGCTGACTGCTGTTGAAGGGTCGTTTCTACGAGGTAGTTGCTGGTGAGACCCTATACAGCGAACCTTCTGGGCTCAAACCTTACTATCCGGATACCATCAAAGCTCAAATCCTTTGGCAACATGAAGTAGACCACGAGTTTGAAGACACCTTGAGGAAATTCGGTTTGTTTGATGCTTCCAGTTGAAGTTACGTGCAGATGCCAAAATTCCGAACGTTTTAGGGGAAACGGTATGATCTAATGATATTCTGTTATTGTTCAGCTGAGAGTGGTCGCGCGACTTGGGTGATTCTCGCCCTGATTCTCACCCTGTCTATAGCGCATCCTTCTCTCCCCCTGTTGCTCAACGATAAAGCGGTTCTCACTCAAATCTTACCAAGGACCACGTTGTTCGCGCTATAAGTTATAGTCCCCTTCCATGCTAGAATAAGAACATACGACCGCTGGGTGTGGAGAACAGGGCTTCCCGTCCGCTCAGCCGTACTTAAGCCACCAATCGAACGCCCACCTGGGCCAATAAAGTTGACCTAGCCTGATGAGGAAAAGTTTTTCGCCGCCTTACAGTCGCGCGACTTTTATCTATTACGGTTTAGCGCCACCGGTCGCTGTGCGTGCCCATGCGTGGTTGTATATAGTCCCCGTTACAATCTTGTATATGGTTTCCATGTTCAACTCTACTTCACATCATGACTTCTAGTCTCCCTGCACTCCCCTTTGAGATATGGGGCTGTATCGGATCATATCTAACCAACGCCGACATAAAGTCTTTCCGTCTAGCATGTAGCCAATTCAATAATGCTGTGTATCTCCGCCTCGATCATGTTTTCTTATCCGCCAACCCACTCAACATTGTGGTCTTTCGCAGCATTGCATCGCACGAAAAGTTCCGCCACAGAGTGACTGAAATCATCTGGGACGAGGCGCGCTTGCCAACAGGCCCACGGCGAACAACGGACCTAGGCGAGGGGCATGAATTGCTCTCAGACGAGGATGAGCCCGACAACGCGAGGGAGTGGGCCAAAGGCTACGGCATCTATGCTAGAGAGAAAATCATCGAGCGACATCAAGACAAAGAGAAGGATGGGTGTCCTAAATGGTTTAAAGACGCTTGCGAGGAAAACTTCCGCTATATTATATCGCGGAAATCCCGTGATGTGGATAGGCCCGACTATGTCGCACAAAGAGAACAGGTCCTCGCTCGGCCTGCGCTAATCGAGTGCTGGCAACACTATCAGCATCTACTACGTCAGCAGAAGGACGTTCTCGCCGGTACTAGTGACCAAGAAGCGTTCTTGTTTGGACTCAAGCAGTTTCCTGCACGGCCGTCTCTTCGCTCCGCTATACGCCACCCCTATGATCCGCGCCTTTCCAGAGGGGTTCACCTATCCTGTTCCATGAGGCTGGCTATATCCCGAGAACCCAATAATTCGAAGCATACCAGGACCTGCTACTGCGTATGAGTGGAATGAACACCCCGAGCTTAGAGAAAGGTACCGCGGGTTCCGCACTGTAATGCGTGTACTCGCCAACGCTAACGAACCTAACTCTATTTCGGAGCTAGTAATGACTTCCAACCTTGTCCCTACAGGGATCAACTGTATGATCTTTGCCAAGCCCTGCGAAGAATACGATAATTTCGCTACAGCGCTGAGAACCCCAGGCCTTCGCCGTTTAGATATTTCCTTGCTTATCGGTTGCTGTCACAAGGAGGATATTGAGGATTGCTGGCCATCTCTCCTAAATGGACGGCTGCGCCGTGCACTTGGTGAAGCAAGAGAACTAGAGGAGTTCAGGCTTCATACAACACTTATCAATGATCCCTATGACGATGACGACGGGGACGGATTACCGTCCCAAATCCCATTACAGAGCATTATGCCTGTAGAAAAATGGCCAAATCTACACCACTTCGAACTCTCCGGCTTTCTTGTCTCACGATATGATATCGTCTCCTTTCTCGCTGCCCTGCCAAAACCTATCCGCTCTATTGAGCTCAGTATGCTGGGATTCCTTGATGAGGACGGCGGAGGCTGGTATAGTGCGCTAGAAGATATTCGCCAAAGTATACGGGAGAACGTCCTATGGGAAGAACGAGACGTCACCTCAAGACCCAAGCTTACAATCGGATTGCCGCTTGTCAATGACGAGATTGGGCGAAATATTTGGATTGAGAAGGAGGTATCTGAGTTCCTCTACGGCGAGGGGGAAAATCCTTTCGCACAAAGTTGTCGTTGTAATGTTCTATTTGGAGTTGGTACCCAGAAGGATTCATTTGATCCGAATTTTGAACGTCCATATGTGAACATCTTCGATCTGATTAAGTTGAACATTTGCAAGGATCATGATGACCCCTACGAATTCTGATGGATTCGGATCGATTCTTATACACCATGGACGGTGTCGACAGAGTGGATTATTCGGCCTCTGGCTTCTTTAACATGTACAACTTACCAATTAAGCACCTGGAAAATAGAAGTTAGCAGATGTGAAACCCGTTAGTATTCAGGAACTCACTGCTTGTAGATGTCGCGGGTGTTGACGACGCAGCAACCGAAGACAGAGTTTGCGACCCGCTTGCCTTAGCACTAGTAGGCTTGGAGATATTCATAGGATGAGCTAGTTCGAAGTGTGGGTATTGTACGAGTCTAAAGTGACGCTCTGCTCGCGCCTGCACTGTTGCTAGCTGTTGAAGCTGCCCGCGGGATCACAGCGATAGACGAACTACTACTGGATGATTTCTCTTCAAGCGAACGGTTCCACAGAATGATATCCTTCATGGGTCAATTTAACCCTGAGAAGAAAAAGGTCTCGATTAGGGGGAAAGAAGAACACAAACCTCTTCAGATGTATCAGCTGTAATCGCAAGTGTCCAGCAATCCGCGAGCGGGTTACTGGTGGTGTTGTCCAGCCAAAAGTAGCTATTCAGAGATAAGCCAGTGCTTTTACAGGTGAGAATATTCACTTACTCGTAACAGTCTGTTCTGGTATTCTCGGCAAGAGGAATAGCGGCGCTGGAGCTGTTCTTCAAGCCAGAGGTATAGTCCGGCATAGGAACGGATGAAGGAACGGAGGTCATGGATACCTTTTCAAAATTATCTGAGGTGCTTGATTCATGACCAGAGTACGTTGTGATATCTCCCACAGCCTACACGCAGTAGTAGGCATCCTTTTAGAGATTGGTGCGGTCCTCGTTGAGCTCGGGGTTCAGGAATAGGCTGTATGATTGTCAGTAAGTAGGCTAAGATCCTGTAGCAATGATATTGAGGCTAACCAAGTCAGACCGGTTTTTTCTGTCACGGTATCGCATTTTCCCCCGTTCCAACTTGATAGTATTGGGCGCATTTGGTGTTCGTGCCAGAGACAACTGACGTAGGCACGGGACTAGATGTGTATAATCAGTACGATAGCCGTATCACCCACTTTCCAAACATACGCTGTGGTAGTGACAATGCTTTGTGAGCTGGTTGCACCGGTTAAGGCCGTCGAAGTAGTGACGGGGATAGCATAGTCACCTGAGGGATTGCTGATGCAAATATTCTTGCCAGAGAGATCACCGGGGTTCCGAGAATCATGCTGTAAGCTGCATTCTATCATCAATACATGATGGGTCCGACAGATTTAAAGTTACATACAAGCACTCGCTGTTAATATCGGAGTTCCATGACAGCAGTTGCGCCCATGTGGCTCCACTCAACTTGCGATACTTGCACAAGTATCTCCGTCCTGTATAGTGTATGTCTTACAGTTGCGGCTACCGGTAGCACGACGATGGAGGGAATGGTGGGCAAAATATGAAGCCTGCACAGAGACAATCACGGTGACGTACATGAGGCCCTTCATGTTTGTCAATGTTTCCACGAGTCTGCAAATGAGTCTGGAAGCGGACTTGGGAGAAATCTTTCAAAAGTGGAAAACTTAGCATGTCTATCTATATCGTTGATATCCCTCTACTACCATCTCTGTTGAGTAAAATCCCTCGGAGATCTACATTCAACTAATCTATCCAAGTTCACCATTCACTAGGGCGGCGGAAGATTGCTTTCTGGCCCCAGTATACCAGCATATAAGGGTCTAATCTCGAGGCTGAGCAGTGGGATGAAACATTTCCTTTCCCGAAAAATAATTCGCATATATGTATCCATAATTGACGGACTAAATTCGCTTGGCATCTTGTGCATCGCATACAGGTAGCCTAAGATGCCTTTAAATCCCGCCAAACGGCTCTGCAAAGTCAATCAAGTGGGATCTCATAACAAAAAAAAAGAAAAAGAAAAAGAAAAAGAAAAGAAAACTAAATGGCTAATTCGTAAATAGTAAAGAACAGAGGAGCCTCCTTCTGTTGCAAAAGGGCAGAGATGGCCCCCACGTTTACCCAAGGGGTTGTGGACCTCTGCGTGAAGTAATCCGCCTTCTCCACCTCCCCGTTCCCGCGTCGACCAGCCTCACCATCGAACGGTGCTAGACTGGTTCCTGAAACTGCTGCAACCGATGTCCATTGCCACATCACGACTTGGGTAGTTCTCAAGCGCACTCACCCTTCTCACCACCCTTGTCCCACTCCAGGTGCATTGGTTGTCTGTAACTCCTATACGACCGGAGATACCCCAGCCCATAACGTCGACAATGCCAAACTGTCAATATCCCCTGTCCAACTCGATGTATGTGGAACAGTTATTCTCCACCCCATCTGTTTCGTCGCCTCAATTATCAACGTAAGGTTCTTCCCTGCCTCTCCCGAACTGGTAGCAGCCACAACTAACGTTGTCCCCACACACTGCGCAAACGGAAATCTCCCGTTTATCGTATGATTAACATAACTCTGCCACGCGCGCTGGGACAATGGAAAGTCGAATGGGTGGAAATTCCAGCGATACAGGTACCCCTCGCTGGTGCAAAAGGTAGGAACACCCCACGCACTAGGGAACACCGCAGGCATTGGCCATGCACAGTAGTGAACGCTTACCCTTCCTTTGGCAAAAACCGCGTCTGGGTGCGCCGCCTGAAACGCGTGAGCGAAGCGGCTTAGTGAGTCGGGTGCTAGAGAAGCGCCTAGGGGCCCTAGTGCAATTGCATTTTCGTTAATTGGACCGAAGTCATAGTGGAAGTAGAGGTCTTTTAGGCCGTCTGTGCCGTCCAAGAGACTTGGTCTGGAGTAGGCCTTGTGTGGTTCTTTGAGCTGACTAATTACTCCGCTAGCCTCCATTCCATCGAGGATCTTGCATATCAGCCGGCGGTCTCGGAATGAGGGTTTGGTATTTAGCGAACCGCGGATTAGGTCTGGCTGGTTTTGCTGCACGTCCCATGCTTGCAGTCGGGTTCCTTCATAGTGAATGTCGCCAACATGTCTGTCTTCGATGAATGCCCCTTCTAACGAGCAGGCATCTATCCACTGTGTTTGTTCGTCTTCGGGCATTGAATTGCGAATGGCGTTTCTCATGATGTCTTCTTTGGTCGGGTCATTGGTAAGCATCATTAAAGCATCGATAACAAGGCCGTACGGGCTAAATATGCGCCCTGGATGCCTGTCTATGATCAAGATCTCGACGTAGGCCTTAACCATGTTGCGTTCTCGGTAGGATTGCAAGAATTCTACATCATTGCAGATGTTTTTATATGACCGTTTGACGCTCCAGGAAGTCTCATTCAGAAGTGCATGTGTGCCCGCCGACCGGCTGCGATTGATCCAAAAATTGTCGGGTAGCACGTCTGTTTGGTGAATAACTTTTGGGGATTTGAATCCATCTCCGCCGGTCTCGTAGACTACCACAATGTAATGAGCAATGCGTTTGAGAAGATCTTGAACGAGCATCGCTGCCATGGCGTCATGTTTGCTTATTCCCCGACGAGGTAGCAACGGTTCTCGGTCTCGGTGATAACCCCGTCCTTCTCAGCAAGAGGAATAACAGTGTCCTGAAAACCCTCAGTGACCGATATAAACCCAAGAAAAACAGACAAGGGTTGTTTTTCGCATGCGCCCCCATACCACTGCGGGTAATATCTCTTCAATGCGATGAGTCTCTTGATAAGAAGGACGTCTTCGAATCTGAAGCAGAACAACTCGACGGTTGTCCACTGTACACAATCAGGAAAAATAACTTAAAGATACTATAGAGCCGATTAGTAACAATAAGGAGGATAATAAGGATAATACGTAAGAGGTTATAGTCCTTATTTAAGCTAAATTAGTAAGGTAAGGTCCCTTAGAACGTTTTCTTAGAAAGAGGAGAGAGAGTGTTATATCTAAATCGGATATTAAAGGATATAGTGATAATAACGAGGAAGAGGTTCCTCTACCTAAGACTTAATAGCGTGTCTCTAGAAGATCTAAAAAGCGCCTACGGTATTATAATAATTAGTTTATAGTTTATTAGTTAGTTATACAATTAAAGCTATTTATACTCAATCTAGTTCCTTCAAAAGTATACCGCCTATAAGCTAAATATACGTAAATATAGCCTAGAAATACACAATTTATGTATACCACGAGATTATCTATATTTATATTGTTTATTAACCCGTAGGTAACCCGCGGGTTAGGTACGGGTCTAATATCAAAACCCGTACCCGACCCTAGGTCTGAACTTTAAACCCAAAACCCGCCAAGAAATAGGTATGGGTCGGGTAAACCCGTCTACCCACGGGTAAGGGCGAGGCCTACTAATTGCTAGTCCTTTATGCGAAGGCCAGCGAGAGCAATAAATATAGTGCGCTTAGCTAATAACTCTTAAGCGATATACATAATTGTCATAGCCTATGCGTGCACTTGGTTATCCTCGCACTGCGAGGTCCAAGGTTCGCTGTATACTCTCAGGTGATCCCAGGCACTTAGCAGGCAGGGGCCCTAACACGCATCGGTGTCAGCCCTAATATCGGTAGCTTGTAAGCCCTTTGGTCCCTGTTCCACAACGAAAGTGACCGGTGCGCCTTCGTCAAGTGTTCTGAAACCATCCTAAGAGTAGGTCAAGAAATGTTAGTACTCATTATTTCACAAAATATCAAGATCTTACCATTTGAATAGCCGTCTGATGAGCAAAAAGCTCATCCACACCCATTCCATTGCCATCTGGATCTGGAGTTATAAACCCATAACCCTTAGAAGCGTTAAACCACTTCACTTTGCCTTTTTTTCGCGGTTTTTCTCCTGTCATATTCTCGGATAGGTTTTCAGTGGACGTCAAAACAATGAATGAAGTGCAATTCTAAGTATCCGCGATCTGGAGCACTTGAAGTGAATAGCTCTTTATATTCTAATAGAGACAACTAATACCCTTTTATAACCAGATATACCACTTACCCCTCACTTCGTATAACTTAGTCAAATTTTAGGAAATAATTCTACCGGCCCTAAAGTCTAGACCTCGATATACCCCATAAAACATTTCCTGCAAAGATTTATATGTGGAATCTTGGCAAAAGTGGATCATGCCAAGACTAAAACATGTACATAATCTGTCCCAGAAGGGTAATTTTGCAGTATCTTCCTAAAAAAAATAGGAAATGGGAAATGGATTGTGACCCATGGACGGAAAATGTCGAGGTCTACTAAAGTCAATACTAGATGAATTAAAGTAGCCTGACTGCAATATACCTGTTAAAGAAACCATCAATCATGACAGATCATATTATAGTTGCAGATGCACGTGGTCAAAATCAGAATTAGGATAAACCGACTAGGATGAATATCTATTCCTACACCGCTCTTTTTAGTTCGTAGCAGCGAATTTCCTTTCACCTCCTTTGACAAAGATATTTAATTCATTTGGGATCTGTGCATTCGTAACACAATACACCATACATGGTTTAAATCGATATACCACCTGACGCGTGGCCACTAGCGTGGTGCTTAAAGCTGGTGGTGTTAACAGAGGTGGCGATGCCGATCAATGCTTCTGATCGCAGATAGGCACGAAAGGGATCGGCACACTCTATGCTGCGAAACTTTGAGGGATTGATTTAGCCCTCCCGCTAATCGAATACTTGATCTAAATAACCTGTAGGTTGCCGAATGCGGCGTTCAATCGAACGATCAACCAAGTGTGTGGTGATTTCGCCGACAGTCAGGCCGCCCTACAGCACCCCCCCACCGACCATAGATGTCTTTAGGCCAGACCTGTCTCGCATCAGCAATCGACAACTAGCGTGGCTTAGCATGGCACATGAATCAGCACCCATATCCTAGATTTTGGTCAACTCTAATGCACTATAAATTCTTTAAAACTAGTTAGATACAGAAAATAATTAAACCCATGAGATACATACTCATAAGCGCAAAAGGGAGAAAGAAATTAAGAATCCTTAATTGTGCCCCAGACCTTTTGTTGCGTGCAGACATCTCTAGATATGGACTCTGACGTGGCAGTGATAAGTAGTGTTGACCGCACCTTAGGCCTTCGCTGTATGCAGCCATGTGCAGATACGGGTTTTGACGTGGCAAATCCGGGCAGGTTTTGCCCATATCCTCCGGGAATACCTTGAATTTCTCAATAACGATATATTATAAAATGTACATGCTCTTAAGGCTTTTCTACCTATTCTTCTTCTATTGAGATTTCCCACTCTTCTTTACACCTATTTGAATAACGCCATAACGAGGAAGGGCAGCATTTTTGTCTACTAGAATGTCTGAGAGAATCAATGGCACCGTATCAGTATGTTCTAAAGTAACTTGTATTGGAACCTATTACTTATATTCCCCTAATACTTAGGAATGGAATGGCTCTGTGCAACCTCCTTACGGCTTCATTGACGTAGAGGGACTTGACAAACAGTGAGTACGCTTCTTTAGTGACTGAAAGCTTGAGCTTAACATGGCAACTTCATATCATCTTAAGTGAATACTTACTAATGAATATTCTAGCGTTGCGTTTAGCCTTGAGGATGTTAAAGAGAATAGGGATGAAGTCTTAAAAGTTGGAGCGAAAGTTTCGTTTTTGTACGAGCCTGGGACGTTTGAACAAGCAGCAGATGATGTTTGTCTTAGCACGTAAGGGCTGTGGAAAGACATTTTTAGTCTGGTATCCCTTAGTGTGGTACGTTAGGGATGCATCATTAGTATCTATATTATTTAGTTTCACTGCAAAGCAAATCTCTCAGCATAGTACTACAAGCCTCCAAGTTGAAGGTCGTCTAGTATCCTCTTCCAATGCCTCGATATATGCCTCACGCTCAGCTGACATTCCGCTAGTTGTGGACACACGGCCTCTCTTTTCGACTCTTCTTGATGAAGGCCTGGAATGACCGCCGTAATCGTCCCTAAAATTGAAGGCAATGTCGATCATGAGCTTCCTGGCAATACGAAGCAAATTACTCCATTTACGTAGCTGCTTCTCCACTGGTTTCCAGTGGATATTAGTGGAATTATACACTCAGTATTGTCGAATCGGATTCTCTAGACCTCAAATGCAGGTCATTAACAATGAACCCTATATCGTGCCATTCAACTCAGCGGTATTGAACTTGCCAGGCGACCGAGAAACCTACGTTCGCCTAAGGGCCGACCGAAGCGACATATGTTGCTTCCTTATTAGCTCAAATAGCTATAAGAAAGTTACGCGACGCTTATTGATGTTGTGTGAGAAGGTCATACAGGGAGGATCGGAATCGGTTTCACCACTTACACACAGTGATTCTTTTCCGAAACCTGTCCCGAAATACGCTATATAGTATTCTCGTACTATACAGTCGTGAATAGTAGATTAAATATAGCTTTTATATCAGACTCGTATGATCTCTAGGGTCTCTAGTACGTTTATTATGTATATAGGCGAAATAGACGGATATCTACTTATTTAGAGACGTCGTAGGGATTCAAATACAAGAACATATCCAATGATAGTACATTATAGCCCGGCCCAGGGGGGCCAGTGTGGCGGTCGCGCAACTCGGGTTAATCTCACCATGATCTCACCTATGCACTACTCACCCTTCTAACCCCGGTCGCGGGACGCTCAAGCGGTTCTCGCCCTAAGCCCACAAGTGTGGCACCGAAGCCACTACTTGCCGCGTATACACCATACACCGGTATGTTATAATGGTGTTCGGTAGCGAATTATGATCAATAAATAACGACCTAGATGTAGAACTGGGTCGTATGAAACCCTCTCCAACACTAAGCCTAGTACATACGACCACAGGGTGTGGAGAACAGGGCTTCCCGTCCGCTCAGCCGTACTTAAGCCACACGCCGGTAAGTTAGTAGTTAGGTGGGTGACCACTAGCGAATCCTTACTGTTGTATGTCTGCATTCACCCGTTTTTTGTGATTCGTTCGGGAACTCCCTCTTGCCGCCCTACTCTTCAGTCCCTTCAGCCCGTTCACCTGAATGCCCTGAACACCACTATTCTGCACCTGAATATCCTGCACGCCCCTGAACCGCTGACGTGGCCCCTCGGCTAAACTTTCCCTCTCTCCTTCCCGCTCGTGTCGAAGTCCCAACTTGGTGGCCTGAACTGATCCTGATCGGAGCTGACCACGGAAAATAGATTCACCGTGGCTATTACACCTGTCTGGTCTGGTCTTGGTTATCTCTTCTCCAAGGACGCAGTGAAGATTCTGACTAAAGAAGAGGTGCAGAAACGAATGGCTCGCTGCGATGGAAATAACCACAATTGAAGAGCTCTCCCGTGGCCGAACGCATGGGTACTTCAACAATTAAAACTGAATTGAACTGGCGACCCTTTTTGTTCTCCCGGATGGACCACCACTGTGGGTTCTCATGTTGTCCCCTACAGGGATCTGGTAGACATTAATTCACTAGTGTTTAATCAACTATTCGCTGGCAGGCTCTCTACTTATTGACTGCTTGTTTGGTCCCGTGTATCGATATAGACGGGGTGAGAGGCTGGGTGAGAGCCAGGTGGGAATCACCCGGGCGTCGCGCGACCACCGCACTGACCCCTTTCTGATGCATACAGTACGTCCCGAAACTGGTGCAACCGCCTGCACTCTTTGAGTGATTATTTAGCCCCACTGCCAAGAAACACTAGTCTATATTGGGAGTTATTCCGAGAGTTGTATGGGTATTTCCCCGTACGTATGTTACATAATAATTTCAAGCATGTATTAGCTTGTAAATTCAATACATGTGACACCTCCATGCCCCTCATCCGAATCAGCTTTCCTCGGGAGGCACACTTGACAATCAATCACGAGTGGTCCAACTAAAGATGGCTCCAAACCTAGCTCCATCCAAAAATGAGCTTATCTATGAAATGATCCCAAGTGGCGAACTATCTACCACTGAGATGGCACAGGCCGCTGGTTGCAACAAGAGCACTATTTCAACAACCTCTTCTATAAGAATGTTTGGCAGCGTCAAAGCACCGCTAATTAAAGGCGGAAGACCCCGTAGTATCAATTCTGGCAGAATTAAGGGAGAGCTTACTCATGGTGCCGTAGCCGATAGTGCCAACCTCTTTTCCGACGAGAATTGGCATTGTAAACGCCCGTGAAGTATCGAAGTGGGTGAGATTCTTGCTCCAAGAATAAAGTAGGCAAGTGGCTGAAGGGATGATGATAGCTGATAAATAACGTTAGAGCTCCGAGACAGAGCCTTTTTATATATCACCAACTCTTATGTCCGTATCGCATGGTCTTGTGTTTGCGTCCCACAAAATCCCGTAACGCCCTTTTAACTCCGGCCCCTTCAGTTTACCTCATCTGATCAGAAGACGCGGTACCGGCGCGCCCTTCGGATGACAACATTTAGATCTCGACGGACCAACCAATTATCGAACCCAGCCCATGCGGCATTTGGGGTAATTTTTTGGCAGAGTTTCAACGTCCCTCGCGTTCACATTACTGTTCCTGCCAAGCTCCTAGCAGTAAGGCAGTCATGACAACAGTAGCCAGCATTGAAAAAACTGATTTAGATGCGACTGATCTGGCCACAAAGAAGAGGTTGGGTTTTGGTGCTAGTGTTGGTGTTTTTCAGGGGTGCTATCCAAGCGGCGAAAAGCTACAATACAATCCAATCAATCACGTCGACCCACACTAGATAACTAATTATCACATCACTATTACGCTTACTCAGCGGAAGAAACTCCCGTTTAGGATATGGAGCATTTCATCCAGACCCAACTTACACTTTTTCATCCTCCAGTCTAGGCAGAGCTTACCAACAACCGGTGTTATTTCAAGTCTTCAATGCCTTCCTGCCAGGCCAACCGCTTACGCAATCGGCGGAAACCGCACGCATACACCGCTTGTGATGCTTGCTACAGCCGCAAGGTAACCCAATCATTGACATGATCATGCAACTCCGAAATGATGATATGTCGTCCTGCCGTCCTTTCCGTTTACTGATGCCTGATGTTCGAAGATAAAATGTGACGTCGCAAAGCCTCAGTGCAATTGGTGTTTCCACCACAACATGCCGTGTACTTTTTCCCGCTCCCGGCACCGAGAAAGCATTCAAAGAACTAGTGGGTCCGTCGCCGTCCGTCAGTTATTTTTTTTTGTCTTCCAGCGTATTTCTACCGGCCCCGCTTAACGTGCTAACCTCCCATCGGTATTGAAAGGTCGATGGTGTTTGACCATTATAGATCGGCAGCTCTATCGTCATCGACAGCGAATTCAGCGGATGATAGCACCATATCAGCCGAGGTAGCATACACGTCGGTGTTTCCTGTTCGCGCTCTTGTAAACCCTAGCCAATGCGATGGGTTCAATGCTAGCGATCATGGGACGTCACAAAGCACCAAGTCAAAATATCCAGATCACCTAGCGGGCAATGAACCCCAACATATGCCACCAACCACAAGGTATCGTATGAGCCACATAAGCCTCTTTAACGGTCTGCCATTTTTTTCCAGCCGTGGACAGAATTGGATTGAGCACCAAACGGGAGAGAAATTCGACCTCGAGCAGTACTTTGTCGTTGGTCCCCCGTGGCAAGCACAATGTTCATCAAGTTCGTCAGGTTGCAATCTGTACCCCGCGGACTATCAAAATCTAGATCTACCGGAGAAGGCTATGGTTCATAAACTCCTTCAATGGTACCGATCTGCTTACGTGCTTGTTTTTCCGTTTGTCGTGCATCCCACATTGTTCGAGACAACAATTGCCGTAGCATATGAAAATGAGCCGTCTTATTTATTCCCGAACCGAGGGGTAGCCCAAGCGTCTATTTTCGCCTTCTTTGCTCTCTCAAAGGAAATCGACCAAGACTCCTACCAGAATGGATACAAATCGAAGAGTTCTGAATATGCAAGCAAAGCAGTCGCATTTTTGCCCCAAATCCTCTCTGCGCCTGCCACCCTCGACGGACTCCAGGTGCTTCTTATGCTGGTATGTTTGCGATTTATATCAGTCTCCTAGTCCCTTTTTCGGGCTTATCAGGACCCATTTTAATGCCCAATAAAAGTCAGCCTATTATCAACTATCGTCCGGCAATATTCACGTTGTTGAAACGCTACTGTCCTCTGCGAGTCGGTTTTTGTTCCAACTTGAAGGACACTTAGACCCCTTTTCGCGAGAGCGAACACCCTCGCCGGTGGAAATTCAAATACGTAATCTCTTCTGGATTTGCTATCTAATGGACAAAGAGTTGTGCCTTCGAATTGGATCATCTCCGTTGCTGGCATATAACCACTGTGACCTGGCAATCCCCAATGGCCTTCATTTCAGTCAATTGGCAAGCCTGAGCTACCCGGAAATCTGTTTCTCTGCTATGGCGCAGCTCAGTGTCATACAGGGCCGCATCTACGATCAGCTTTACTCGCCATTAGCTCATCAGTTACCGGAAGCAGATATTCTGCGCAGTATTCGCGCCCTGGACGAACAATTAGAGGAGTGGCGACTATCGCTTCCTGTAGCGATTCGCCCAACAATATCTACCACTCCTGCAATGGAGGACCTCAAACTTAAGGAGTACTTGATGCTTTTTCAGATACAATGGCACTACTGGATGATAATGATACATCAGTCCAGCAGCCGCTGTGTCAGATGGATGGGAGAAAAACCTGCAAATATACAGGGACACAATTCGAGCTTGATGATCACAGTACACTTCGCCCGCTCTTTGTTGCAGAAATTTTTCGATGCGCAGCTTTACGTACAGAAGAAAAACTTTCGGTGAGTGAGTTTGAGATCATTTCGAAGGTACGGTACTGATGATAACAAGCTTTGCTATCTTTTACGTGTGCTCGGCCGTGATAACATTGTTTAGTAGCATAGTTATTTGTCCTATCAGCCCCGAGAGTGCCGCTGATATTATGCTGATAGAACAAGCTGTGAATTGTATCGAAAGTCATGCAGAATGGCGCGAGTCACGTCCGAACGCTGCAAACATCGATATAATTAAGCCGTTCATGCAAAAGCTTGTCCAGGTAGCCATTTCTGCTGTTTCCAGGACGAATTTTGGAATGTGAACTCCTTTTAACCATCTCGTTACGAACTTCATGCCAGTGATAACGAGGTAATTCTGAAAATCATTGCTGGCTTTGATTTATAGTATGTTCTGGACATAATTTTGCTTTCCTGGGTTCCTACGCTCAAAGGACCTAGTAAAAGCCATTACCACAAGAGCCTGCAATTAATGCGTTACGTCAAATCTGTTGAAAGAGGTGGAGTAACTGTATCGTCATTCGGTGTATTTGCAATTCTCATTAGCTTAGTCAGTCCTCACTGCCATAACTAACCAGTGAGGCGGGATGGGATGCTCGAGGCTGCACGATCAGAACGTGCGGGTGGAATGGGAAGCCAGGAGATACAACAAACCACCACCAACAACAATGTACTGCGTAGAATAGCACAAAATAGGACGTCTGCGAGCGAAAGGATTGTGTTGATTGATGCTATCTTGCGATCCCGAATGGGACTTGCAATTCTACATATCGGGGCTTCGGATATACGGCTAGCTCGCTTTACATAATCCACCAATAATAACTCCTCAAGTCCGATACTATACTCCCCCGCTACACTAGTTAAAGATTACTATAGTATGTGTCACGACCTACTCTTAGGGGGCATCCTAAGAAGTAAACCGCTGCACCAGGACAAAAGACTAGTGTACAAAGCCTTGGGCTTTGTACTGAGGAGCCTGATCGTCGCAGTATGAAGGACATTTAATTTCAGACCACTTTGCGTTATTCCTATTCGCGATTGGACTGTCGGTCCACACTGATTCCGTCAAAATCCCCGCTGAGTCAGCGGTGATTGACAATCTTTTGGGACCTGGAGTATACCTATCCTCGTCACCTCCCCCCACCTATATTGACGTATTTGGTCGCCTGTGGAACTGTTTGCGTTTTCTTTCCATTCATGTCAATTCTATCATGTGACATGTAGCTACCTATTTAAGCACCCTGCGAAGTTGTGACCGCTGCTCGTCTCATCTTCTGTGTCAATTCTGCTTTCTACTGTACTTGAGCCGGATACTGTGTTGCTTTGTGTGCAGGCTATACAAGCACAATTACTAGAATGGCTTCACGAGACACCTTCTTCCGGTCCTCAGGTATGAGCTTGATCCAGATTTTTATTGCGAACGAAATCGGAAGGGAGATAGTTGGTGCTCTAGGTGAGGTCGGCCAGTTGCAGTTTAGAGACGTGAGTACTGAGAGGATGCCCGACTAAATTTCCTTAAGAAAAAATATACATGCTAATCATGGCTGCGCTTTCTCTAGCTAAATCCGGATACCAATGCCTTCCAACGGGCATTTACCAGGAATATACGTTTCTTGGATAACGTTGAGAGACAGCTTCGTATGCCCCTAACATCCTATCAGAAGACCGCTATGTTTTCTTGACGACAGGCGCTGATTCTATGCCAATTCTATCATAGGCTACTTCTACTCCCAAGTAGAGCATGCATCTATTCCAATACGACCATCATCCGATTTCGGCGATACATCGGCAGCTCCGTTGGCTTCAGAGATCGATGAGCTGGCCGAGAAAAGTGAGAACCTTGAACAGCGGATCGTCTCATTGAACGACTCCTGCGAAGCTTTGAAGAAACAAGAAATTGACCTTATCCAATGGCGTTGGGTCCTTCGTGATGCTAGTGGCTTTTTTGATCAGGTAAATCATAGCGCTACTTAATTGACTGGCGTGGACACTGAACCCTTAATCAGGCCCATCATTCTGCAGAAGATATCCGCCAATCGTTCGACAATGACGAAGCCCCTCTTCTTCGTGATATGGAGCAACGCGCTTTCCACACCGCAGACGGTGATAGCCAAGGCCAACGGAGGTTTACGGGGCTGGGTGTTGGCTTTGTCACAGGCGTTATCCCACGAGAGTGTCTCGGGATTTTGGAACGTACTCTTTGGCGGACACTGCGCGGTAATCTATACATGAAACATTCCGAGTTCCGGGAAATTATCTCTGATCCTATAAGGAAAGTGCAAACCCACAAGAATGTGTTCTTAATTTTTGCTCACGGCAAAAATGTTCTCGCCAAGATTCGCAAAATCTCCGAGTCGCTAGGGGCTTCTTTGTATGGAGTCGATGAGGATAACGAATTAAGGGAGGATCAGATTCAAGAGGTGAACAAACGGTTGGATGAAGTATCTAGTGTGTTGTGTAACACTGAGCGCAGGCTTATATCTGAGCTGTCCCAGGTCGCACAGTCACTCACTAATTGGATGGTCATTGTTAAAAAAGAAAAGGCGGTTTATGACATATTAAACAAGTTTTCTTATGATCATTGTGAAGCGCGGAAAGTACTGATCGCCGAAGCATGGTGCCCGACAGACACCCTCGCTCGCATCAAGTCAACACTCCAGGATGTTGATGATCGTGTTCAAATCTCTATGCCCACCGTCCTCAACGAAGTGCAAACTAATCGTACTCCACCAACCTACGTTCGGACCAATAAATTTACCGAAGCTTTTCAGACCATTGTCAATGCTTATCGCATTCCAAAATATTCAGAAATCAACCCAGGATTTTACATGGTCGTGACTTTCCCATTCCTTTTCGCGGTTATGTTTGGTGATTTTGGGCATGGTGCGTTGGTGACCATGGTCTCGGCCGCAATGATTTTCTGGGAGCAGAAGCTTCAGCGAACTAAGCTTGACGAGCTGTCCTACATGGCATTCTACGGGCGTTACATCATGTTGATGATGGGTCTTTTCTCCATGTACACCGGCCTCATCTACAACGACATATTCTCCCGGCCTTTGACTATCTTCTCCAGCCAATGGCAATGGCCCGAAGATATTGAAGCGGGCAAAATCAATGAGGCATCATTGAAAGATGGCCACCGCTACCCTGTAGGTCTAGACTGGAATTGGCACGGCGCAGAGAACTCTTTGTTATTTTCAAACAGTATGAAAATGAAAATGAGCATACTCCTTGGCTGGGCTCATGTGAGTGCTATGACCAGAAATTTACCCGATGAGAACGTCAGCTGACAAATTTCCAGATGACCTACGCTCTCTGTCTCCAATATGTTAATGGGCGACATTTCAAATCCAAAGTTGACATTTGGGGTAACTTTTTTCCCGCCATGCTATTCTACCAGTCCATCTTCGGCTATCTTGTTATTACTGTTATCTACAAATGGTCTGTTGATTGGAATAGCCGTGGAGAAAGCCCCCCTAGTCTCCTTAACATGTTAATCTTCATGTTTCTAAGCCCCGGTACAGTCCAGGAACAACTGTATCCATATCAGGGTACAGTGCAAGTGTTACTGCTCGTCATTGCTGCAGTTCAAGTGCCCGTGATGCTCCTACTGAAGCCGCTATACCTTCGTTGGGAGCACAACCGTGCCTGCGATCTAGGGTATCGCAGTCTCAGTGAGCTGAGTGATGCCCCCGCTTTGGAGGACGACAGAGACATAGACGATGGGCCCGGCAGAGCCCGCGATGGCATGGTTGGTGAAGGCGATACCATGGTCATAATAGGCCAGGATGACTCTGGTTATCATAACCAAGAAGGTTTTGACTTCTTCGATATCATGATCCACCAAGTCATTCACACCATCGAGTTCTGTCTTAATTGCATTTCACACACTGCCTCCTACCTGCGTCTTTGGGCTCTTTCATTAGCCCACCAGCAGCTTTCTGTCGTACTCTGGAACATGACTCTCCGCGCCGCCTTCGCGAAAGACGGCCACACAATTCGGGTGATAATGATTGTTATCAATTTTTACCTTTGGTTTACCTTGTCTGTTTGCATCTTGTGTATTATGGAGGGTACAAGTGCTATGCTGCACTCGATGCGGTTGCATTGGATCGAGGCTATGAGCAAGCATTTCGCTGGGGAGGGCACACCCTTCTTACCATTCAGCTTCAGCACTGTCCTGGCGGGAGATCCCGTCGACTAAGGTGGTGAATATAATCAACCGGGGCCTGGTGATCATCCTGAGACCATTCAGCATTGTTTTGGTGGTAAAAAGTAAGGTCAAAAATTGAAGATTGAATTTTTCGTGAATAGGCATTGGTTTATGAATAGGCATTGGCTCACCTACACACGGGAACGGGTGTAGGTGAATGCTTAGTCACGATTATCGAGGGACTCCCAAGCTCTAGTGTTTGACTTGTTTGCATTTCCATGGAAAATTCTAGTTCCCTTGGATCGCCAATACAGTCACAAGACGAGGCACCGTATTTTAATGAAAGTAAATCACGGTATCGAGACTGGTACAGGAATATTGTTATTCCGATAATCTTCCTAATATGGTCTAGCATTTCTTGGCAGTGGGGCTAAATAATCATTTAAAGAGTGCAGGCGGTTGCACCAGTTTCGGGACGTACTGTAGCGGAATCCTGCCGAGGATAGGATGTTGAACACTTGAAGAAGCGTCTTCAAGCTAGTCTACTAAACGATACTAACCCACAGGGACCAGCTGTGAGATTGAAAGCCGAGATGACATAAACTGAAAGAAATCTGGTATCGGCTCCAAGGAGGCACAGTATTAGCTAAAGCATGTATATTTAGATCAGTGATAGTTGCCCTTTCGGTTCAGCCGCCGGGCGTTAATGAATTGTGTGTGTGTGTGTAGCGGAATCATTGGGCAAGACTGTCCAATCTGCTACGAATTGCGCCTTGGCATCTGCACTTCGCCACTTCCGATCATCCGACTGTTTGCTTCGGCATAGCATTTGGCACCAGCAACGTATACCCTCAGATTGCGATTGATCGCAGAAACAATATTCCTCCTCAGTGATTGGGCTCAAGACCCAGGCGTTCTTCATCAGATAGGGGTGGGCCAGCGTAACTTATCACCACGTGACTCCCAAATAAAGCCCCTTCCCATCGACATAAACAACCCATTCCCAGGAACTAGCCGGATTATTGGCACACCACCTCTCATGGCGACTGAGATTACTCCACCAGGGAGCTTCCAAGAACTTCCCCTGACGCCGCCGCCTACGAAAGAGAAACCGTTGTCGAGAAGTGCTCAACGCGTGCTAAACTGTTTTAAGCTCCATCGTGCAGGTCAGAGGCCACGATTTTGGTGGCAGCACCGGCTCGATTTGAACGATTATACAGAAGCTTTGCGTGTACTGGATAGTGATAGTCCTCTCAAAGGTTACGTCGAAGACAAAGTGAGGTGAGTTCTGTCAAGCTTCGCTATTAAAAGCATATTTGTTCAGCTGTGTTATAGGTACGACTACGATCCTTGTCGTTCCTGTCTGACTATCCGAATGCCAAGTCCTCTCCACGATGTTTTCTGTGCAAAGATAGTCGAGGAGATTTCAAGACAACTGAAGCAATTCGCGCAGAGGGAGAAACCCTACGCTGATTTTGCGAAGGAGGTCGAGCACCTTGCCACCTCCCGAATCATGATACCCGACGAGACAAGAGATGGAAAGCAGATTTATTCCAAGCGGGAGCCAGACGCATCATTTAAGCACCGGCGAGCACGCTACCCTGGCGTTATTATAGAGGTGTGCTATTCGCAAAAAAGTCGACGTGTTTCGCACTTAGCGGACGAGTACATCCTGGACACTGATGGGAGTGTGAATGCGGTGGTTGCCCTCGATATTGATTATAAAGGGTCCAAAAAGGCGACTATTACCGTATGGCGACCGGAATACACAACCTTGGATGGCGCGGAGGAGCTTCAAGCGACCGCTGTGGTTGAGGCGCTGGTACGTACCCTATAAGCGGTAATGTTTCTGAGACTTATATACTGACTGTTACAGCCATTTCGGACAGATTCTGGACTTCCAGCCGAGGAAATAGCGCTCCGGCTGTCTTTAAGGGACTTCGCAACCGAGGAACTCTCACAGGGGCTCACTAGTCTCGATCAAGAAATCTCTATTACATCGAGACAGCTTTGTGACTTTCTTTCACGCGCCGAAGAAGAACAGCGAGGGCAGACGCTACTGCAGGGCTCTATCAATCGTCTACGCCCGGGAGCTGGAAAGCGTCGTCGGCCTCAAACTCCTCCGGAACAGCCCAGCTCGGAAGAGGAAAGATCAGTTGAGAGGAAAAGAGAAAGTAAACGAGGGCGTCGAAGCAGCGATTTTTGCCCGGACTCTTCCTCAGGGGATTCAAAAGGTGAGCTGCGTTAATGTTGAATATGTGGAGAAGCTTATAAAGAGGGTGCCTTGATCGTCCGGGGATTTGTTTTTGCATGGAGGCTGGCTCTGAGGTGGCTCAGGCCCGCCATGGCTCGCTCTGAGGGGCCACCTGGCCCAGTTTCAACGCTCCGCGTTTCCAGCCCAGAATATTTTGGCATGGTGGCCCTCCTGACAGGAATGTCTTGAGAAGCTGCTACAATGATCTGGTAAGAATGCACGAAGTCGGCCCGTTACGACGAAGACTTCTCTTGGTCACCCTCTTAAATCAAGTACGTAAATTTCAGCGAACAGTCTCTGGAGAAAGCAAGACCAGAAGAAGGTCCCCCATGGCGAATAGTAACTCAACGCAAGAAAAAGTTTTCTGCCCGGGGCGCTACGCTTTATAACAATACAAATTTGACCTGAAGCCAGCCCTGAGAATCAAGGGAAGATCAGAAGCAGAATTAAAGATTATTCGAGAGCCGGATGGAAATGGAAACAATTGGCGCCTGTTAGAATGCTGCTGTCTTTCCAAGACAGCACTATGAAAGGGTATGTCTTCAATCTAAGTGACAGGTCAACAAAATGCTTATGGCATCAGTTTTGAGAGACACCCGTGGACTATCGTGGAAATTGAAGCAGTCAACATCTTTACGAAAACACTACCCCAATATCACATTCATTCCTATTTGAAGAGAGCGTTCGATTCCATTACTGCTAGCTATGGCGGAGTCTCAACTGCAAACATTGTGGATCCAACTTCCAGCCCTTCGCTTATAGCCCTTGAAGCATCTGCCGAAACGACACCAAGCGATACGCAGGCAGCCACTATTCTCACTGATATTCCAAGAGATCTCCAGACCCGGCAAAACCACCATCCCGAGCCCGAGCGTGAAAATTCTCGTGAGCCTTCACCAACTAGGCCACAAGATCGCCCAAGGGCCTGTAACCAGGAAAGCAACTCTACTTATCCACAAGATGAGAGAACTGAAGGACAAGCAGTCGCTGGCCCCCAAGCATTACAGGATTCATTTCGACGAGACGGGATGCCCGTGGCAGAATAGTCTGCGGGTAAGACTGCTCTTAATGACCTCAGACTTCGGAGACTCTTTATGATGGTATGGAGCACGTCTTTGCCGGGTTAATTCACACTAAGACCAGCGATCCTAGTGGAAGTCTGCGGTGGACAGGAGTCATTGATCTGTGCTTTACATGGGAGAGTCTGGCATAACACAGGAAGGCCAACAGGCTTGCCATATCTACATGAGCCTCGAAAAATCTCGTCGATGGCTTGCAGCGCCATGAATTGGGAAGTCGGCGGTGCAAAATAGATACGGGAGTGAGCGGCAGTCCAGCTACAGTCGGACTGGCTTCATTAGGCCATATTGACAAATAAGAGTCATTGACAGCCATAAAGATAAGGAAAAGAGGAAGAGGACACTAATCCTTTCATGCTCGAGGCTGTCCCCCGAGGCATAAGTTGTCCCAGGGGCCAAAGAGCCCAGAAGCATACTCAAGGATCTTCATTGGCTTGAGTGAAGCTGCTTGAGTATGGCTACTTATGCACTACGAACACACCAGAGTCCAATCATCTTCCGGAGTTGACTCCGTCACTGTTGGTCCTCGGGAATATAAGGGGGCCCCTTCCCCCAGCTAGCGGCGTTCCCTGATTTTCCCTTTTCTTCCCATCCGGCCAGGTTATATCGGCTTTCCTCCCCCAAGTGGCGACTAGCGGCACAATGGCCAGTCATTCCGATGCAATTATCATAGCCGATGATGAGAGATTACCAAACCCCGAGCCAGGTACCTCGCGACCTCACAGGGGCCCTCGGCGTGATTACAGTTACCCTGATTTCGAGAGTATGGTCTTTAGTGATGATGCGGCTGACACGGCACCATCACGCAAACGCAAAAGAACCGAAACGGAGGAGTCATCTACTCTGGTACGAGCTCCTCGCAAGGCCTTATTCTTCTATGGCTAATAAAAGGCTAGGATCGTGCTTTTAAGAAGCTCCGAAAAGCGCTTGACCATGATATTCAACAGTTACGACAAACCAACATAATACTTCGAGAGGATATTCGCTTGGAGAGGAACGGGCACCAAAAGACACAAGAGGAACTTTCACAGCTAAGAAAATTGGACTGCAAGATCTGCTATATGCAGCCAGACCGTTGGGTGACTTTGCTATGTGGGCATATGGTTTGCAAGTCATGCGTAGGAAACCTTGCGACTCCAAGATGTCCTCTTTGTAGGGCGCCTTGCACCGGATACGTCGAATGCTACCCATTTGCAGGATAATATATATCCGCCATGTTGTTGATCTAGTTTAAGGATATAAGTCCAAGCACTAGAGCTGCACCTGACAATCTTGAGCCTCTGCTATTCTGTATACGATTGCTGTGATCCTCTCGAATGCTTCTTCAAGTATTGAATTAATGGAGTTTATTTTGGGGTACTCTATCTATTGTGATATATGGAACACGATGTTATACTCATGAACTAGTATCTCTTTCGGAAGCTAGGTCTCCGCGCCCCGCAGCCAATGCTCCGCGTTTCGGGTGAGAGCGGAAGGTTATTCATTCCTATTCAAACTTCCATCCCCCTGCCATGGGCACTGACAACACTGACACGCGGATTTACTTTTCCCCCGGAATGAGACTGATAATTTCACCAATAGCCTGTGGATACAAACAGGTACTTGGTCTGCCACTTCCATTACTAACTTCAATGTTATAAAGGCCCAGTGTGCGGATAGATCTAGCGTTGGTTCGAAGAAAGTCCGTTAGAAATCTTTGAGTGATGTAAATTGAACACAAATCCAGCTTATGAATGTCCACTATGCCGGTGTACGAAGTGGGCATTTGTAGCTCTATTGCTTTTAGAGAAGTCGATCGGCGAGGACCACCCGTTGGAAAATAAATCAACCTAATGCCTATGGGGAAATTTACGGATAAACTATTATCCTATATGATATATCTTTACTATGACTTTGTCGCGCCGATCGCCCCCTTCCTCCCGTCAGTATAAAAGCCTTTGATGCTCCTGACTCCACCAAAATCTGACATCCCTTTAAAAAAATCGTTTCTTTACCAAATGGCCACCGAAAATACCTGTTCAGCGTGTAGCTGGTCCCCAACACGTCAAGACGCATGTCGTTACCAGAGTCATGTGAACCTTTTCTACGGTGTCAGCAATCGAGGGGTATGGTCTTTAGGCTCAAACTTGATCCTGAAAGAACGGTCTTCCGAACCACCCAACTTTGAGGTCCCCAATATCAGGTTTTTGGCGTCAAGAACCTCAATTCCTATACCTCAAATCGTTGAGGAATGGCAAGAAGACGACGGGGCTAGTTTTCTCCTTACCAAACGGATTCGAGGTCAACCATTGAGTGAAATTTGGCCAAAGATGACATCGGCCGACAAAGAACGCGTCGCAAAACAGACTGCTGAGTACTTGATGCAGCTTCATGAGCTTCGCTCGGACCGACTGGAAAGCCTTGGCGGGCAGCCAATCTACTCAGCCTTTCTTTTTCCGAATGGCTATGGAATTGGACACGGGCCGTTTTCATCTGACGATGAATTATGGGCTGAGATGTCGTTGGCCTTGACTCAAGTTCCAGAGCAAGTTCGTTCGAAATTGCGTCAGCGGATGCCAGCTGCGACTCCCTATACCTTTACTCACGGCGACCTGACCAACGTCAATATCATTGTCGAGAATGGTAACCTGGCTGGGATTCTGGACTGGGAATCTTCGGCGTTTTTCCCTGTTTGGTGGGAATTTACTTGTGCGGGAATTGGTCTGGGGCAAGATGATAAAGAATGGAAAGACTTGCTTTGCACACACCTACCCGATCATACGGAGGCCCGCAATTTTTGGTTGGATTTCTTTGCATTGCGCAACTATCCTAAGTTGAATGAGAGAGGGCTGGCACTTCTAAAGGAATGTGGTTCGAGTTTGCCAGAGAAAGAAACATAAGAATCGAAGAGAGCCATCGCTTTGTTCCACCAATTGTTCACAGTAAAAGTAATGATTGGCACTGTCTCGGGCAAAACGCAGACTTCAAGATATCTTTTCACAGTTGGTTCGTATCAACCTGCTCACAAGCAATGGCAGTCATCTAGTATTTATGAGATTGGGACTGAAGTTCTGCCGGGATATTATCGAGACGTACCATTTCCAAAATGGGTTGATACATAGATGCTGGGAGTTCGGTGCCGCAGAACTCGCAGTGAGTTCTCCCGGACACGTTGCCCTTTTTGCAATTTGGATTTGGACAATTCATATTCGACGACGGTATGAGGTCACTTAGGATTCTCAATGATAGTATGGGCTTTTCGGCGGGGCGGTTTGTATCAAGAGGATGTGTAGCAAGAGCGATGGCAGTAATAATAGAAAGATGTTACATGACAAGGAATTGTCAACGACTTTATAGCTTTTCCTTCTTAGGGTTGACGGACTGGATATTGGTATAAGCGGGAGAACGAACAACAAACCAAATTGAACGAACGGGCTTTTCTCCCACATTACCAGCAGCGGTTGGCCAGAATGTACTACGCTGTATGACAATTCAATTGAACCGATAGAGGCATTAGTGTCACTAGAGAACTGATTCTGACACGTGAAAAAAAGAAGAAAGAGGCCCGTTTCCAATTTGGGTATCTCCGCACCCTGCTGAGCATTTCCTGGACGATCGAGCGCGAACCCCGCACGCGGTGGTGACATGCCAATCATAGGACCATGCTAGGCGCGCCCGTATTCTCCTGCATTCGAACAAGGCTTCCAATGAAATGACTCCGCCCCCAAGTAAGCAGTGAGGAACCCTTGCATGTCACCTGCATTAGGCGTGTGATAATGCAGTCAGACCGCGCAATCTTATGATTAGCGAATCACTCTCATTCGAACGATTACACGAGCGAAGGCCCAGCTTCCAACTGCTCACCGCGCCTTGCGCGTACGTAGAAGCTACCCAAATATATCAAAACAGACCCACATTTCGATGTTGAACACTCGAATGTGGGTCCGAACCCTAGTCTAGCTAGCGGGACCATTCACAAACCACGTTTTGAAGTTGGACACTCGAATGGCGTTAAGACTCGCCAGAAGTTCGCATTGTCGACGGTGGGTCCAAGCTCATGGTAAAAACTAAAGAGTAAGCCTGACTCCAGAATGTTATTTTGAACTATCTCATCTCTCATCAAAATGGACCTTCTAGTAGCCTTGGAGACAATACGAAATGCATCTGATGCCAATCTTCACTCGCATGCAGCACAGACCATTTTGACGCTTAGGAGAGTCGGTCAACGTCTTCAGCAAAACCTAATACCCTCGACACCTGGTTTTCAGGTGACACTTACGGACCCGCCAAGTGTGCCATCTCCTCCACATTCACCTCAACATTCACCTCAACTTCTTCAAGTTGCAGAACCCGGAGACCAAGCAGGCGTGCCAAATTCAAAGTCTCCTCAACCTCTTCAGCCTGTCGGGTTCACCGATTATTTTCCCGGGGAAACCCTAAGCGTGCCATCTCCCCCACATTCACCTCAACCTTTCCAAGTTGCTGAAACGACGGCACTCAGCGACCAAGGCGTCTTATCTCCACAAACACCTCACTTCGCTAGCCTGCAAGTTTCCGCTCCAACCGCCCAGTTGATACCGGCCAGAGACTCCTCCGGTAGCGCTATACCCGCCGAATCCATACGTGCTCTTTCACCACCAGACCATGTCCCTGACTTGTTGAAACGAATAAAGCAATCAGCAAGTTGGGTTTGGGAAGCTGGCCAACTGTCACCAAGCTACCTACTATCTCGCAAGCGAAGCTGTGATGAGGACCTTCGATTGGAGCACATAAGGCGCCTAGAAGGAGATCGGTCACTTGGCCCTGAGGAAAAGCTCTTGAGACTTCTTGCACTCAGATCGATTGCTCTGGAATTCACAAACAAGCAGCTGGATGATGAAGTTTATCCGACGAAACTCGAGGAAATTTATCAACACATCTTGTCTCCAAGTCCTTCTAACGTCAATATTTTCAATTATGGGAACAACAATTTCTTCTCGAAAGCCTTATCTGCTGGTCTCAAGCATATGGTTTTTGAGAAGATCATTTCCGAACGCCTAAAAGAAAATGGTTTGCCAAGCATATGCAACGCAATTTCCGCCATTGTTGGGCTGCATATAGATCAATTTCGAAGATTCCGCTATGATGAAATGCGACGCTTTGCGGACAAATTAATTTCAGACGACATACATGTCACGATTCTGCAGAGCAAGATACATCTGCTCGATCTAGTACGAGACCTTAGCCCATGGTTCAGTGAAGTTCAAAATTCCTACGATTGTGAGTTGACTTCGTTCAACGAGTTAACCTACTCCATGCTGACATTTGTCAAGTGATTTTCTGTTATAGCCCAGTTTCGGGGTTGGAATCAGGGAGACAGAAGTTCCGAAGGACCGATAATTCTGTTCCGCAAGATTCGGTTCCATCGAACTTGGGGTTTACAAACGTTGATGTCCCTGACAACGGAGCCGAATCGCTAAATCCAGAGGATTGTACCGAGGCCGAATTTGCGCACCTTTTCTATGAACAAATTTCCAACCAACCTATTGATGTTTCCGGAATTATGGATGATATTGCCCAAAGGTCTTGCTTTGATTTTGAAAGTATCGCTCCACTTCACAATCTCGGCCTATGATCTCACCAGGAACTTCATGTATCTTAATGAGGTGATAATGCTAATTTCCCAATTTATACCCCCAAATCCCTAGTTTCGCGTTATTCTCAATCACCAGTCGACTTTCACCATACACATGATAGTAGCGATCCAACTGAACTGTTTCTTCGCCGAGTGTCACTTTTCCCTTGATGTAAAACGGTATAATTGCCATATAGGGTTGGCCAACTATGTTTACACCTGAGGAGAAAACCTGGAGAGCAGGTCTTATTCCGGATTGTTTTAATTGGCGCTCTTTTCGAATCGGGTTATTCTATTCCAAGTCAGAACCCAATTATATTGAAGCTGAATCATGCATCCTCACCAAAGAGAGCTCTTCAATCTTAGCGATTACCTCCCTCCCCCGGCCCTGCACCAGCATAGTGGCGGATATCCGATCAGAAGGGATTGACAGGGATTCTGCTATAGACTGATCATTTTCGCAAGCCTCAGTGTAGATGTCTTTGATGGATGAAGGTATCGCCAAAGATTCCACCAAGTTGTCATCCGAACCCTGCGTAGCCATAGATATGCGCTCGGATTGCGAGAGGAGCAAGTGCGAATGTAGTTGAACTGCGCCGAAATCTATTGACGTTTTATTAGTATAGCCGATGCAACATGTTCTGGTTACTCACATGAAGGGGAGACAGTAGTAAAGGGTCTTGCAGATGATATTGGGCAGAAGTGGCGCGGGGCTCGTTGGACGCTCCGAAAGGCGGATAATCTCCCGGGAGCGGTGGATAGTTCTTCCGTTCTCCGCAAGCTTAAATATCAAATGTCTCCCGTCGAAATCTGCGGCCAGCATCCAGCACAAGCTTACTATCTCAACATCATGGACTTTTCTATCTCTTACTGACAAATATATGTCAATTGTACTTGAGACCTTCTATTTGTATCATACGTGGACTGTTTACTTGTTTCACCGCGGGTACCTACCTTTATTACCACAAACTGACATTCTCACAATTCTCATTATAATGGGAGTCGATACGATACAACTGGGGTCAGAAAGGGGGTTTTTTTTCCAATTTTTTACTCTACTTAAACGTGGAGATGTCATTCTAGGTTGCTGGAGAGGGCAATTTGCAACAGCAGCGGATGCGCTCGATTTCTATCTACGATCACGAAATACCATGTAATGCTTATTTCCTTCAATTGATCCGTCTCTCCCCCAATGAGTTTCCTTGTTACGTGATGATTTTCTTTGAATTCTCCAAATTCCTTTTTTTGTGCATATCAAATAGGGCTCTAAATGGGTCATTTATTTATCGCACAGGTGCCCGACTTCCCCCCCACACATCCCCAATTGAAGGCGGCATATAGTTGTTCTAAGCTATATACTTAACTTATTCTAGAAAATTATGTAGCATTTCTTATACCCGATACGGATAGATTATTGATCTTTGTACCTAGAACCTAGAACACCCCTATTAGCGTTTTTTTATTCATCATAATTAGACAACCAACACACGAGCATGAGGCCGAATGTGCGGTACTATCTCCACTTTTATCATTTTTAAATGCCTCCTTTTTTATAATTACAGCAGCTTCTGAAACATTACATTACGTGCGGTAAAATGAGCGGTAAAGTGGTTTGCAGCTACTATATATTGATCATCATCCCACGCGTTTTTTCCTTATGACTTATATCCAAATGGATGATTGGATACTCTTTCTGTTACTTGCCTCGGTGATTGTGTACTCCCTTATCGTTATCTGGGGAGTTTGGCGATTTCGAACTCAACGGGTTATAGAGTGTTTTATCAAAGAGTGGTAATACAGTCAGTGTGATTCCAAAGAGGTTCTCCTTACTATGCTATATTCTAACGTTATACTCTAGATTAGCAACCCTAGGCGGAAGCAGCGCCCCAACCCCCTGCCTAAGAATATAACAATCAGGTCTCTTCTTTCTATCATCTATTGCAAAGCCACATCAAATCTCTATGGACTTCGTTGACCCCTTGTCACTCTTAAACGAGGACTTAAAAGACGAACTTGACAAGGATGCGGAGGCTCCAGATCATCCCACGGGGTTCGATGGAGCTCCTCCTTTGGGTATACACTGCGCCGAAGTTGATGACGGTTTGTAGAATTACACTACCGTTTTTATGCTAAGCTGATATTCTCTAGTCCCGACTATGGTGATTTGGAAGATAAGGGGAGACTATGTTGTCTCGATCAATGGCGCAGCACTCCTGAGAAACTGCCAAAGATTGTTTAACAGGGAATCGTGTCTTTTCCTAGTACCTGAAGTCTATGCGGCTCTGATAGTGACCTCTCGATATACGGCCATGCATACTGCAACTGGGGATTACCTCCGCGGTCTTATGCAATCCACAGTCCAGTCCGGCGTATCTTGCCCCCATGCGTTAGCACTTACATTTATTGCACTTCACCTACAGCGGAGGATGTGCTTCCGTATGGACGGGGATGTCATCAGCGACGCCGGGAAATGTGACCTGCCAGGGAAATATGGTGTGCTCGAAACGCTTCGACAGGCTGCTGAATGTGGTCAATGGGTAATACAGGTCTCTTTTGATGATCTTTCAGGCTCGGCAGTTAGGTTTGGAACGTTGATAGAGCTTGCTACAACTCTTTCGGAATCCTGTATTTACACTGAATAGCTAGTCTCGCTATTAATTCGAGATCTACTTCTTCTAAAATTCCTCCTAAACTTTATTTTTAGAAAGGCTGAAAAAGTGTATAACAGGGCAATTATATTAGAACAGGGGAATCGAGGTCCAGAATATCTATCTCCCCGCAATAGTACGTTATGCGTAGGACCGATGTGCGTGAGCTCGCGCCTCATGAAATCAGGTCCACTCGAACCGAAGTGACAGAGACGGTTACTATTGTACAACTGAGGGTCAACAAGAGCACAGACCAATAAAATACTATGAGGTATACAAGTTTGAGGGGCCGTAATTATTGATTGAGAATGATGTTGTCCTTGAGCGTTGATCCCTTGATTGGAATGCTCTATAAAACCTTCATTTTCCACTGATTCTTCGTAACGATTCTATAGCATTGCTTGGCTGAATCTCCGAAGATGTCCCTCCAAAGCCCTTCACTCTTCGCAGGGATCGAGGGCCTACCACTAGGTCTGATTCAATCCGCAATTGAGTCCGACATTCTCTCCAAACCGCTCGGCTCCCACGAGGCCCTTCATTTCTTTTTTAAAGAACTCAGGAAAGAGAGTCCGCACCCTTTGATTGAACAGGCAATCAAAACGGTCTTGGAAAGCCCATCGCTACGGCAAAAGATCGAGGTTCAGTGGAATCTCTGCCACGATTACAACCATGCCAAAAGCCGCCAGCATTTGATGAAGGAAGATGCCCCCTATGATCTGGCCTCGTGGTCTATCGAAAATTGCTATCCGTGCTTTAAGTTACTCTTGGATCATCAAACAGTTCAGCCTTCTTCATTTTGCCAAGCTGGCTACAGCTTCTTTTGGCTCGCAGTCAGAAGTGACCAACTTGACTCGATGCAACACCTCCTGTCTTTGATGGAGCCTAAAGATCTTTTGAGTCCTGTTCAGACGTGGGATGCGGATAGAGAGCGATGCACAATCTTCCAGGCCTCTACATGGAATCGAAACTGGTTTCGGGCGTGTTGGACACGGCTTAAACCATTACCGAACAATGGTCTTACTTCACTTGGGCCAGATGAAATCGGGAATATATGGCAATTTGCCAATGTGGAACTTGCAAACGAGTTGTTAGACTCAGGCCTAGATCTAGGAAAACCTCACCCTAAAAACGCATCACCTGGTTGGTTGGAGATAGTGGATCAAATAGATCCACAGCCAATGTTTGATTGGCTCTTGAGCCGTGGCCACCGACCCCCCGGAAAACTCCTGACGTACGCCGCAAAATACAATGACATTCTCGGGGCGAGCTGGATTATGCGCTATACTGAAAGCTACTGGGAATTGAGTGAAGCTGCACTTGTAGCGGCGGAAAATACACAAAACAGAAGCGCAGAAATACTGGAAATGATACTGCAAACCCTAACTGCAAAGTGGAAAGATAACCGGACTCTGTCAGAAAATATTGTGATAAAAATTGTCAACGGAGTGTGCCATGAATGGGGAGCTATGCAATCACATGACTCCTTCCAGGAAACTTTGGCAGAAATGGAGGATACAGCAGTTCGAAAGATTCAAGCCCTAGGTGAAGTAGTTGGGAACGTTCGAGTCCTGGGTATGAAGATCACGGCGGAGGATGCTGGACTACATCACCTTGCAACGGCTCTAGAGAAAATAGACTCTCCCTTGTAGGTTCAATTTATTCGTTAATGCCTAAGCGCCCGCTCACGTTACTATGAAATTGACTTCGATCACACCGACTTCGCGAATGGGATCACATGACTCTTATTCTCGTCAAAGCCCTTATGAAATTCCCGTATATAACATGAATTCCCCTTCTTGCTGAAATCAGACCGTGAGTTGTTATCTCTTAGTCTACGGCCGGAACAAAGCCATATGTCTCAGTTCAGGTAGATTGACTTTAGAGATAGAGATATGCACAATCTCAGCAGGGTACGTTCCGCTAGCACGAGAAGTTATTTCAGTGCTGACTTTAGATGATTTATCTACAAACTAAAGCAGCCAATCCGGGTCCTCTTTTAGCTATATAGTTTATTAGCCAATTCACCACGTCACAATAAAAACCCCAAATACGACCGGATATCTCAAATACAGCAGCTGCATCTTTCTATGGCTTCTATCTCTCCTACAAGTTCATTTCAGTACTACACCTAATAAAATGGATCTCCAGAAATTACTCAGTCTCCCTCAATCCAATACGGAACCTCCAACCACCCTGCACTCTATGCATTATTAGGGACCGCCACTGGGGTCTCCAATCCTTTGGCAAGCATTTAATTCCTTTACTCATCATATATAAATACAATCAGCTTCCTCAGGGATATGATCTTTGATACCATACTACCCTTTTCTCAGGATGAGCCGTTCCTTCTTCAATTTCAAACCCATTCGATATAGCAACACTTCTAAATTAACCGATTATTACCAATGGGTGTTCGTGAAGCTAGATAGGGCAACTCGCCAGGAAATCCTGAAAGCGCTAGCGCGACCAGAGCAAATATCAAATGCTCGTAAACAAGGTAAGGTCTACAATCTTTATGATGATGTACAAAAGTAACCGGTTTACAGAAGAAGAGAACCAAGTTCAGCTTACTATCAGGCAAGCCAAACCCTCGGGAAAGTCGAAAGTCAAGCAAAGAAGATTCCACGGGAGCAAGAAAAAAGTAGTCAACGTTCCTAAGCCAGGTCAGCACTACCATCTTCATTATTATATACAAGCCTAACTGGTTTCGCCAAAGAAGAAGACGAAATACATCAGCTTGTTAAAAGCGTACGCCAAGAGCCCATCGCATATTTTAATAGTGCGATCACGCGAGCCAAAAATTTGAGAGAGACTGAAGTAGAGCTACTGGAGGAGATGCTATCTATTAGGAAGTGTGAGAAGCAATATGAGGACGGAGACTTTGGTAAGCCCACTCACTTACGTTCGTATCAATTTATTAACTATAATAATAGACTCAAATAACTTTGCAGAAGACACTGTATGAACTCTCTGTTAGGCTGAATTCCGGATGTATTTTCTGTTAGTACCTATTTGAGTGTAACTAATGTAACTTAAGGAAAAAAAGGGGAAAGAAACGATCCTTTCACAAAAGCTGCTCTTAAAAGGAAATGCAATAGTATTAAAAGAAACTTCTCTTTTACCTTATGCATATCTCTAGAATAGGAGTGTACCTTAAAAACCTATGCCACACAATTGGAGCCGCCATTACCGTAGGCTATTTAGATATCTAGCCTTTTGTTTGAAAAAAGGGGATTATAACTCAAGTAATAGGCATATAAAGCTTCGCGTCATGCCCCTTCAACTCTCTCATTCCTAAACACAATCACTGCCCGTCCAGTTAAGGCAATGTAATGGACCAACCACAGTTGCTTCTCTCAAAGGAATTGAAAAGAACTAGAAGAATGGTGTTAATCGCCACAGCCAGAAAGCTTTACTGTCGACATGCCAAATATATAAAGCCAGTCGCGGTCCCTCCTGGTTGTCCCCCTTCCTCCCAATTTCAATTGCGACTATCCTCAATCAAGTTAGACTGCTTGAACCTGGCAGAGGAACACAAAGATGGCAACAGCACAGACCAGAACGCCTCGTTACAATGAACAGCATCCACCGGAAATGGAGATCACTGGCTATGTGGTTTTGTCGGCCTCCTCTAACGGAACCGAAATAAAATCCGCAGTGATGAGGTCCCTCTACTTGCGACCGAGGGTAGAAAAAGGTACTCTCGTGTATGGCAGGGGAGATGCAAACACATGTGGGCGATTTTTGCGGTGCGGTGCCGAGGAAAGCGACGCGGTGTGTTTGTTAACGCAGTATGTTGAATCAAGACTAACAAACCATAGTTCTCTGGAAAAATCAACGAGGCCATAGGTGAGGTTGACTTCCTTCTTCGTCAGGGTCCCGTTATCGTTCTCTCTCTCGAGGGCCACTCAACATGGGGTACTAGGCTTGCGCACCCATCTCGTAATGCGGTATCTGTCTTTCGGGATCTTTCGGAAATCGACGAAACCAGAGTCACTTTCAAGCTCTACCCCCCTGATCTACCGAGAGAGGCAACGTGGGAGACCCGACCAGTTGTGCGGAAGCTGCGGCCAAACGAAATCCTTTTTGTGAAAGGGTCGGTCAGAATGGGGATAGAGGTTCCTACTGGGGGTTCTTTTGTCTGGCTAGGAAACAGTGGTGACCCAATGGCATTTGACATGCTTGGCCCAGAGGTCTTTGAATTCATGGCGATTTGAGCGGTTCGCGCTTTAGGATATCGGAGGTGTCAGACGCGGAACCTAGGCAAAGAATTGTGTTAGTTATGAAAAGAAAGTAATGACATGAGTGTCTACCAATGCTTGATACTTGGACTTTAAATTGAGAAGTCGCTGTGCGCAAAAAGGAATGTTGGCATAGCTAGCTCTTAGAAGCTGCATGGCTTTGGCTTCTTCGCGAAGGGACAATCGGCGGAAAGTAGGCAGAACTGGGACCAGCAAAAGTGCAATGCCCCCACCGAACTCACTTTCAAACCTTTTAAGCTTTCGCCCTTGTTGAAGGGCATTGGAAGCATTGTAATCGTTTGACCGCCCAAAATGACGAAGGAAAGACGGCATCAACCAGGCACCGCGGGCATGACTACCTGGAGGAATAACGCCCAATCCTTGTATCCGTAGCCAATTTTCCTCTTCCAAAGCTAGAGACGACCACCTAAGAATGGTTTGTAGGTGCAGGATCCATGTGCGTGAGTTCGCGCCATGTGAAATCAAATCCACTGCACTCGGAACTTGTGTTGCCTCGCTTTCCACTATAGCTGGAGTGAGGTCGACCTCCAGAAATCTTAGAAAATGTTCCATTCGAGCGGATAGGTCGTGGAGCAGTCTCTCCGCAGTAACTGGTGGATTGTGGCGAGCAGGCATTGTCGATACGTGAAGACGGGAGATACCTACAGACGGTTTGAATCCTTCCGTACCCGCTGACTCAGGTGACTAAAAGGGTATAGGATAGAATGCATCCCCACGGAGTTGAGGGCTCCAAATCCAGGCCCGCTCAGACCATGTGATAGTAGATGCACGCCCCTGGAATTGGTATGATATGATCATGATTGCGATATATAAGTCATGCGTCTTGGGTCCAACAAGAGACCAAATCCATATTTTACCATATACTATGACGAACATCTTTGGAAACACTGTCGAGCCAAGATTCAATATCCTGGCGCCGCTAATGGCATGTTTGGGATTCTCGAAGGTATGCTCAAAATCTACTTGGCGAACAGACACAACAAGCTGACATTTTAGACCGAGACTGCACGTTTTCCACCCGAACTGCCACATTCTTTCTGTGTAGAGGAGTCAGAGCCCAAGCCAGACAAGATGCACACTGGTACGCTCTACGATGGCTCCTTCTGCAAGGAGCCAGAAATTCAAGGGCAGCTAGGCGGGCAGTCCGACATTAGTCTTCACCATGAAAGAGTATCCTCTCGGAGAGAAAAAGCAAAGCACCTCGCAGGAGGTCATCACGCTTCGCCATATGAAGAGGTAAACAACGCCGAGGCGGAAAGAGTAATTGATGTTTTGTCTATCCACTATGTGACCTGCAAATTAAGTACAGCGAGGGTATGTGTTACAGTTGAATATAGAGGAGAACAGAAAACAAAGTGGTTCGATTATCAGAAAATCCGTGAGATTGATGGCACACGGGAAGCGATGAATAGATTTATGCCAACATGGAAATAGGGAGGGCAGCTTCAAACTGCACGCAGTTCTGAACCGCAGTGACGAATACAATCTAGATGGCGATTTTGTGGTGAGAGAGGGTGTGCATTCTGAGCTATACTACTTCGGGAAAATAAAAAACCGTTCTTTCGCATGTCCAAATTCGGCAGACAAGCGCACTTCCCCTTTTCGACCAGCTATCTGCCCTATAACCAATGAATTAAGTGTATTGAGACTCATCAGACCCAAGAGAGTATCTATCGCCACAAAAGAGTTTGCTGCTCAGATCAACGAACTTTGAGGATGCACGGGCGCAAACTGTGCCTGTATGTTGGAGACTAGATTGAAAATATTGCCTGCTGATTGGCCCGTGTAATGCGGTCGATGGCCAGCCGTCAATCTTGAAACGTCAAGTTTTTGGTCTAGATCTACTGGGACAGCCCGTGGGTTAGGCAACGGGTTATCTTGGGAGCCTGGATCCAATGAAAGGCCATAGAGCATAGGAAATGCTAGGCATGATAGCTCACAGACCCTTTGGTTACTGTATGTAATTCTAGTTCAAAAATCCCCCCTGACCCAGCCACGTCATGCTTTCTATCGATGACTCTTACAAATCCATCGTGTATAAAAGATAGCAGCGGGGAGACTTCTGAAAACCACTCGGAATTCTCAACGTATCAATCACCCTCCAATCCAAAACGCTTCTCTGTCGATATGATCCCTATGCTACCCAACAAAGCCTCTGTTGAGCCCGTTTTGGTCAGACTGAAAGATATCGACATACCTGTGCCTGCTCTCCAAAAAGCAAACCCCGACATCAATCGGTTTAGCGCTGGCTTCATTATCCTCCGTGAAGACCCAGTTGAACTATCCAAACCACATGCATTCCTCGTCCAACGTGGATTCGATGGATCATGGGGTGGGACCTGGGAGGGACCGGGAGGTGGATATGAGCCTAGTAAGGACGCCACAATCGTGGAAACTGCTTTGCGTGAGACCCAAGAGGAAGCAGGCATAGTTATTCCACTGGAAGCTATTTTCCCGCTTGTATACAGGAGGACGTTTGAGCACAAGGGCTTGCTAATGAATTATTACACATTCATTGCGCAGCTTCGTGGGGAATTCCCCGTTACTCTGTCCGATGAGCACCTTGCGTGGGGGTTCTTCAACGAAAAAGAAGCCCGAAGTTTCGGAACCTTTGACAAGGAGGAGGCTAGACAGCAGAAACACGTTATGCTTGAAAGCAAAAAGAGAACCCTTTGTCACATCTTCATAAACAAAGAAAGACTGGAGAATGGTGATGAGAAGGGAATCATGCACGTGAATAGGTAATGGTGAGGCGGATGTCCTGGCTCATGTTCTATGGGTGTGTCTGTTGAGTATTTTGTCCGGCATTGACCCGAGCACGCTATATAAGCCAAGTCATTGTTGTAAATAGACTTCCACGTTACGATGCAATAGAAGAAGCCAATAGATTCAGGATATCAATGCCCTGGAATGTAGGATAAACTAGGTGGGCACCGGATTAGTTGTCCGGACACCTCCTGGGAATTACATCTGTCTTCGGAAGCAGAAAATTCCGTCCTGAATCCCTACTTCGGCCCTAGTTGTCAAGAAAATGATGTATTAGCTTGTTAAGAGTGAAGCTGTACGGTAAGTCTTTCTTGACATTAGCGGAACTAGTGACCCTTTTCAGGATTCCTTGGAGAGTGGAGTATCGCCGTGGAGGGTATGTATTCTACACTATACCGGTTCGGGAGCGAAGTTCAAGACCCGTCGCCTTCCCAGCCTTTCATGGTACTAAAGGGACCCCTTCCCCTGTTCTGTGAGATTCCGATCCCGTATCGTGTATAAATTGATCCCACTCTTTCATTTTCGTGCGTCATTCACCCATGTTTACTCTCTCGATTCTTGCAAACAGTCGATTCCCGAAATCTTGTTCTTATTTGCCTCCTGGCACCAGTACCGCGTGATGGGTCATAATTGCGGCGAGTGCACTCACAGCGGTAGGAAGTGCATGTGGCAGCCACATACTGAGAACGAGGCGCAGCGTGTCCTTCAGGAGCTGACAAAGCAAGATGCTGGGCTTGAAGGAAAACAACAGCTGGGTTTAATAAGATCTCCCATGGTTAGTACAAAAATCCGATTAATTGTGACTGATCTAATATAATAAGCCTACCCTCCTACCTGATCAGATTCTACGCGAGCCAGCAAGGATAGCTGTTAAAGTGTTGTTGGAACTGAGGGACCATCTTCCAACTCTTGCTACCTTTCGCCGGAATCCTCTCAGTCAAGATGCTAGACTACTTCTGGACGGGTGCTGGGATTTACAGAAAGGGTTACAACAGCCACCAGCCTGCACCGAGTTAGAAGGGTACGCTCTGAGTCTTTTACCAATGCTCGTGGAGAGTTATGCGGGAGCTATCGTGCCAAATCTCAGCTATGCGACCCGTCTTAAGCTGTCCATTATAGTTTGGCATTTCCACGCCCCATCTTGCAAACCTTCCCTAGGGCCCGTCGCATCCCATTTTGATGCCTCGTCTTACGAGCCTTCCCAAGGGCTCGTCAAATTCCTCCGAATCCCGCTCAATAAGGAGGTGTGGGAAATACTTCATGTCCGATACCAAAAGATGTGTTATCTAGTCCCGTTTGATGATTTCATGCGCTCTTTTGACTTTCTGCTATCATCGCAGCTGCCACGAGAACCTCCCACGAATCAACCAGAATCCGGGGATAGCCAATTTCAGCTTCAGCCTCCTCGAACGCTAGCGAACCGGAAGTTTCGATCGGACCCACAGCGACAGGAGTAAAGAGTGAAGGGGAAGGGGTCGAGGGCACAGGCTTCTCACAATCTGTTCAATAGCTGATGGGTAAAGGTTGAGTTACACTCAGGTCCTATTATGATAGATACTTCTGAGCATATTCGTTCTTCTGTCAGTAACTCCCAAGCAAAATGGTCGGTCAATTTCTTTTCCTGCTGGGGAGCCTCATTTCGGTTTCGGTCTGAGCGCGCGCTTACCGCCTCCCTAATTCTGCCCCAGAAAGGTGGGTTTCTTGGCACCTACCAGTCTGCATCAGGAAGCCTCACCTCTGACTAGCCTCTCCGATAGACCCACCGTGGTTCCGAACTCCAGATTGCCGACGGCGCCTGCTCGGCCTCTGCTATTGGTTATTGAATTCATTTGAATGCACGTTGCACTGCTGAGTGCTGTATGATAGACTCATGATGGAACCGCTTTGGAATCTTGTTCATCGGTAAGATCCGCCATAATACAGACATCCATGATAAAGATTAACAGATTTTGATAGTTTAAAAATCATAAAAGAGTCTTGTATATCCATCTCATGTGAATACCCCCTTTAGATGAATTGGCTGTGCTCGATTTAGCGTATTCGGTTGGCAAACATGTTCCCATTCCATACTAGTCTATGCACCAATTCGGCCTCGCTTTGACAAGATGCTTCCTGATTAGTGGTGTTTCTGTTAAACAAAGCGTTTTGTCGAACTAGAGGAGTGGGTTAATACCGCGAACACCCTTTGCAGAAATATCTCGAGGAAGTTTAATTTGCGCTGGCGAACGAGTCATGTGTTTGTGATAGAGCGACATTAGCTCGTGGCGCAATCTTTGCGATGAACCAGGATAAATGCAGAAGACTTGAATGGGAAACTTGTCGGGCTGATTAGCGCTATCATGCGCCGGTCCCAAATTTCGCCCAGACAAGTTCCAGAGGGATCTTGTTTCCAACTCCATCTCAATTCCAGATGATTAAATATAGTCACTTGTTTCAGCTCTGCACAACGAGAACGTCCCTCACTACCTTCAGACTTGTCTTTCTATCTCCTGTTGACGTGCCAATATGCTCCATGCCTTGCCACCAGAATTGTTTTCTATGGTTTTGGAATACGTTTGTGCCTGTATCGCTCGGCTTCATGACGCTAGGCTAACTACTCAGTTCTACCGAAATGAGGATCTGAAAAACGTCTGCTTGGTCTCAAAAGCCCTGCACTCAGCGACTATACCACGACTATACCGATCGATTATTATTGTTTCGAGGAACGAGGGTAATTTGAGTGACTTGAACTTTGGACCTCTCTTGGATCGGAGTTCTCGCTATCTTAAATTTACAAGAGAGGTCATTCTGATCGCGGAGTTCCGTCAATTGCTACGCTATCGCTGTCATGACCATGATTCTGATGACTCGGATGACTCGAATGCCGAATATGATTCCTCCAGCGACGAAGCGGAACTAGAATATCAAGAAATTCCTCGAAGACTTTCTGTTGGGGAAGACGAAAACGGAGGTGTGCCTTGTGACGAGGACCAGGAGAATCAGCAAAACAACATATCCCAGCTATCAGAGTGGCACAACGATCGTTCCGATATCTCTTCAAACAGTCATTCTCATGCTGACTTCCCTGAGGGAGACTCGGATGACCTCACCTGGCAAGAATGGACGCCACATGGGCAGTTTATGAAGATTTTGACATCAAGAATACAACCTCTTCTGGACTTGATTCCAGATGGTAGGTTGGAAAGGTTCAGGTACGAGTTCCTTAATTGAACGTAAGGTCATGCAATCTAATGCGAAGCAATAGCTGGAATCTCGGTACCTGTGTTCCCGGAGCCGTAATCGAATACCTCAGCACGAAACAGACACAAATCGTTCATCTAGAGGTCATCACCGACACGACTTGTCTAGGCCTAGATTATTTCAATATATACGATTTGTACGGATTCAAGAAACTTCGGCGCCTTCGCTTGATTACGTCTACCTTTATTCAGGACCCGGAATACTCCCTTGGAGAATTATTCCAAAACAACGCTTCGACATTAGAGGAAATCGAGATTGACGAGGTTGGCCATGGAGGACTACAAAGCAGGGTTCCGGGACAAAACAAACTGCTTCATCAAATGCTGGCGCTTCCTCCAGGGAAAATGCAACAATTGTTTCCGTCTCTGAAGAATTTAACTCTGAGCGCGGTTTCCTTGGAAAATGGCGGTGATGTTATGCCATCTGTTTTCTCTTTGAATTGCCTGAATTCGCTAGCTTTGAGAAACTGTGAAGCATCAGCTGGCTTACTCAAAGCGCTCGGGTCAGACGACGTGTTGCCGCACTCAATGAGACTCAAGTCCTTTGAATATCTTGATAATGGCATGTTGGGAAAGTCCTGGGCCATGGACTCTATTGCGAACTTTCTCATATCTTTCGAAGGGCTCCAGGATTTGTTCCTGTCATTCCTTGACGTCTTTGAAAACAGTCTCCTAAGTTCAATATCTAATCACAAAGCTTCGTTGAGAAGGCTTCTGTGTCATGTCCCACAGATTACCCCTCGGCGTAATCCAACGCAGCCATCACTGAGGTTCGAATTCCCGTTGTTTACCCAACTCTTAAGAGAAACCCCGAATCTCATTTGTTTGGGGCTTAGCTATTCTCCGGAAGACTTGGTAAGCATGGATTACTCATTTTGGTAAAAAAGCTTTCTACTAACATAAACCAGCGTGCTCTTTTTTCTCTTCCGAGAGTCTGCCCCCGCCTCCGACTACTGCATGTTAGAGCCTTCAGGTGGCTAGTATACGAGGGGTATCGTGAAGGATTAGACGATAAATCGGAGTCTAGATTCTCTGCTGCGCTTCCAGAGATTCATGAACTTGCGAGTTGGGCCTTTGGGCCAGAGGGTTTACCAAGTCTACAAGTTCTTGCTTACGGAGACTTTTCTTATCGAGGGCGTAGGCCAAATCTCGTGCTCTGCAGATTCAAATCACTGGATGACTCGCATATACAAGAATCGGCTGCTGGGCTATCTGATCTAGCATACAGAGAGGTCACAAAGGCAGACGTCTCGGAACAAGAGATTTTGTACGCCAACGCTCATTTCTTAGAAGCCTGCCCAGAGGATCCTTTGTTATATGAGCGGAATCGCCCTTTCTGATTGAAAATTCCATATTCTGGTTCGTTAACTTCACCAGGAGAAATTAGATGGAGGCATCTATCGGCTCCCGGCGGTGTCAATTGGAACGTTTGACTTTCTTGTCTTCGAAACTGGCGTCCATGCGATAGCATATTTACAATAACCTACGTATTTCGTGGATGCCCTGGACTATTGCTGGCTTATTCTTAAAAGAAAATTTTAGTCAGATTATGTTAGACGAATAGATTGTCTGTAATTCGAATCTTCCTTGAATTCAACATTAGTTAGCGTGGCTGCAGGCGAATGTATGAAGTGTGGTACATAGTGTAGTAGCGTATTAGTAGCCTGAGGTATCGCAAATGCCTTAGGAAGCTTGCATGCAGTCTTTCTTAGAGACCGGCATCATCCTACCATCATCAATATGACTACAGTTTTGCACCAGATTCTTCTTTCATGATATAGCTTCAATACTAGTGCGATAGTCACTTACACATGGGAGTGGTTGGTTGTGCTGTCTCCATTGATATCGACCCGTCTGCTATGCCAGACTGCCATCGTGCCATCCCCATTTCAATAGCTAATTCTTGATTAGCCGCGTTTGTATACCGTCCACATAGATAGAGATCTGTTGGGTTCTAAATCACAAAATCAAATGAAAAAAATTGTCATGACTTGATTCTCCCTGGACCGGTGGATATGGACAGAGTACCCTACCATACCGTGTTTCTATGATCAAGGGTTTGCCAGAGATCCAAACCCTGTTATATCTCGTGTGAATTTCCCCTTAAGGTAAATTGACTGTGCTCGAGTTAGCGTGATCAGTTGGCGGAGACAGGCTGCAGGCGAATGTATGAATTGCGAACAGAGCTATTCCCTGATTGGTCGTGTTTCTGTTAAATAACGAATTGTTGCATACAGTCAATACAGGTAGCGATCTCTGGGCTTTACGAGTCCTTTCCTGGGTGACTGATGATTTAGAGTATGGAGGAGCTTGGAATTAGGCTTGAAGGTTTGATTAGCGAGGTTTCGGAGGAAGCGATGTCTGTCGGAAGAGAATCTCGAATCGGGTAACAATGGCGTACTTTGATTTGTTCATGGGTGAAGGCGAGTCATGCTCAATCCAGAGAGTTTCTGCGCGCAACAAGGCCAGTTCTCGGTCGTAGGACTCATGATGCTAAACGATTTAAGATCGCTCATTAAACTTAATTTGAGACAGGCCATCAGCAACCATGACTGGCTATATCAAATTAGCGTATAACGCGGGTTTGTGATACTGGGAGGATCTACACGAACAGCTGGTTAGCATCTGAGCTTGATTCCGAGTTGACCTTAAGAAGAGAGTTTAGCTTATGTCAATCATACACCGCATCGTGATTCATTTGGCCAAGGAGAAAAGGATGCATACAAATCAGCATTCCGGGGGAGGTAAGAGAGAGACCAATGGACCAATGAACTAACCAACTGTTATAACTGACAATGGTGAGATTTTGGACCCCACCATGTGCAGCCACACGAATATGGTAATATTTACAAGGATGGGGTACCACATGTCCCTTCTCTTTTGCGGCACCCTATGACTCTGTATTTGAAATCATTAATCCGTCTAGGGGCAGGGGTGCCTGAATAATCGACCAATAATGTGGCAATACTATCAACGTCCGCGCGGCTGAGAAAACGGGCCCCACATAGGCGTATGCAAGCATATCACAACGCCACAGTTTGCACTAGGTGATATTTGGAATCATTAATGTGCCTCACGCCATGGGTACCTGGATGGTTGGACCATCATGTGGCCGGTCCGGGGAGAATGAATGCTATTCGCCTCCTGTTACCGAAGAGACCACCAGGTGGTGGTTGCAGTATTAGTCACTCTGTACTCCCAAAGTTCAACGGCTAAATTCTTGAAAAAGTGGAAACATTGGCCACGATGTAGTTTCCCTAACAGGGCCCATGAAAACCCTAGTGAAGATGCTAATTCGGATCGGCCATCGCTGTTGGCATGGTCCTGTGCTGGCTGTTGCCTTATCCGTTATGAGCAGCCCTGTGCCGCCAACATGATCCTGATGTACTTTTGCATATCCCAAAGTACTCCAAAACTTAAATTTGCCCCATAGGTGCTCGGAAGTTTGGTTCAGGCGGCATTAGCGCGTGCCAAGAGCGGTGATCCAGAGACGATCTAGTTTTGTATAAAATTTTGCAGTGACTCTGTGGAGCGTGCGCTGAACCGCCCTTGAACCCAGATGCTGCCTATCTAAGGAAAAAAGCCACATTTGTATCGCCCGCGACGCGATGTGGCCCGCGACGCGATGTGGGCCGCTACGCGATGTGGGCCGCTACGCGATGTGGCCCACGTAGAAGGGTCTATGAAAAGGCATACCCCTAAGGAAAACTTTATTTAGGGGTCGGTTATATCCAGTATCGTAGGTTTTATGTTGGCTGTTGCCTTGTTCATGAGGAAGTTACAATTGTTGTGTGCAGTGAGACAAAGTCGTTATCTCCTGTGGATCGCGTGGGTCAGGAAGGGCAGTGTTTATGTCACACTCTTTCCTGAAGTAGTAGATGCTTCGAAACTCAAATTCGGTCGTTGGGACTGCGGCAATCCGATTGGGTGTACCAGCTAACTGCGGTGGGGTAAGATGCCTTTTATCGCTGGTTTGTTTCTGCCAGTCAGTCATTTGCATCGAAATATCGAGTTAGCTAATTACCATCGTTCACCCGTAGCTCGGGCTGATTGCCTGTGGACCCTGCCGGAGCTTCTAAGATTGTTTTGGAATGGACGTTGGTGAGCCGGTCTCAGGATTTCAGCTCGTGCAAAGTCGAGGTCTGCCTGGATATCATGGCGAGCTTCCTGTTAAACCTTCTTGCATTTATCCTGGTTCTCACTAAGACCAAGCCACGAGCTAATGTCCCCTTATCACAAACGCATGAGGCGAGCCCCAGTGGCTTTTGACTTACGTGCAGTACACGCTTTGATCGTGGCCAGGTTTAACCTGAATTATCGCGTAGGGCACTGCGAAGCATGTGGGCTCGGGGCGTCATGCCGGAGTGCATCACCACCCACGGAAATTAACGTACCGTTGATAATGGCTGCTGTGCACGGTGCTACAGGATCTAGTTCGTGGGCCAAGCCGAGTCTGTTAGCATTTAACCATATCGGACTGCCCACTTATCCATTACGTACGCTCAAAGCCTCTATCAGGATCTGATGTGGCTACAAAGGATATTGCCACATACCTAACCTAGCTACAGAGGGTTAGGACAAAAAGAGGCTGTTCTGGCAAACGCTATTTTCCTTGAAGACTTTCCCCTTGCCCTCCGTTCCTACCGCAAGTGCTTTGAAGAGAGTAACATTCTTAATCTCAAAACAAGAGAAAACTGATGCGGCGCTATATTTTCACAAGCTTAGAATCCGGAATATCCCGGGCCTGGTCAAGTTTCCGTTTACTTGATTTGCCGCAAGATGAACACGACAAGCATCCGTTATAGTCATATTCAGCGGTGCCGAACGGGCAGTGGAAGCTTTGTTGGGCATAGCAGCTATACTAAAGCTCGAGGACTTACTTCAGGTAAGCGATTGCTCATATACTGAAACTATCTCCACTTCGGTACTGCCCTCAAAGTGGGTTAGGGTCTGTTTGCGGTGTGAATGCGAAGTAACGAGCAGATTCGCTAAAGTATCTTCTATTGCGGTTTTGTCTTGACTTGGTAGAGGCGTCTTTCTCTTCATCGCTACTGGCCATGGGTAGATTGATTTTTGTTGCCCCAGGGCGTTCTTTTTTCTTGTCGACACAAATACATAAATGCGAGTTTAATTGAATAACGCCCCCTGACATGCTTTATCTCCTTACACGCTTTGTAGAAATGGAAGCTATACTATCCCGACACTTCCTTTTGTGTAATCTGGAGCAGGTTGAGCACCCTCGAATCTTCTGAGAACTTCCAGAGCCGGTGAAAGGAGAGTCAAGGCCCTGTTGTATCTCAAACCATTGCATATTTTTGGGAAAGCCGCTTATCTTCCTTTCAATGCCTTTCGCCAACCGTAGCGATATTGTGACATTTTCCGTAGGGTGTCGGACGTAAAATGAAACATGTCTGTTGTAAAGGGAGCACATTTCACAGGCTTGTAAATCTAGCGAGGCGAGGGTCTCATTCGCAGTAACAAACTCCATCTCAGGCTGATAGAGGGCTATGAGAGCGTTGACTATATTTTTATAGACGCCGCGACACCTAATAGAGCCTTCGCATAAATAGAAGCCTCCATCATAGATGGGAGATGTATCGAGCTGGAAGTAAAAGTTTGAAACCAAGAGCGCTGTTGCAACTTCAATAAGCTGACCCGGCGGGTGCAGGTGTATCTGCTCTTTCTGTAGCGGTATACTTTGAACATCGTCCAGCCGGATTGGGAATGGAAGCTCGGTATTCAGACGAAAGAAGTCTTGCCTGCGTTGCTCATCCAACCCATTTCTGACATCACCATATCTAGTATGTCCGTCGAGAAAATCCATGAAAGAAGTCCATAACTTCTGTAGGGAATGGGTCTTTCTCCTAGGTAGGCCTTTAGAGGCCTCTCCAGTACCCAGAGAGATGATGACATCGTGAGATATATTTTTATCCCAGATACGGGAACACTCCCACATTGCTAGTTCAATAGGGTTGGGAAACCCAAGCCCACCGTCCCAAAATTCTTGACCGGCGACAGTGATAGGCTTAAAGAAACTAGAATGGGCATTAGCGCGGACGAGAAATATATAGATATGGACATATGGACATACATAGGGGCTGCTGTCGTTGCACGGGCTCTATCTGAGTTCAGCACTCTCGTGTAAGAACAATGATTGGATTCCAACTTACGCTTGCCATAATGCAGCTTCGTCGTGATTGTTTTCAGGTCGAACCACTGTATATCCTGGAAGGAAGGAAGCGATTAGGAAGATAAGCAAGAATCGCCAAAATCGTACATACCCATCGGTTGTGCCGAGCCGTTGTAGTTTGTGAATATTGAACGTGCATTCCCCCCAGATGTCGCAGTAAGTGCCACCTTTGTCCCAGATACTATGCCAGGGACGTAACCAAATAACTGTCCAGGCAAAGTTTCTTGAAGTGCACCTTCCAGAAATCGCTCGTCGTACATTGCATCGCTAGTTATATACTTGACCACTGCTTTCAATCGACCCAAGGCGGAGTCAGAGGTTGAAAAACATCGACGGGCGAGAGTCTCAAATATACTAGCACATTGGGAGACAGGCCACTTTTGATGAAATTTGGCCAGTACAGTGAGGCCCCCTGGTCTGTCAGTCATGTATTGCACCTGACCCTATCGAAGACTCACCTGAACTTGTACCAAGTGCAAGATCAATCATGTCATGGATTGGACATTCTCCAAGTAATTTCTGTAATTCACCTAGGAACTCGAGGGGCGTGACACCCCGCGCACCACCGCCATCAATGCCTATAAGCCTCACTCCAGCTGTTGGTGGTTTGATATTCGCTAGTAATTCTCCGCCATCATGGAAAAGACAATCTAGTCGGAATTGGGTATCCGACTTTGGAAGAGGAATGCCAAACGCAGCGGCGCATATATCACATATTGAGTGACCGCAGCTCAAATGTCTCTCGGGAGGTCGGCAAAGGCACCAGATACAGACTGTGTTTGTCACAACTTGGCGTAGGAAACTGCTATACTTTTCAGCGGTTCCTCTGTGAAGCTGTGCAGCATCCGTATATCCGTCCTCTAGAGCCTCGAATATACGGTCACACTGAGCTTGAACCTCTCGATCCAAATAGGTAGAGCACTGTGGTCCATAGGAGAATTGAAATGCCTTATTGCAATGAGGCCTGTATAGGTTACGGTATATCAAGTACGGGTCAAAGACTATGGAAAGTTAGGAAATGATAAGGAAGCGTGTAGAATGCAAAACTCACGATGCATTCTTTTCGGGTACGCATTCATCATAATGCTTGAGGCAACAAATGCTGCTACCATGTTGTATGAGATTTTGAAGTGAACGCAGAGCTTGAGAAACTTCTGCAGATATACATGGTGATCTGTTTTAACTGGATCTGCGTCTCTCGCGACCTTAATAAAGTCAAATACCTCTCCTGGGTTATGCGCCGTGTGCTTCACTGCGGAGTTGAAAAAATGCAGAAGGTGAGTGGCGGAGAAAAGGCACCTAAGGCTCGATTTTATCGCTCTCGATTCTTCCATATGATATCGAATCTCCGCATGGAGCCGTTGATAGCGGGTAGATGGAGAAAGGTATTTGCCTGCTAGCTGAAAGATCTTGAGTGTCGAAAAGCTTGAAGAAAGTTGGCGTCCAGGGTTAGATGAGGCCAGGTAGTCCTCTATGCGAGCCTCGCTAAACTTGCCATCTTCCGAGAGAATGATAAGCAGTCTAGGACGCGTATCGGAAGGCAATGAGGAAGCATTTTGAACCTCAGTCCACGCTATTAAGCGCAACATAATTGCTTCTAATGTCTGAAAGTCATCGGCAAAAATGCAAATGACATCGCTGAAAGTGAAGACGAGTCTAGAATATAGAACGTCGATGACGGCGCGTGATGCAGTTGTGTGCCATGTTGTAGAATGAGACATAGTTTCATGACACCACACGTGAGTCTTTTCAGAAAGAGGAATTTGGAAGGGGTTACTGTCGGCAAAAAGCACAGGATTGTCGCTTGTCAAAGACGCCGTATCAACCCGTAGGTTCACATTTGCTCGATCTCCACGGCGTATGTTATTTCGATTAAAGATGTTCCGCATAGCCTCATCTTTTGTTGAGGTACCCAAAAAGAGACAAACCAGCGGGCGCTGAAAGTCTGGCTCAGGCATTTCGCGAACCAGAGCGCCCAGTCGATCGGTTCTTTCTATAATGAGCTCTTTCGAATCGCGGTTCTCTATGACACGAAGCCATCCGGCATGTTTGCAGGAAGCCATTGTTTGGTATCTCGTACCTTACGTGGGTTCACTTTGGACTTATAAAACTCAGGAAGTCATTGAATGTAGCAAAGGATATATGTTCCAATGTAAAATTGTCTCAATGTGCAAAGTGGGCGAGCTAAAAATAGCATCTGGTTGAATAAGAACAGGCAGGTAATAAATGTGGATTAAATGCTTTTATCCCGGGAAAGATTATCCAGGATAACGAATTGCTGCCGGTTTAAGGTTTCCATGTCTGAAATGTTGTTCTCAAGCTGTTTGACCAACGTAGTCATCTTTTCCATAGACTGGAGGAAGTCGTTGGCAATTTCGATATATTCTCGACGGTTGTTGTGTAGAGCCTTGATGAAGTCCTCTTCTGAGGGGATTGTGGGATCTGTATTTGCTGGTTTTTTCTACTATGAGTCAGACACGGGATTTTAGCGACCAACATCTGATTGGAACTCACCTCCATTGTATAGCAGGAACTCTGATAAACTTCAACTCATATTGACAGTATAAGTCTTTTTATTTCAATGAGCCATCACAAATTAGCCGCCCTGATAATGCTCTACAGATCTTAGCCCGTGAAAACAATGCGCCAGGTGGACAGTAGAGAAGATAAGGAAGAGAGCGCGTGCTAACGACCTACAAATGGTGACGCCCACGAGGAGTAACGCCCACGAGGGGTCCACAAGGGGTGACGCCCACGAGAATACCCAGGAGGATGACCAGGAATTGAGAGCCCACGAGCCGCCACTAAGGAGGTCACATGACCACATGACCCACATTATCATCGGCTATTCCACTTCGATTGTTCCATAGGTGATAACTACGTTCCTATTTCCACAACTAGCATGCCATTAGCGACGCCGACGAGAACACCCACGAAGAGAAGGCCTAGGGAGAGAGCTCTCGCGAGAGAGGAACGGGGAGGCAAACAGGCGGGGGCTCCAGAACGCCCCACAAAGAACGCCTGGAAGGAGTCAATTTCCACAATATCACGTCACATAAGCTGGAAGAGGCGAGGCGTCTCAGTTGCGCAGGAGGTTTCCCATGTAGGACACTTAACAAGGCGGAAAGCTACGTAATGATCGAGGAACCCTGTGCGCCTACGCCTTATGATCCCTGTCTCGTCCAAATTAGCTCGTGGGCCGGATCATCGCCAAGACGCTAAAGTATAGGCTAGGCTATTCAAGGAAACCCGAAACCTTTCTTTGTGCTACAGCACGGCGTGACCGGCGCGCAGGTGCCTGTGGTGCATTAGCGTGGTCCATAGTCCCAACGACCCAGAATTGATTTCCCACTAGTGCGTGTAACGGCTTGGAAGCGGCCTATAGGCGCGCTAGACCACTCGGATTTAACTCTGCGGCTGAATGCATTTATTACAACAAAGAAACTATCTAACAAATCAAAAGACGTCATTGCCTCTCATTCTTCCAGTCCCCATTATCCGGATGCTATCGTATTGAATAGATTACTTTGGGACCTCTGTCAGGAGTCCTTCGATAGACGTGCCAAGTTGCAAGAGGAATGGCTGAAGGCTTTCGACATAAGCCTCCAAGTCGGCGATCCTTCTACCTACTGTTAGCACGGCGTGGGGAATGTAACTATTTAGCAGACTGACTTTTGCTTCTCCGTAATTCTAATACTGTTAGGTCCTGGATTCCAACTGTGAGAGGAGCAGTACCATACCGGTCTTCTAACCCATTGAGACGGTCTTTAAGCTCAGTGATTGATTCGCTTAACGTTTGAACATCGTATTGTTGTGTCGGACTGGGTGATAGCTCGGGGAGTGCATCAATGGCTTCCACTTTCTCTTCGATTGGGGCGAGTACTCCAAGTGGGAATGGCTCCAGGTACTCGAATGGGTCTAGGTACTCATCCAAAATTTGGTCCCACGAAAATGTTTCGTCGCTGCCTAAGGTATACTGGAGATCGGGGAACTCATCGCAATCTTCGCCCCATCTAAGGAATGCATCGAAATCTGCGGGTTCCATGCTGATAATTGTGTAGGATGAGAAATGGCGCAGTCAGCTGAATTTATCTTGTTCTGCCTGCGCAAACTACCTGATGAGTTGGATGTAATTGGCGCTCATTCGGCGGCGCAGCGCCCACGTTAGATCGTAAATTTAGAAAGGTTTGTCTTAAAAGGACGATCCCCGCAGCGAAACGCTCCCACATCAGAAATTCCATTGTCTCCAAGCCTATCACGTACATATTGTCACAAAGCCGCCCTAATGGCCGCCGAACCGAACGCCCCAGGTCATAACAAACAATACTATGAAGAGGAAGAACATCTTTTGATTTCGCTCAAGCAGCTGGGGGGACTCTCATGGCCAGAAATTGCGCTCAGATTCAATGAAAGTGTCCCGGACGACCGACACAGAACTGCATCGGCCCTAGAGAATAAGTGGCGGCAGCTACGAAAGACCCACCAGTAAGCCGATGCCACTCCAGGCTGGATTGTTGTTTCTAATTATGGCATAGCTTGGTCGACATTTCCCACATGTTCTTAGAGCAGGAGTAGTAACTCAGACTACGACCAGCGGGATTGAAGAAAATTAGGAAATGATCTACACGGAATATGTGTATCACATAGAGATTAATGTGCGCGCGTAGAATTTTATTTTTGGTTCTTGTTCTTCGGTTCGATAATCCATATTTAACCCCCCTCCCCACTGGGATTCCTTAGAATTCGCATTCCACAGATCAACCCTCCGATTCGAACCTGTTACGATGCAAAACCAAGCTGTATGCATATGTGGATTCTTGTGATTCCTCGACAAGTTCCTGCTAACACGTCAAGGTAAACTCCGAACACATCCTCGTCCCATTGAACGTCGTACGCTGGTTCTTCCAGCGTCAGCAAGAAGATGCTCACTCAATCACCAACCTTCAAAAGTATATTTCATCTCTCGAAAGCTCATTGCATACTTCAGGGTGGAGAATGCAGCATGTCATCATTGAAAAGAATGCCCTATCTGCGCACTATGACCAGCTACACCGGGACTACTTGAAACTTTTCGAAGCCTACGAGCTCCTTGAGAAGCGGATCGACTATACCGGACTAGGAATCACAGATCTCCCCATGAAAGAGCGCCTGACATCCGAGGATATCATCACCGAGAACGTGTGATATTTTTTGCTGGGAATGTTTTATACCGCCTATGTGCTCAAATTCATGTTATCTTTGTGATTGTTATCGATCTATATAGTTCCAGGGGTATTTTTCTTAAATGTGATGTAAATTGATGGTTGAATGAAGCTTATCTAACGGTGTCCCTGTTCCTCATTGTCGATAATTCAGGGTATTCCATACTCTGGGGCATAAAGGGCTTCCGATCACGACGGGACGTTTGCGATGCAGCCATCTTTGCATGTGTGTGAATAACATCGCCCAATGAGACCCTTAGGTTCGTCTTGGCTTTGACCGTTTATTTCAATGTGGCTTATGCATTAGGTCGCTGATAGGCACCATCTTCAATATCCAAAGCATTAGACACCGAGGATTTGCTTTTAAATTTGGTGACATGGAGTTGAAACTGGCGCCTTGTAATAGCCCAGCTTTCCGGATAATTTCTGTTCTGAATTCTCTCCCAGACAAAGTCACGTACATCCTCGTAGCGCGCAGTTGAGCGATAGAACTTGACATCTCTAACCGCCAAGTCCAACTGGATACCTGCGCGATGAAGATTATGCACTTCAATACACCCAGTGCCAGGAGGATGATTCAACTTCGTCTCATTCTGTCGGTCGATTGCTGTGTTTATCGAGATCAACTGCTTCTTTGCCCATTCACGCTGATCATTAGATTCCCAAAGAAGAGACATGATGAATATAGTCGACTGATTCCAAAGGTGCTCGTAAGGGCCAGTATCGATGGCTCGATAAACGCCTTCGTTGACGTGCGAGATGAACACACCATATGGCCCATCTCGAGGATCGCGTCGGGAGAAACCTTCGTCTGTGGTTATTTTGTGGCGAAGGCCCACAGGGGGCGCCAAATACGCAGGGGCCAAGTCCATAGAGAACCTGTTTGGCAAAGATTAATTGATGAATTAAAATATTTTAAATAACTTAAAAACGCTATTTGGTACAAATGACACTTGTCCCATTTTACCTACTTTACCATTTGCACATTTGTACATAGCTATTTCGGTATGATGGAAAAATCGAAAATGGAATTTGCCCCTAATGTACATTTCAAAGTTGGGAGTTATAAACTCGCTCGCTTCCCCGAAACAAGTAACAACTATTCACCCACGTCTACCGTTGATAATGTCAAATCGTAACCTCAATGGCAGCGTTAACGAGTCCCTTCCCGTCCTTGAGCGTGTGGAGGGCCAAGAAAGCCAGGCCGAGGCGGGAGGCGAAAATAATAACAGCAACAACTCGAATGACCGCAGCCGCAATAACCGCCGTCGCAACAGCGCTAATGACCGCCGCCGCAATAACTCCAATTACCGCAGCCGCAACAACACCAGTGACGATACCCCTCCGGGCCTTGAGCGCGTGGAGAGCCAGGAAAGCGGTGCCGAAGCGGAAGGAGAAAATAGTAACTGGGAGGAGAATATCCCAAATCATGAAGAGGATTTCCCCGACAACGATGGCGAGGCGGAATCGTTCCTTCAACCTATGTGGTCAACACCCGAGCTGCTAGATCATACTGCAGAAACATCTGGCTTGCCGATGGAAGGGGTTGTTCTTGCTTGGCGCGGAAACAACACCGGGAAATCAGTGATAGTCGGATATGCGTGTGGCGGGTCCGTAACTGCACGATTAATCCCAGCGGCCCGGCGTCCTATTCCCTCTCGAGCACCTAACATATCAGAAAAAAGCCTTGGTCGCCGAAAGGACGATATTCGGACCGAACGAGATATTAAAGCTTGGGGAATCGTCGCATGGCGGGTGGATAAGAAGTCAGTCAGCCAGGACCCAATATCCTTATTAAAACCGATGACCGGAGCGTGGTATCCAGAGACGTATGTCTATATTCATTGGTGGAGTGGAGATGCGAGCTGGGAATCGCGGCATAATCTTCGATACGTTTGTGCTAGCAACCACCTGAAGACAGACATGTTAATCTACAATGTGGCGAAGGAGCAAGAGGCCAATTACCGCGAGGCACTTACAGGAGTAAGGCCAGAATATGCTCCGGCAAATACCCGAATGACAAATGACCATTGGAGAAATGTGAATGCATATCGAGGTGCACACTGGTTTCAGCCACGTGCTGAAGAAAACAGGCGCATAACGAGCATCAGATATGAACCGGTTATCAACGAAGAAGATAACTCTCAGGAATTCGATAGTGATATAGGTATGGGAGAAGGTTCAATTGTTAGCAGTGATGCCTTCCGACAAGAAGATGAAGAAGGATATTATGAGGGCTCCAATGAAGGAGAGGAGAGGGAACATTTTGAGGGCGAAGAGGCGGTTCAGGATGATGGAGAACAACAATATGGGCATATGCCACGGCGTCAGCGTTATTTAAGCCCTATTGATGAAGAAGACAGTGTTCCTGAGGGCAGGGTTTTCTTCACGCCTGAGGGTACCCCCACCCGAGCTCGAGGGCATGGTGAATCACAGCGAAGATATGGTATTTTTACCCCAAGAGCGACCAGATCACCTAGCTCTGGTCATCTATTCCAGGGGAATAGAGGCCAGGCTCGGCGGACGCCAGAAACACCTGGCAACCAGCGTATGCCGCGCTTCAACCAGGGCAACTCCGGCCGCTCCAATCACTCAAACTGGGGCAATGAGCAACGGATACCACAATCCAGCCAGGGCAGCCAACCCCAGGGCGATCCGCGGCGACAGACACCGCACTCCAGCCGCTCCAATCGCTCCAACCAGGACAATCAATGGCAGACACCGCACTCCAGTCGCTCCAATCGCTCCAACCCGGAACACCAGCGGCAACGGATACCACAATCCAGCCAGGGCAGCCAACCTCAAGGTGACCAGCGGCGACAGACACCGCACTCCAGCCGCTCCAATCGCTCCAACCAGGAACATCAGTCGCAACGGACACCACAATCCAGCCAGGGCAGCCAACCTCAAGGTGACCAGCCGCAACGGACACCGCACTCCAGCCGATCCAATCGCTCCAACCAAGGCGATCAGCCACAACCGACACCGCGCTCCAGCCGATCCAATCGCTCCAACCAAGGCGATCAGCCGCAACGGACACCGCACTCCAGCCGCTCCAGTCGCTCCAACCAGGAACATCAGCGGCAACGGACACCACAATCCAGCCAGGGCAGCCAATCTCAGGGTGACCAGCGGCGACAGACACCGCACTCCAGCCGATCCAATCGCTCCAACCAAGGCGATCAGCCACAACCGACACCGCACTCCAGCCGATCCAATCGCTCCAACCAAAGCGATCAGCCGCAACGGACACCGCACTCCAGCCGCTCCAGTCGCTCCAACCAGGAACATCAGCGGCAACGGACACCACAATCCAGCCAGGGCAGCCAATCTCAGGGTGACCAGCGGCGACAGACACCGCACTCCAGCCGCTCCAATCGCTCCAACCAGGAACATCAGTCGCAACGGACACCACAATCCAGCCAGGGCAACCGCCCCAACCAAAGTAGCATTTCCCTATCTGAGGGAAACCAGAGTCAGCCCCAACAGCGACGCGGTCGTGGTCGACCCCGCCGCGGAAACCTCAGCAATCCACCGAGCAACATACCGACACGACGTAGCACTCGACATACCCGAGCCCCAGGAGGGCCTTAGGGCTTTGCAAGGATTCCTTATTGTATTCATTGATAGAGCAAACTGTCATAAGTTCATGCAAGTTAAACTTAAATTCTATTGTATTATTTCGATCGCTGCGCGTATACCTATATGCAAACCATAGAATCTCAAGTGCCATATTCCTTCAAGTTGTAAGGGAATCTAAGTTTCGGTAGGCCTGATGCTTAGCATTGACCCACGCGAGTTTTGGCGCAGATTCACAAGAATTTTACCCCGGATGTCGGATTTAATATTAGTCAAGGCTAATTTTAACTTCCCCCAAAGTGCTACGACCGGAACATTCCAAGATTGAAATTTACCCAGACGTGAGTGAGACTCAGTCTTAAGTGACGTGCATATCCTAGCCATATCCATGCGCATGTGGATGCAGTCCCAATGGGTCACCACAATAGTAATGACATATCGAACCCACCTACCACAGTAGTCGATCAATGTTCTTCTCAAATCCTGAAAAGAGACGTCCACCATCTTTAGAGAGCAATTGATAAGTTGCCTGCGAATGGAAAGGATAGACCATGCATATGTAACAGTCTGCATTGCAAGTGAGTATACAGTATCGCAGTCCCCCAAGCGCGATTTTGAGCTTGGTGGCTTGTTTAACGGCTAAGCTGTATACAGTGAGGGGTGAAAATAGGCTCCCCTCCGGAAACGTACGAGTTATTTCCCTGCCTGTACCTGAAACTGGTTGACTTTGTGTCGATATACGGCTTGTCTCATTCTCTAAGGTACCATTCGAAAACAATTTACCCTCAGGAACAAACTCCTTGTTTCTCGGCCATACTTATCGTTCTATTCATCGCCGGCAAGATAAAGCATGATAATGTAACTTACTGTGACGGCGATGGTCAAGCTCCAAACAGTCAAAGCAAGTCGCAAAGAATCTTGTGGTGCGAAGAGAACAAATAGAGACATGTTTAAAAAGCCCATCTTACTGGCTTCGTAGCATTCACTAGGCCGAAATGGTGGGTTAGCAGTGAGTTTAAAAATCTAGCTTCTAGGCATAGGCCCTACTTCAATAGTATCATAAATTCGCGGCTGTAACGAATTCGGTGCTGGGGGCTTAAAAACAACTTGATAGAAAGAGAAAATATAAGGCACACCGCTGTTGCTATCATGGCAGCTACGAACTGACTGAAGTTGGTAAATCCCGGCCAGTCGGATCGTAGTGTCCATGGTAGTAGTAAAAAGCTAGGCCATTAGCCTCGGGGCCGAAATGTAGTTCTTCTTGGAGAATATCAATACCTGATTGATAAAAGAAAGGGACACACGTTGCTTAGACGCATTGCATAAGCAAGGAGCTCGTTATCCTGTCGCTCATAATGGTGATTAAGAGCCAAATTCATAGCGTTACAGCTTTGTGACACACAAATGGAGGGGGTTGACATTGTCAAAGTTTGAATGCTTTTTGAGACCGTCTGTCCCTACAGTAGAGATAGAAGGAACTATCTGATCTCGGGGTGGAAGAAATGTGGGTCATATATCACGTGATGTCAACGAATGTACAGTTGTAAAAATGTACAGTTGTAAGAATGTGCATTTGTAAAAATGTACAGAGGTAGGATAGAGTGTTGGAAGCTTTCGAGTCCATTTATGCCACATATAAGTCTGTCAACTGCCTGAGCTCATAAACCTCGAGCGTTTCATTTGAAACTTTTCAAATACACAATACCCAAGAACTATGCGGATCATGAAGCCTTCATTGAGTCCTGCGCTGAAGCCTGGCCCTACTCCTAGGCTTGCAACCAAGTCTGCCTTGCGAGCGTTCCAATATACTGAGGAGTATGATATTGCAGAGCCACTCATTGCGTCCATCCTTTGGGGTCGCTCTAGGGAAAGGCAACAGGCCTCCGTTCAGCTTGACTCTGTAAATGATCAAATTCAGGCAAAGAATATCAGATACAAGATTCCTAAATCAAATGGATGCATCGATATTGCCGCCTTCAAGACAGCTTCCGAGCAGTTAGTTCAAGCTTCAATTACCTTTGCCGGAAGCCAAGACACCACATTGTTCTTGCGTGCCAAAAATGACCTCGACAAATGTATCAGATTATGCAAATTGCCCAAGTCTTGGAACATTGAATGGGGGGAGTTTTTGGATTTTCATCGTGAACGAGTTGGTATGACTTTCTTAACGGCAAACGTGATGTTACCACTTCTAACCGATATACAGGTCGTTCGAATACACAAGGCAATCATCATAAAAAAAGCAGGAACGCCCAAAGGGACCTTCCTAATGAAGCGGAAGATGAATATGATGATGGAGATGTGCAGGCGGGATACCATGAAGAGTCCGGGGTTGATGACGAGGAGGAGGAGGAGCAGGAGGAAACCCACAACGGGTACCATGGAGACGAGAATGAATATAGTGACCAAGAGGACGAATACGATGACGATGAGGAGGAGGAATACGACGAATATGACGACGAAGAAAATGAACATGATCAGGGCGAGGGAGATGGGTACGATGAAGGAGAAGGTGAAGAGGACGATGAGTACGACGATGCGGAGGACGATGAGCTCGATCAAGAGAATCCAGATCATGATTCCTTCTATGATGGCCCAGAATTGATCTACCACACAGAGCGTGAGCTAGAGTGCGTCGACATTGGTTTGGTTAGACGCCGAGCACAAAATCATTATGGGCTTCTTTTGACCTCGGGGTCCATCCTAGGTTGGCGAAAGACTAAGCTGGCAGGCCTGGTAGCAGTGATGGGATATGAGTGTCAGGGTAAGCGGACTGCCCGTGTGAAGCGGCACAATGATCCAAATGATGAGCAGGAGTCTGTGATGAAGGACCGGTCTTCATCAAAAGTTCTCGGGATCGGCTTAATTGCTTGGGAAGTGGATTCAAAGTCTGTCTTCGAACCAACTAAGTCTCTGTTCCCGACTACAAACGGGACATATCCGGCTACATTTATTGCAGTGCGTTGGGAGGGAGATATCTGGACATGGGAGTCTCGTGAAGATTTCCATTCCTTGATGAAAGACCTCAGTCAGTTCGAGGTTGACATCCTCATGTACTTCATGGCAATATCTCAGGAAGGGGACTATCTCAAGGCCATGACTGGGAAAAGACCGACATTCCCAGGTCTAGGCTTTGACATCGCAAGCACCTAAAGAGCCAGTTGGATGAATCGGGATAGTTGCCGAATTGGTGGCTACTCCGTATAGCGTTTGGGATAATAACGTGCTTTGCGCCACTTAATGTTTTTTGTATGCTATTTCAGTTTTTTGCAATCCAATCGGGTTGCATACATATGCACGATGTATCACGCAAAGTAGTGTCCAATCGTCTCTTAGCAGTAGCCCACTCGAACTGTTGGCTCTTGGGTATATAATGAGCCTTGTGCCCCAACTCTGGCTCAGTCAGACTTCTACTTTCCCCCCACTTGGTCAACCTAGCACCTAGGTACATATGGCTTTTTTTCAAGCCACAATGACGAGCGCTCCAAGCACGATTATTATTGAAGATGACGAACTACCCCCAAACTGGGGGCCAACTGATTCACAAGTCGAAAGGACCTCTCCACATACCTCTCCTGAGAACCCGATTGAACCAAACGATACTGCGAGTGGTAGCATAGGGCCGTCCCGCAAACGAAGAAGGGCCGAAGGAAAACGATCTGAAACTCTGGTACAGTAATATTCGAAATCAGATTTACCCCCACACTCTCACATGTTAATTCTGAAGCCCTATTTGAAAACACGCTAACCTTGATCCGGTATGGTGGTCGATCCCTCATTTCCCAGAACTGGAGGACGCGCGCGTCGCGCGCATCGGCCCTGAAACGATGAAAGGGAGTGGCCTAATCGGGAAGGGCTAAGAAGAAAGTTGAAAGATGCGATCCAATCAAAATTGAATACGAAGAAAGCTTGATCCACGAAACAGGCAGAAGGGCTAACTGATAATCGTAGATAGAGGGAGATTTGGACCTGAAGAGTGGTAAATTGCCATCAGGGCTGCATTCCTGTGGCAACCCGTGTCTCAAACCTATTCTGTATGGTTACCTGGATCTCAACATGATGAAGGAGCTCATGCATGGCCATAAGAAGTCTTGTTACAAAAGACCTGCCGACAGCGGTCAGCTTCCACGGTAACATCCATGCATTATCTCCTGTCCTCGCTAGCCCGCAAGCACTTCTGCCCGGCAGTTTGTAATATATAGTACGAGCGAAACGCTAAAATTTTATGTAAATCGCATCACTTCTCACGTTCCATTATACTAAACAATATGCGATGTATCTAGCTTCATATGCCGGCGCTCATTTTCGCCTCCTTTAATCTCTTCTCTTCACGTTCGCTAAAGCGATCGCCAAAAAGCCCGATATGAGGGCGCATCAAAATCGTGTATTTGACAAATTCCTCCATGCAATCCACCAGGCGATCTCTGTTACCACTAGGCATGAGTCGTTGATCTTCTGGTTGACCTTCATCCGGAAATTGTGTGTACGCTCTGGGGATCGAGGATTGATTCGGGATAGTAAACATGCGCATCCACCGACCAAGGATCCGCAGAGAGTTGACGGCATTGAATGATTGGGATCCACCACAAACTTGGGCAATGGCTAGCGTTCGGCCCTGTGTGGGACGAACACTTCCTGTAGTCAAAGGAATCCAATCAATCTGGTTCTTGAAAACAGCGGTCTAGAATTGTGGAAGATCGAGTAATTAGTTGTTGCGTCTAGTGTTTGAATAATTGTGACGGAGAGGAAACACACCAGATTGCCGTGTTGTTCGGGCGAGACCCAGACATGACCATCGCTCCAACGACTGAGTTCTCGGAGTTCCTGTACTTTCGGGTGGCTTGTATCGTTCTCGTTTTTGACAGGAAGACCTTCAGGGTCAAAAACACGTACATCACAGCCGAGTCGGAACAGGATACGGGAGGCTTCAAATGCCACGAGCCGTGAATATGACCTTCTCCGAAGACTGCCATAAAGCACAAGAACTTTCAGTCTCTCATTTGTATCCCGTATGTTATGCTCGGCCATATCTAGAACCGTGGACAACTCTAAGTTGTTGATCCAGTCCTTAGTGGCATCCCCGCTAAGAATGAATGGTCGGTACTTCTGGCGGATACTTGTGTCATCTTCATCCAGAGACAATTCTAAGGACCGATAGAAAGCATCTTTTCGCTGGGTATCAGAAATCACTTGCTGAGGGACAGCGGAACACATCCTTTTTGAATAGATGGGCGGCAACAGAAAGTGTCCCGAAGAAATTGCCGGCCTAAATATTGGGGACAATCTTCGGATAGAACAATGAAGCATAGAGTATTCGATAGTTGGCGAAGTTAAACGAGAACAAAAACGGAAAGCCAAAAAAATTCGGCTTTTACCCATAGAGTGCATGGAGGGAGGAGTATGTCACCAGCGAATACTGATTGGACAGGGTATAGCAATGGACCCAGTGGGTCTTCTGGGACCCACATGATGTATTTACATACTAGATTGGTTGAGCGGCTGGTTGTGATTAGTTATTAGGATGACTAACGTAAATCTCCGCCGAGTTCGTTTTAACCTCGGCCATCTCTTTGGACGATAATAATCCAACCAAACCTTCCCGCAGCCTCGCAGTGGGGTATTATACAATTCCAGCACGATAATGGAGGTCAAAAACTCCGGAAATGCGAAGGATGACCCTGCGAGATCAGCAGCATCTCGAATTCGCGAAAACCAGCGGCGTTCTCGCACACGACGTAAGGAGTACGTCCAGCACCTTGAACAACGATTATGGTCTTTCGAAAGGCTTGGCGTAGCGGCAACACAAGAGGTTCAAGAAGCAGGAAGAAAAGTCGCACGAGAGAATGAAGTACTCCGATCCCTGCTACTTCTCCATGGTGTCACAGAAAAATCCGTTGAAGAATACTTGGAGTCGCGAGGACAACCAACAAGCTCTACTCTATCTCAGTGCATGTCACTGGCGTCTCTAGAATCAGCAAAGCTGCACCCGCCGACTGCCCCAAATCAACGTACTAGCAGTTATCATCATTCACCGGCAACCTCGTCACATTGGCAATCGGACAACCCGCCACATCAGCCTCGAGCTATTGGGAGTAGAAATACATCACCAAAGTCAGATGCTAAGACCAACATGGATATCCTTCCTTGTCAAGAATTCAATACAAACCGAGCAGCCAAGCTCAATCCCGTCACAGCCGAAAGTAACTCTGAAACGCATGAAGTTGCTAGTGTTCAAGATACGGGTCAATCCATGTCATGCGTGACTGCAGCAAGGATTATCGAAAATATGCAGAATCATTCGGAATATCGTGACGTTCGATCCGAGCTTGGATGCAGCTCCGAACCTACGTGTATGGTAAGGAATATGTCGATTTTTGACATTCTGGACAGATAACAGGCATCTGCCTGAAGATTTCGGTGGGCAAATTTCTTGATTGCCTTTACCTATCACAAATCTGGTTGTCTTACGACTTGTCCTCAAGCTTGCGGCTCACATATCACTAGAAGCGGGAGCTTAGAGGAACGGCATTTTTCAGACAGAGACGGTACGGTACTATTGTCGAGACTATGGGCCACGTGATTCAGAAATAGAACTAAGCATTAGATAGCTAGCGAGCTCGCGTACCGAGTCGTCCTTTTCCACCAATAAATTGACATATTATTGTTTCCTTTCCTATTGTCAAGAACCATGTCCAAGCTCAAGTCCGCTTTACATTATTACTTTGCTAGTATATACGAACATCCTTGTGTACGTCATACAATACACACTCTCGCCTGGGATATATCCTCAACATTAGACAGCCCGGGTTTCATGATATGAGAAAGGATACATCGTGCGTTATCAAGGTTATCTCTCTTGTCTTAACCCAGGCTGTTAGTCATATATTTAGAACTCCTGGCGTTGACGATACTCGGCATGAGTAAGAAGACGCATGTTCCAGGATTACTGATACTTACCTTCATTATTACCCTATTGTGTACAACAAAAATGGTGATATATTCGGATGATTTATACTTTGAAGCTGACGTTGGCATTGAATCTCATCCTAATGACTTGATGTAGTAATGAATAGTATTCAAGGCCTATAACGTTACGCTAAGTCATTGATTTGGTTTGCTTCTTCCGATTTCGACTTTCGTTGTGGAACAGGATTCGAACCTTAAACCGGTGACTCACGGGATGTCAGGTGACCCTGGCCTGGTTTACTTTCTTGCCCCATTGCCCCGCATGCCCCTACATACGTCGCTTCCTCTCTCCACTCGTTGAGTTTTGTCTTTAAAACTACATGTATTCTGATAACTTCTAGGTCTTTTCTTTACTCGTATCGCTGTGAGTGCAGTGGAACGGAACAAGGAGTGACTCTGCTATCAATCCCCATGGCTCGGCAGAAGAAGACAAAGGTCCGTCGCCGCCAGCGTTATCTTCCACGGTTTATCTCTTACCGGAATTATTCTTAATAGATCGAAGATCTGGCTCGCATCCGCAACAACCAGCGAAATTGTCGAGAACGCAGGCGAGGGTACATTGCAGAGCTCGAGCAGAAAGTGAAATATTATGAAAAGGAGAGGGCTCAATGCTGTACAAGACTTCAAGATAAAGCACAAAACCTTCTTCGCGAGAACGAAGTTCTGAAAACGTTATTTGATCCATCAAGCGTCAGTGAGGACCAGAGTCTCACAGACCGGTTAAAACGTCCTGATGCGGATTGGGAAGGTACTTCCACCCGAACGCAAACCTCTTGTCTCACCAATTTCGAGTATAGAGAACTTCAGGGGCAGGTAAATGAATATTTCCAATCCCTCTCCCCTTATCTATGTCCAGGCTCTCCACTGCGAGACAATACTGAACTTGCTGACTGCAGCAACAGTCTCTGGGTATAGAAGCATCACATACGTTCACCAATATTGCCAATCAAGCTCCGCTGCTTGCCCACTCAAATGGTACTGAGTTGAACCAAGTCTCCGCACCTAGTCAAGCCTTTCCTGGCTTTGCTGCGCGTATACACGACGCGAGAGTCAATGCACCAACGTATTTTCCGACTTTGTCGTCGTTTTACGATCCTCTAGATACTGCAGGAACTGAAACAATGATCTGCGATAGGTTTCAACCAGCATATTCTCTGACACTCTGGCCTGTGTTAACAGACGAAACGGCAAGAGAGGATAGATCTATGCTCTGTTCTGTGGCTTACAGACTGATCTTGCAATTCAACAAGAGACAATACGATGACATGGAGATCGATATCAGGATTCGTTGCGGTTTCAGACTGGGCCGTACACAATCGGAAGACTGTAGGGTTGATATCGGGGTTCTGTTTGCGGTTCTCACGGAGATCTCTTTTTAATACACAAACAAATATTGAGTCCAAATTTCATTTAAGTCTGATGGAGATATTATAAATCCCTTGTAACGCGAAACGCTGGGCATAATAGGCCTGTCATTCTTCCTTGTCGACGATTCAGCTTAAGCAAAGTCCGTAAATCGGATGCGACACAAATTGATAACATGTAGCATAAACATTAAAACAATTAATTCGCCCTATACAAGGCTACCTAATTACCAGCGCTGCACAAGCTATGTTGAATAGTTCCATCTGCGTGAAACAGAAGGCTTGCAGGGCTGGAATTCAATTTAAAAAACGTTCAGTCATGAGTGTCGGGCTTTACGGCAAATATTTTGAAAGAGTCTATTTAACGAGAACCAGGCGGGGAGTTGTTAGTGATGCCTCGATACTATGTTTCTTTGTAGATCCACTCACCAGTCCAAATGTTGAAATCCACATCCGGCAGATTGTGTATCTCCCTGCTGGTACTGCGGTTCATCGGATCACAGCATGAGCTCGTAGGGGCCGGTCTATTAGCTCTCTCACTCTTCCATTTTTCCTTATAAACATTGAGGTCGGCATTAGTATTCAGGATCACTGCATCTATAATATACAGATTAGGACAAAATCGAATGAGGAAGACCCCGAGAAATATAGTATGGATACCTTGGAACCCTGCTTCTTTCAGATATCTTTCATAGTCGGCAACCTGGCTAGCACCAGCTATACAGCCAACATATAAGGAAAGATCCTTCTTGATCTCCATCGGAAGCTCCCGCTTTGCCAGGATGTCGCTGATGGCAACCCTACCTCCCGGCTTCAGTAGACGAAACATTTCCTGAAAGACTAGAGGCTTTTCGATTTCCGGCACTAAGTTTATCACACAATTACTGATGATGCAATCAGCGGTGGACGATGGTAACGGTATGGAAGTAATGAACGCTTCGATGAAGGACGCATTATTGGCACCGGCGTTCTTTGCGTTCCGACGTGCGAGTTCCAGCATTTCCTGCCAGTTTTAAGTCAGAATTAAAGTTAGATAGGCAGGAAACGATGTGCGTACCTTGGTCATATCAATACCAATGGCCTTTCCTTCCACTCCAACCTTTTTTGCCGCTAGCAAAACGTCAATGCCGCCACCACTACCCAAATCAATCACAGTCTCGCCCTATACGTAGATATTAAAATCAACGCTCATAGGCGACCGGGATAATACCTACCACAGCTATGTTTGCTGTTGCCAATGGATTCCCACAGCTGACACCTAAATTCGCATTCTCTGGGATAGAACGCAGATCCTCAAGATCATACCCAAACGCACTTGCGACTTTGCGTTCATGATCTTTTTGGCTATGAGGGTCGGTCTGCCTCGCAACTTCAGCGTAGCGGTCTTGCACACGACGATAGGTATCATTCGAATCCATTCCGTTGAGCTTTGAACGCCGGTTAAGTGGAGACTATACGAGTGCTTCGTGTCAAGGACATAATGTGAAGGGATCAAGCCTAATTATATACTACACGTGTTATCTGAAGTCTATTTAGCGATGCCACATCTATAACGTCGTCGATGTGACGAAAGGCAGCCCACAGTGTCCACTGATTGGCCGATTGATTCTTTCTGGTATGTCACCGTTTGTCAACGGAATGTCACCGCGAAGCCTATTTGTCATAGGACCTGTCACCCAGCCGCCCCCAAATTGCTAAAAGAACAGATACATAAATGGTAACTGTGAAAATATCCCAGTCAGCTGACAATCTGTTAAATTAATCAAAGCCCCGTGATAGACTACTAGCGACTAGAACCTAGGAATTGATACCCAGGCTAATGCGCATCACTGAAGCAGCTTCGATTTATCAGCTGCAACGAATGCAGACGGAAACGCCACTTGCGCGTCTCCAGAATCATTTGAATTATAAATCAGTCCATATCTCCCCGATTTTCTCATAGATTGTATCTAGCCTTGTTCATGCAATATTGGTCAGTATTCAAGTATTCATTATTAATAGTATTTACCCATAGTAGGTGCATGCCTTCAGGCTCTAGCTTCTTCACCGTAAATGCTTGAAATCGCAAAGGTAGATACCAATAACAAACGAAGAAAAGAGATTCCTAAAGTTTAATTGAGCTGCCAGGCGGGAGATTTTTTTTTCCTTTTCGCTTCAGTCCTTCCAGCCAACTCGTTTGGCTATGAATTTGACGACATAAACAAGGCCAAGCAGTACCGGGACCTCGATCAGTGGCCCGACAGTAGAGGCAAGCGCCTGGTTGCTGTTGGCACCAAAAGTCGCGACAGCCACAGCAATCGCAAGCTCGAAATTATTGCTGGCGGCGGTGAAACTTTGTGTGGCAGCTAACTTGTAACCAAACCCGAGCTTGTAGGTTACAAGAAGGGTCACGAAGAAGACAATGATAAAATAAACTATAAGCGGAGCGGCAACGCGGACCACCGATACAATTTGATGAACCACCTGTCGGCCCTGGGATGCAAATAACACCAGGATCGTGAAGAGGAGTCCAAGAAGCGACCACGGGCCAGCCCACTTTAGGAAAACCTGGTCGTACCAACGTGGGCTGGTGAACTTTCGGAGGGCAATGCGAGTAATGATTGCAGCACCAAGAGGGATGCCAAGGAAAACTGCCACGCTTGTGGCAGCGGCCGAGTAAGATAGTGTTACTTGACTACCAGAATGACTGATGATCTGGATAAAGAAAATGGCCAAGGGTGCAAAGAGCACCATTTGCAGTAGTGAGTTAACCGCAACGAGGATAGCGCAGTATTCACTATCGCCGCCAGCGAGACCAGTCCATATAAGAACCTGTCAGCAATAAGAATTAGTCCAGTTCGGGCACATCGTAGAGAAAAAGTAACGTACCATAGCAATGCATCTGGCCAGTCCAACTAAAATCAAACCTTCTCGAAGCTCCGGTTCATCTGGTAGAAAAGCCCATGCCAGTGCAAGCTAGGGAAGTATATTGTTAGCAAGTTTCGCTGTGACGAAGTCGAAAAAGGTCTCACCATCAAAAAAGGCGCAATAATCCAGTTAACAAAGACACTAAATGCAATCTGGATCCAAATACCACGCTCTCGGAAGACGTGGTGTAAAGACTCGTATCGCACTTTACACAAAATAGGATACATCATGACCAGGAGACCGATCGCTTGCAACGGTTAGTTAAAGATTGTACTAGCAAGAAAGGAGTAGATACCTATTGGAACAGACACCCCAACGAACTTTCCCTTCTGGAGGGCCGGTCCCGTACTTTCCACGAAATTTCCCAAGATGATTCCGATGGCCATGGCAAGGAAGATCCATACGGCCAGAAAACGATCTAGCCAGCCGAGCCCTTTAAAGGCTGATTGCTTGGTCGTAGTCTGCCCAGATTCGTTTGTCTTTTGTTTTTCAACATCCTCGGCCGTGGGATTGGTTGGCTGATTAATAGCTGTTGTTTCGGTTTCGTGGGACGGTTCAGCCTGCGTAGGCAAGTTTGCCTGAATGCTTGTAGCCATCTCAGGCACTGGCAGATTAAGTGCGTAAGGTGCTTCTACGAATAGCTTCTGCTGAATTGACGAAACTCGAGGAAATCCAATAGTAAGACAATGATTGCTCGGAAATCTGTACCAACGGAGCCGAGCAGGCTCTTATATATGCAGAATCCGGAGTTTCGTCTTAAAAGAGGGAATGTATGGTTGATCTTGATAGAGTTAGAGTGGTGATTTGTGTTAGCCAATCATATCGAGCAGGTGACAGTCTCCTAAAATGGTCCAATTATAATCAAGGAGTGACATAGGGCTAGGTAAGTGATTTGTCATAATGGAAATGCTGAATTCTTCCTTTAAAAATTCTCGACCAATGAAAGGGTCAGAGTGACATACAGGTTTCTATCAAGGGGGTAAGCATAGAACTGACGATGCAAAGCCGTTTTTAATGTCGTGCCCTACGTAGCTCGTAATAGAGATATAACACTACCTGCTAGTGCAAATTTCTTCGTAACGAATGCCTAAGATTATATTTTAAATGAGCAGACAGTAGTATTTACTATAGCCCTGTAGGGTCTATCTTGTATGCTGATCCCGCTAAGAACGGCGCGGACAGTTCACGAATCGGGAATCGGCCCTGATTGAAAGCTATTGACTTATCGGACGACAATCGTCTATAAAAGATTGTCCTAGAACGACGCGTTATTAATTCTCCCTTTTTCCGCCGACACGTCCTGTATAAGATCCCAACCACAGCCACTTTGCGCCTACTGCTTGTCCTGAAATAATAGAGATATCACCATATTCACTTTCCTTTCATTCATGATATTACTTGAGGGCACTCTCTGTTCATAACCACCAGTCCTACTATCGAGATAATCGTATCTCTCTTGTTCAGCTAGCTTACTCGCTAGGGCTGCACAACCAACCACTCGAAAAGCACGCCCATCATGTCTAATAAGCCCAGTGTCTTATTTGTCTGCGTTCACAACGCTGGTCGCTCGCAAATGGCCGCCGGTTTCCTCTGTCATCTCGCAGGTGACAGCATTGAAGTGCGCTCCGCTGGATCTGCCCCAGCCGACTCTATCAATCCCGCTGTCGTCGAAGCCATGCGTGAAGAAGGGATCGACCTCAGCAACCAAAAC